ATTGTGGCAGATGACTTTCGAAAACAAAATGCGAGTCTAAAGTTTTCCAATTGTGAATAACAGCATCGAGACTGATGCCCATTGATTGTTTCTTTAGACCAGTTACAGCAACAAGTTCAGCAGCTGCCGCATATTCATAACGTGGAACAGAACAATGTAATTTTCCATAATGAAAATCTCTAACACGTTTGTCGTCACCGCCTGGATCAGCTTTCCATGGACGTTGCTGGTAGATTCTTCCACTAGGAAAACTTGTTCCAGCTTGAACAGTAAAGTTTGCATCTGGATGAAACATAATTTCTTGTTTAAATGTAATGACAATATCACCATAATAAAATCCATGATGTGGTCCTAAAATGCTGAATATGTGATGGTCAGTTCCTAATTTTTTATCAACATCAAATCCAATTCCCATTGGACTGGAAGTTAATTTAATTGATGCTTGAGCAATTTCTATCGTGCAGTTATGTATAGCCTTAATATCAGAATCCGTGAGTGGTGGCTTTAATTTTTTTTCGAATTTGAGTACTTTAGAATCATGATCTGGTTCAGCAGGTGACATGCCGTCTGCTCCTGTTTTACCAAATTCAGCATGAACTAAGATTTTAACTAATTCAGAGACATTATGTTTCACTTCAGGAGTATTGTGTTCGAGAAAAATTCGACGAATACGGCTATGTTGCAAAACAGCCTGAACTACATACTGTGGTCTTTTTAACAGTTCCATATAATGACGACTCATAACATGTCCATGAACAAGAATTGATTCGAAGATAAATTTATTGCATCGATGTACAGGTTGCAATGCTTGTATCCAATTGATTATTTCCGGAGAAATCTTTGTTTCTTTCCATCCTTCTGTTTGAATATAAGTGTTGATGGCTCGGATCATCTCACCTTGATTACGAGGAAAATTGATTGATGAATTGAAGTTACTGCATGGAGCAACACTGAGATGATTATGATTTTCTCCATGTCGATATTTCTTCAAATGGTCACTTTTTAAACGATCATGACATTTATGACCTGGATTTTTACAAAGCAAACGAATATCTTTTACACCAGGATGAGAATATGATTCCAAATGATGTTCATGCTTCATTTTCATACATAGTTCTCCATCTGCACAGATATGCCTTGCAATGTGAATATATGTTAAATAATGCTTTTTATCATTCGCTGTACACCGACAACCATACGGACATACATGACTGAATGTAAGACAATGTCTTTCAACGTCTTCACTCACAGGCTGCCCATCAGCATGTTGTACATATTTGACCATACGAGAACAATGATATGGTGTAAATGGGCATGGTGGTCGAAATGTATGAGTAGTATTTTCCATATGTTGTTGATCATGGAAGCGAACACAAGTGTTATCATCGGAGCAAATTAATTTGCAATGCCGATAACTTTTGCAATGTTCGACATCGCTGTTCAGGTATTTGAGACAAGTCTCCCCGTCTCTGCAGACGGGTAGATGTCGATAAGCAATTAAATGTTCAGATGACTTTTCATGACAATGCAAATGATTTGGACAATAGTCTGGATGTTCATAATCACTCAGGTGCTTTGCATCTGTATTAGTACATTGTCCACCATATTTGCACTTGGAATTGTGCAGAAAGGTGAACATATGTACTTCGTCATTATTCTCCGTGCATGCTGTTCCTTCTTCGAGTAGAGGACACACTGGCGGGTGAGAGAACTTGGCCTTATGACCAGCATCATTCAATTCAGCGCACTTCGATCCATTTTCACATGGTGGGAGATGTAAAATACATACGTCGCTTAAAGTTACTTTTCCGTCTGAGGATTTGTTTAGAATTCGATATGGTCCACTGGCTGAATTCACACGCAATGATTTCGGCGGATATACAGCATCAAACTTGTTAAAGACTTCTTGAAATGGTAACAAGTTGCCTTGAGGATTTAGACTATTTCCTGTATTATGATCGTCAAGGATGGCAAAATAGATCGTTTTGAAATATCCAGCATATTGACGAATAATTGATTTGAAAAGTAAAGCGACATGCTCCGGCGGATTCTTAAAAGCACCACATCCAAGTGCTGAAAGTACTAAACAATCATGATTATGCTGATGAGCAATAGTAAAAACGTTTTCAATCTTTTTCAATGTATTGATAGCGGATCTGTCTTGTAACATATTTTTATCGGTTAGTGGTGGATCACGATATGCAGCCATAGCAATAGCACAGACATCATATAGAGGTTTCTTCAGAAAAGCATATCCGTTCTCTTCGGTTCCACGAAACACGGTTATACCCGATGTATAAATTGCTTCAAATTCTTTCATGGGATAGAGAGCATCTTGATCTTTTGCACGTTTTATGTCGCCTTTCGATGATTGATAAAGTCGTTCATATCGTTCTCTGTCAGCAACCTCAAGATCAAGACTCTGATAATAATCGGAACGACGGAAAATATTCTCTTCCTGTGCTCCATCACCTTTGCGATAACCACCACCAGGAGTTTTCGCGTTGGCCATGTTTAATAGTAGTGGACGACATCCTTCTGATACTAGTCTTTGGTAAAGAACAAGGCAATCTTCATTAACGACTCGAACAGTGGTCGACGAATACGGTGTTTTAAACTCCGATTCAAGAATCTGTCTTCCATACGCTATCTTTGATTTATAATCATACCTGATTGTTTGTAAACGTTCTGATTTTAATGAAATTTCTTCACCACCCACAACGTATTTTTTCTTCCGAACCACACCGATCGTATTCAACATTACTGTCACGCGTAATAAATGCCGTTGATGATCGTAAGTTTTTGAGCGTCTTTCTTTTCCTTCAATCTTCCCCATTTGCTCTAACCAACTTTCTTCATTCCATGGTAGATTAAATATGGCATGCTTATAATCAAAGACATATAACATAATATCCGGTTTCATATTGACCATAACTGTCTCGTACCAATTCGTTGCATCAAGTTCATTCGAATTCGAAACGCTCGCCGAAGTATACGGTGAAATGTTCATAGGTTTACCACCAATACCAATCGCGGCATTCTCTATACATTCTTTATACACATCGATATTGTCAAGTTCAATGACAAGATGATCGTTAATGTGCTGATGACGAACAACGTGATTTGTGAACATTCTGTGATTCAAAATTAAATTGACATCTATATCACGCGGAACGGGTGAGACAAGAACACGATAGGTAAAATCTTTCTTTTTCGGCAGATTTTGTCCGTTAATGTTTAAATACTTATCTGCTATCCATTTACTTTCAGATTTGACTGCTATAACAACAGCTGAGTTACTTGACTGACAATATTGGACATGGAATGATGTGGGTGGGAGAACATTGACCCCAGTTTGAGAGGCTACGGCCGATGCAAGTTTGTCGCTATTGACATTCGATGGTAAATCTTCGAAAAAACAACATTCGGCGTTGGGATAGACTACGGCCGAAATACCATTTTTGGTAGTAAATTCTGGTGAGTTTGCAACTTTAACTAACTCATCGGGTGTTTCCAAAACAATGTGAAATATGTTTGGAAATGGTGCGGCGATTGGCTTGCATTCAGGAGCTGCTTGTGTCTTATAGGATTTTTTGAATTGTTGGGCCGCTTCATCAGTCTTTGGAATACTCGAGATATTTTCATCAAATACTACGTAAGAATCGAGTTCGAGTTTATCGACAAACGATATACTTACGTTGTATTTTTTGCCGAGAGCTAACGATTGTATGTCGGCGATTAACTTTTCTTTGTCTTGACTATTCTCCGTTTGTATCATTCCTATGCCCAGTTTTGGATAACAGATCACCTCAACGACTTCCATATTTGCACTGACACTTAACCGTTTCTTGATCACTTCTTTTAAATCATCTTCTGAGAAGCGAGTTGGCAAATCCGGAATATAAACTATTGGAGTTTGAGCAGAAAAAGTTATTGACTGCATCGAGTTATCGTCGTACGTCTTTTCTTCTCTTCGAAACAAAGTCAAATAACACTTTTTTTTACAAAGACGATAAAAATATATGGTTGGAAGTTTTATACTGCTGATAACTCATCGGCGAAAATATGTTTTATCTCTTGCAAACAGGACGACATCCTTCCTTTGTTTCGAACGTGAGTGCGCTCATACCATCACCTAGCGCCATCTTTTCTTCGATGGAAATGTCAAAAGCTATTTGAAGAATTCATAAATGGAAAATCATGTTTCCATGTATTTAAGTTGTAATACTACGAGTTGACAATGGAANCGTTTAACCTCATTTTCGTCGGACCCGGTTATCGTTAAACCTCATTTTCATCAGACCCGGTTTCTGTTTAACCTCATTTTCATTAGACCCGGTTATCGTTATACCTCATTTTCATCAGACCCGGTTATCGTTTAATCGCACTTTCACATGGTCCGGTTTCCGTTAAGCCGTTTTACCACTAAAGCCGGTTATTGTTACCGTTGCACCCCTATTCACATCCAAACGTGCCATTCCTTCATCAAGAATCTTGTAAAAGTGTAGAGCAGAATCCACATGAAGTTTGTTATGAAGATCGAAGATTTTCGACGAGCGTGGTTTTAAGTAGTTTTCTCCGGGATTATCGAAAAGAATGGTAAAACCAGGAAAAGATGCCCATCGACCTTCAAAACCTGCAATTTTTTTATTACTAATGCGCAGCATGATAATCGTAAAAATGAATGTTCTTTTTTTTCTTATCGTCTTCTATTGACGTCGTACATTGTGTTATCACAATTTTGAAAAAAAAAAGATGAAATCTATACATGACGAATAACCTTTGCACGCGCGGTATTATACTATTCTTTGGATAGATCATTGTTTATTTTTTATGTGACTTAGAAAATACGGAATCCATTTCGTCCAAAAAGATTAGTATTTAAAAAAAGGGAATCTCGACTAGTAATAATAATATATCAATTCACCAACTGAATGGATTCAATGAAATAAAAGATTAGGAGAATAATTTCATTTCAGGTCCGACTAAGATGGATAAAATCAAATCTATGAAGAATTATGGAATGTGATAAATTATTCTGATTTGAAAACATGATTTTACGGTTTATTCTATCTTATTGTCACAGTGGCGAATAGGCCTTTGGAACGAGCGTTCTACAATCATGCATGGATAGTTTGCTTTCCACTGTATTAGTTGAAATTAGTGATTAACTCAATGGTTTTGTACTAATGAGTTATTTAACAGTGACCCATTATCTTCACGGACGACGATAAGATGCGATGAATATATTCATGGACTGATAAAGACATTCGTCTTTCAACAGATCAGAGTATCCTTCCTTTGAATCAAGCATGACTCATTCAACCTGTCATCTTCTTGATATGTGTGAAGAATTTTTATTAATCATTATGTGAAAGATTGCCAATTTCAATGTTCTATATTCATTCATCGATGTCAATGGGAAACTTGATAATCTGGCAAGGAATTCGGTTCATATTCGATCAATCGAAACAACAGCAGATGGTGAAATTCATTCATTATCGACTAACAAACCGGATCAATTCTGTGAAAATAACTTATTCTACCTTGAATTCATCAGAATATCGATTGTCTCACTCTCGAATCATCATCAATACGTCGCATTTTCAACGAGCAAATTTTGCATCTTGTTGTAACATTATGATAGACAAGAGTGAAAGTGCACCATTAACTGGGATAGTTACGAATTGATATATGCACGTTTTGAATCTATTCAAAAACGGTACTCATTTGAACTTCGTTATAAAAAATGATTTTTCGATATCTGTCATTTTCATTTGAAGATTTACCTTTGACTACATTTGTGCATCAGAGTGTTGGATTTCGAGAATTGCTTTCATCTACTAGATGACTGCCGGAATCTATTCTTTCGTAAATACTTAATTGTATATTGACGTTCGTTGCACGAAGAGAAAAATCAGCTGTACTTATTGAAAGATTAACATGTGTCGCAGATTCTCATATGAATTATAAACGAATCGATGTTTTATTGATTTTTCGGAATGATATTTCATTTCAAATGAGAAATCTCTTCCAAAACGCAAGTGCTTTTCTCATGGATTTCGTACTAACGTACATATGAATACGATAGTCGTGTCATACTAGAATTACATCGCATGTCTGTATTAGAAAAACCCACACTATCGTTGTCCGTAGAAAATTGAACAGCTTTCATCAATGGTGACGAGTTTCGAAGTCGAATGCCAAAGTCTTCTACATTCATTTTTAATATTCTCACGTGCAATGTTCATTTCTTCAGGAAACATCTTTTGATTGTTATGTCGATGTCATATCTATTTGCACAGTATTATGAATAATTTTCCTGGTGATTATAATTTCTACATGTGTGTATTTTATCTGTGGTTGATATAATGTATTTGTTCGAACGAGAATTTCTTTGAAAGAATCATTCGTTCATTTTCATCACTCGACAAATCAAATATGTTTAACCAAAAGAAGATCAAAAGCGATCGCGACAATATATTTGCATAACGAACAAATATATCCATGTACATTGGATCTTCGTGATGTTCGTATTGACTATATCGAACAGTTTTCAACTAATGTAAAAACATAATTACTTGGTCTTCGTGTTCAATATGGACACTTAATATCTGTGACAAAAAAGCTTTTTTGCAAATGATGCTACGTGACTCAATAGTACTAAGATGGAATGTGTTCTAACCGAAAGTAATAATGATACATTCGAAAGACTTTTTGCTGTATTTTCCTTCGTTGTAAAGAAAGATTTTGTTTACGTAGGTAATTTCTCTTACGCATAATTGTGCTGGCTATATTTAATATTGATTAGATGGTTTGTGTACTGTTGATAAAATACACAACTCATTACATTTCATTCTTTTGTCAGGCTCCAAAGAGACGGAACCGATTCATACTGAATTGACTGCATTTTGAGAAAAGGGTCAGATTTTAAGTACATTTGTTCATTCATCAATCAAATCAATTGAATATGGTAATGTTTCAAGCGTTTGAAAACAATTTCTTCTAGTATATTGCTTGTGCTTTGCCTAATCTTGAATTTTTACAATTAAAAACTCTGATCAATTGTTATGTCTTGTTCAATTAGTTATTCACGAAGGTATTTTATTAACAATAATCGATGAAAATCAACCGAAAGTTAGCGATCGTTGTATTATTTATCAAAGAAAATTCAAAACTTTCCCCCCTTACTTTGTTATCTTTACTGGCTAACGAGGAAATGTGCACCTAGGGATAACCTAGGTCAAAGATCTGAAATCTGAGGTTCATTTTTTCGTGAATCTTTCTTTGTCACGGATTTTGATCGTTATCTTTTACGAAGCTCATTTTTCTAATGTATTTCTACGCGTATTACTTAAATTTTTGTTTGTCTAGAAAATGTTCCATCCACCCTTCAAGTAATATATTCGTCTAACTTATCATCCTCGAGATGAAATCGTTGTTATCGGAAGTTTAAAAAAAAATCGTTTATCATGATTAATGTTTGCACGTGTAGATTATCCACATTTTTTCAGTCAATCGATAGTATTTTGCTTCTAGGCATTTAATTCAAGAAGAACGCAAGAAAGAAAAAGCAAATGGTTTTCATCTGTGTTCTATTGATTTTGGAGGACGAACAAATACATACTGTATTGATAAAACAGCTACACTTCATCGTCGTACATTTTCCATGCTGACAAACAACAACAAGAAATCGACGTGTTGAAGAAGAAGAAAAAAAAACTCAATTTCGACACAATGGGCAATTGTCCGACGTGTTCTGTTGAAACTTCAAATCTCAATCTCGATCCTCTATGCAATGGACAACGAGTGTGGCCCTTCTTCCTATTCTCATCGTGTGTTGTGCTATGCAGTGGATGGATGACTATATTCATCTTTGGTTTAGTCAAGAAAGTGTGCGATATATGTCGCCGTAAGGGACTATCGTCCAAAACTGAATCTCAAAAACGACGAGTTGTGGATGATGATGATATGTCTATACAAGAATCGAACTGGTTGAATGATATGAAAGACTGGGGAAACAGTTTCATTTCAGGACAAACCAAAATGGGCAAAACATTCGTTTGTTGATTAAAGATGTTATTTTTATCACTTATTTGTTTCTTTGTTAGGTTATAATCATTTTTTTTTGTAATATTGCTTCGCTGGTTTTATACTGTATGGATACAAAGACAAATTCGTAAATTATGACAGCAGTTGTTCGTTCTGAATAATTTCAATTTTATATTTAGATATGTGGAATCCTGTACCAACTTTTCCCAATCACTTAGCATGAAAATCGATCTTGGTCTTAATTCCGTGTTTCTCATTCATTTCATACTTCGAGTATAGGAAATCTTTTCCCAATATTTCTGTTATTTTCTATTTGTTAGATTGCTGCTGCGCCGGACAAACGGCGATGTTGGTTTAGTTTACATTCTTTTGTCGATATTTTTACCATTCCACCCTCATTCATGACCGTCTATCTCGATCGAAGTTGGATAGGTCTCCGATTTTTACGTGTTGTTCCATTGAAAGATATTCCCAATTTATTACAATATATGCATGTTATTGAACGACCACGAACCATTCGAATTGTTCAGTTAGCATCGAAGTTCACCGCGATTTTATTCGCAACTGCTGGTGCAGTTCATCTCGCTGAAAATTCCGGCGATTTCTTTTGTAACTTTTGTAACGCACAAGAGATTAACATCTTCAATGCTCTGTACTATATGATAATCACCATGACCACTGTAGGAAAAGGATTATTGGACAAATTAGGATAGATTTCTTATCAATCTTTTAGGTAGGATATGGAGACATCTCTTGCAAAACATATCTTGGTAAAACGTTTGTGTTATTGACTCTTATCGGTGGATTGGCAAGTGTTAATATTACCCGAGATGAAAATCATCGTTGATGTTCATGTATTTAGGCGGTATTTACTACAATGATTCCAGAATTTGCAAATTTGTTCAGTTCGAAACATCCTTATACTGGTCGGTATTTGCGAGTTAAGGGAAAACGTCATGTGATCATATGTGGACATATCACACCGTATTCTTTGGCACCATTTCTTCGAGATTTTCTACATCAAGGCCGTGACGAAGTCGACGATCTCGATGTAATCATTATGGATATGTATGCTCTGATGATTAAGCTACTAGCTCGCCAATCATTTTATCTTTTATTTGAAGGAAAACGCCTGATCTCGAAATGGAAGCTTTACTTAAACGGTACTACACAAAATTACATTATTTCATCGGAAGTATTATGAATGTTACTGATTTACAACGTATACAAGTAAGTTTTGTCATGCATAAATATGAATCAAATTCATTCACTGATTTGAAGGTTGATAAAGCAGCAGCCTGTTTGATTATTGTTAACAAAGAGTGTGCAGATCCAAATAGCGATGATTCCGCAAATATCATGAGAGTGATTAGTTTGAAGAATTTTAACCATCGCATTCGTATTCTATTACAATTACTTCGTTATATTAACAAAGTATGAATGACTGCACAGTATACAGATGGTTTCGATCCGATTTTTCTCGTCATAGTTAAATGTTGTTTCCATTCCGGGTTGGAGTGTGTATAACGATGAAATTATATGTATCTCTGAATTGAAACTTGGCCTGATTGGTATGTCTTGCGTGGCTCCTGGATTTGCTACAATGGTATTCATCCATAAGTGACTTTAGTATGCAGTTTGAGTTTTCTAGATGACAAATATCTTTCGAATGTCTTCGTACAACATACGAACACGCGAACAAAAGGTATAAAAAGGGCGATGTACCATTAATAATTTCAAATTTTCTCTCTATATGAACATAGACACAAAGATGGCCATGGCGTGACTTATATTATCGAGGTGCTGGCATGAAACTATATCTAGAAGAGATGCCGCCCTCTTTCCATGGAAGATCGTTTGCGGAAAGTGTTTTGTATGTATTTGCGATTCGCTAATAATGAAAATCGAATGTGATGCTGTAGGATTTGCTTTCAATTACGCGTGATGCTTCTTGCCGTGGAAATGGAACGAACGGATGAGAACGGCAATACACGAATGGTTGTTGGACTCATACCGTGCGATAATTGTGTTATTCGGCGTGGAAGTCGAGCATTTCTTGTTTGTTTGTCAAACGAAGAAGCGAACAGAGTGAAATACTACTGTTCGATTTGTTATCCCAAACTTGATGATCTGACTGATGAGCAGCTACAGCGTATGCACAAATGTGTTCACAGTGAGTTAGCCATTTAGTTGGAGTTTTGATAATTCTCAAAAGTGTGTTTAGTGAGGGAAAACAATAAAGAACAAGACGCTGAAATATCTGTTGTCGGTGAATCGTATAGTTATCGTACAAATGACCATTCAGTTGTGTAAGTAATTGGATAGATATCGAACTGCTAAGTATTCCTCTTTTCAGTGAAATAACGGACGCTGAATTATCTCAACCACTTATTGAACACATTCAAAAACCATGTCGAAATTGTTGCAAGAAGTAAGTTATAACTTGTCAACGAAGACATTGCTTTCATTCGCTTTTCCATAGGTTACCGAAAGAGGATGTATCCAGTTTCGATTCTACTGGAATGTTCTACTACACGGCACCTCGAAGTCTTGACGATGCTACCCTTGTATGCGTGCTTGACTAGATAAATATAAAGATTAATTGTTTTATTTGACGATAGAGTACAGACGCACTTCGAATGTATCGCACAACGGATCGTGAAGAAAGTTCGCCACCGAAGCATCCGCTTTGTTTTCGAGATCGTCAGTATACAGCTTTGGAATCTTCAGATCCGAGATGTTTTTATCGTAGATATCATCGTTTGCCTCCATGCTGATCGATCATCTGTAGGCATTGGTCTTCGAAATTTCGTTTTACCTCTTCGAGCAAGTTCATTCCAGCGAGATGAATTACCAACAATCATCTTTGTTACTAATCGGTCGTATATCGAAAGCGAATGGGATACACTGTCAACGTTTCCAGATATTTATATTCTCGATGTAAGATACACCGATACAGTGCGGTAGGTATCACTCTCTTGCTTTGCAATTATAGGGTTCACCCAACAATCCATACAATTTGAAACTGATTTCGATTCATGATTGTCGACAATGCGTTATCATCTCAACTTTAGATCGGGGAAATTTAGATACATATTTAGTAGATAAATCCTCCATATTATGTGCTCTTACTATCCGTCAGATTCAATTGAAGAAGGTTGGACTTCTCTCACAGCATAGTCTATTGGGAATGAACAAACTGAGTCAACATAGAACAGGCTCGAAACTCCTGCGTCAAAACTGGATTCATACTCTGACAACACTTAGTAAGTCAACCTAATCACCTCACCATTTGTATAAGAATATATCTTTCTCTCATCGTAGCAATCGACTCCAATGTACAATATGTTGAACAAGGTCATACAGACGAAGTTAATCTTCAGTTCTTTTTAACTACACCATTTGCATCAGGTACTAACTCCGTGACTTCTGGATGATCTCGTCCATTATTTTGTATAAAATAGGTACAGCATTCGCTGATAGTGTCTTGGATTGTATGTTGAGCTGTGTAAGTATAGTGTATGACAATATTCAATAGACTTTCAGATTCATATCTGTGTAGGCTTATTACAATGTGAATAGTGTGAATCTCCTGCGAAATATTCTTGCTGGTGGTATTCATCTGCAATTGGAAGATATCTTAGCGGAGGGCAAAGTGTTCACACCATGTGAATCGACACACGTATTGGGAAAACGCAAACGAGCACGAATAGCGTTGGTAGCAATTCGTAATTTAATTTCAGACATCGAAGCAAGAGTATGAGCTTTGCGTCTCACAGAAATAGCGCACAGTCGGATTTATATTTAGGCAGAAACAATAACGTTTAGTTCACTCTTTTGTCACTCGCTTCGTCATCATCGTGTCGTAGTCATGGGCATCTATCGTCTGTTGGATGTTTTACTTCAGAACGATCCCACGTGGAAAGGCGATCGATCGATTAATGAGCAAAAACGTATCGTTATCTACTTCCCACCTTATAACTACGAAATGGATCGATCTGATATGGTACGTTTTTCCGCACATAGAGAAAGTGAATTCATGTCCCATTTATTTCTTTTAGGTTTACATCATGTGTCATTCGCATATTGAAAATGACTAGTTTTACGAATTTCTTTTTTTTTTCAAAATAAATGCGTGTCATTGATGATATCGATAAAACGCGGAGTCTGATAAGGACAAAAGCAACACGTGTGTGTATATGAGATATTTGCATAGAGTGAAGTTAAAAAGAGAATATGGCAGTGCTTTTGAATATACCAAATAAAAACGCGCATCTTGAATTGATTCAACCTGAACATATAGATCAGTTATACGAATTACTTGAATCAAATCGAGATTATCTTCAGCGAAATATTCCTGGTATCGATGCAATTCGAACACGAGAAGACCTTCAGAAACGCTGGACAGTATCAAAAGAAAATTCATTACACTTCGGACTATGGCTCAACAAAAATCAACTGATCGGTCGATGTCGTCTGACGCGAAATCCTGAAACAGGCTGCGCTGATTTTGGTTATTGGTTAGATGAATCGTTTCAAGGTCAAGGATTAATGACAGCTGCAGTCGAAGCATTAACAAAGTTCGCATTCGAACAATGGAATGCGAATCGAGTGGAAATCCATTGCGGCGATAGCAATTTAAGATCTCGAGGCATTCCTGAAAGGCTTGGATTTTGTAACGAAGGTATCTCATCAAAATATCCGCCTATTGAACTAAACGGCCGATTAGTTCAGTCAATCGTTTATTCAAAGATTCGATCAATGTAGAGAAATTATCGTATATGTTATGTAAAGTCAATTACTTTGCGACCAGTATAACGAGAATGCTCCATGTCATTAAGGACTTCATTGATTTCCTCTAGTCGACACATTTGTACTGGACATTCGATATGATATTTTTGTGCCATGTCGAGCGTTTCTTTCAGATCATTTCGTGTACCGACTAATGATCCTACAATTTCTAATTGTTTTCCAATACATTCACCTATTGAAATCGAAAGTTTCGTCGACGGAAGAGCGATCATGACAAGACGACCACCTTGTCGCAATGATGAGAGTGCTTGCTCATAGGCAGATATGATAGGAACACTAACAATTGCTGCTTGAACACCTCCATTCGTCTTTTCTTTTACGAACGCACTGTGTTGATCGCCAGGCCCATCATAAACTAAAATCAATGCGAACTACAGATTATAAACTATCGAAATAATATTACCTTCGTCAGCACCCATTTCACGAGCTAGCTTAGCGGCTGCCTAAAAGCAGATCTCATAGAAGAATTCACAACTGGCAAGGCACATACGTGATCGTTCTCTGCGACGATTCCGACGACACGAAAACCCATTAATTTGGCAAACTTAATACCAATAGAGCCTAGAAACAATTTTTAATATCGATTTTAAAAACAACAGAAAGAAATTTCTACCTAAACCACCCACACCGACAATCGAAATCCAGTCATTAGTTCGCGCATGTGAAACCTTCAATGCCTTGTGCATAGTAACACCTGCACAGTAGAGCGGTGCTGATTTGAACGGATCTAAACCATCTGGTAACTTCGCAGCAAACTCGACATTCATTAAACCATACTCGGCAAAAGAACCATGCTAAAGTAGTCAGATGTATCTGTTTTTAAACATATAGAAAGAAAGATAATTTACCTTGTGAATTCCGCTGCTGGTTCTTGTCATACATAAAGTCTCACGGCCGGCAAGGCAAAATTCACATTTAAGACAACTTCCTTGAATCAATTGAATACCGATCAAATCGCCTAATTTCAGATTGTATTTTTCTGGGCAAACATCTCTACCAAACTCGACTATGCAACCCACACCTTCATGTCCCAAAATAAGCGGAAGAGTAGATTTGATTCCCCACTCTATTATTGTAATTAAATAGGAGTATCATCAAAAGGCGCATAGAAACTCCTCTTCTCTATACCTCCACGAGCTTCATGAAGATCACTGTGGCATATGCCACTTGCAACCATCTTAACAAGAATATCATTCGGTCCTGGTCGAGGTATTGGCATTTCTTGAATTTGCAATGGTTTTCCCCATTCAGTGATAACGGCTGCCTTCATCATTTTATTCGTTATCATCAAAACACGCAAGCAACAATACACGATTTACATCTAAACCACTTTATAATCGAAGGAATATAAAACCGAACGAGAAAGAAAAGAAAGATAACATGTGAGTTACACCCAATAGATATGATATTGTTCCCATGTCGTTTGATCGGACATTTATTCGTCATAAATCTTACAAGCTAAAACAATTCTCTTCGTCGTCGATAAAAACGCCGACGGTATAGTATGATTGCAACAAGAACAATTAGAAAAAGTAAGCATTGATAAAACCTGAAAGGCGAATATTTTCTGAATGAATGATAAATAAACAAAATTGCGCGAGCGTCTCGCCCATGCCATGAGTTACCTGGCGTATGCCACGTGTACAATGATGAGTACACAGTTTCGTCAAGGATACGCACCGCTGATGGTTCGATTGACTTATCAAAATAAAATTCGTTGACTGAAAGATACAATGGACCCGTTGACAACATCACCGTTAGATAATCCACAAGATAATTATGATTGAAAAGTGAGAGATGTGAAACGAGAGTTTTGAATAAAGGATGACCTTTCGTTGCTATCATAAAACCATTGGAAATACCAAACGGACTTGTCCGAGGAAAAGCAGCAAGATGAGTCGATTGTACATCAATCATTTCTAGCACATTAAGTAGAGTATCGAATGGTTGAATACATCCATTATCCATATCGATATAGATTCCGCCGAGACGATATAAAACAATATAACGGAAAGCATCGACGCGTTGGATATCGAGTGGATACTTGAGAAAAGTATGGTTATAAAGATATGGTTCTTCCTGCCGAACGAATGTATATATGTCTTCATCCGTCCACAGACGGTATTCGAAGTGAGCTGCATTCAACTTGCGTACTGTTCGAACTGTCTCTTCCCAATGTTTTGGCACTTGCTTGGTTTTCCACGTTTGATGAATAATGCGAGGAATTCGATGAGGAGAAGTTCTATTTATTTGAATTTTCCCGATGAATTTCGTAATGTCGAACGCAGTGAGTAAAACGCGTGACGAACGACGACGCAACAGAACCATATAAATAATACAAATTACCATTGATCCACAGAGGATCCTAAAGAAATATCTCCGTCTTTGCATCAATCAAAAGAGCCAAATTGGACTACACTCATGCGTGATATCCGCACTTCGAAATCGCAACGCAAAAGAATATCCCCATACGTTGATGCGTATAACTTTGAAGAACGGAGAAAAATCGTTTGTTAACAATCCAAATACACCTTTTGATATCGTCACGTTGTTCGTTAAATTACTAAATATTTTTATTTGACAGTGGATCAAATTTTCACCTTGTTACCGTGTAAGAAAAACCCGACATAAAAGAAATAGCGCACAGTGGAGAGAACAAATCACTGGTGCTTTCAGTAGACTTGAAGAAATCTTCTTGAGAGTTTTGTCTTTTATTCCGATTCGATATTCTTCCGGTTTTCTGTAGAATTTAATGATAAAATAAGATATAATAATACAAGACAACAAGAAAAAAAAGAGTAAAACGATGCACGACATGACGAGCACTATACGTTACTATAGAAGCAAGTGAAATAGTTTATTAAGTTTTTGTATGTTTTATGACTGATCCTTCGACTGTTTGATTCATGTAAATCTATATTGTAAAAGACCGCAAACAAGAATTATCTTTCATCTAGAAATAGATCGGCAACATACTCGATTGAATGCTTCCAATAATTGATCCATTTTGTCAGGAAATCGTTCAATCGGGTCATAATATTCTTCACGCATTCGTGCGTCTCTTTCACTATAAATATCTTCTTCGGTTACCGTTCTCAAACCTAAACATGCGATAGTACTCTTGTTATCGATCAGTTGTGCAATTCTTACCTGCCCATCGTTGAAATGTTTCGAACATAAAGTCAAACATTCCGTTCGTTTTCCCGTTCAGATCCACTCGCACACGACGAAAATTATCGCCAATAATTGACAAAAACATACTCAGACAGATGAATACGACGAATATAACAAATAAACTAAAGCAAAACGGACCGAGAAATGCGGCTGCTCCACTCAACTGATACGCATCGAATTTCATCAAGGTCATTTCAAACAACATTTGTGCTGTTCCCAATAAACTCGAGCATTGCGGTAATTTCGATATGAATAACAGATAAAATAAGCAAACGAATGACATGAAGACAACGGCAAACATAAACGAAAATGATAATAGTTCTTTGGCCGAATATTGAAGAGTATGAATGAATAAACATAGACGCTGATTATATCGACATAGTTTTATCAACTGAACTGTTCCAAAAAAGCAACAAAGGCTCAGTAGATTTGATAGAACGTCGTTGATATACGATGCAAATTGTAGATTAATATAAACATAACCATTGGTTTTCGAGAATAATTCACCAATGCGTTGACTTTCTTTGTATCGCCAAATGTAAATGCCAACACTTGTCCATGAACAAGCGATGATGCCAACTTGAACATAAGACCAAAATCGATGGAAATATTTTAATCTCAATTCGAATAGCAAACGAATTTCTATCCACATGAAGTAGCAAATCAATAGCATGTAAACAATAGTACATACTAATTGATAAGCTGATGTGAATGCTAAGAGAAAAAAAAGCAAGAATTACTTTCTTAACTTTTAAGAGACATCGTTACCATATAAACTAATCGGTTCGAAACGAGAACTTGTTAATACTCCACTTGATGAAAAAAACTCAGCGAGAACAGTGACAGCTGTGAATAATTGAACATTCGGATTGTACAAAGTCAATTGAATGATCACCGCTCGAGTCCGATTATCGATCCATCCAAGTTGATGAAGTTGAGAAAGATTACTCCGTAGATCACTCGATCGACCACGATATTCATACACATAACCACCACTTGCATAAGTTGCATAATCTCCAACATACACATATGTATCCAACTCATCACCGGATTGATAGGTAAATGCTCTTTGAATGAAGGCATTGTACACTTGTGTTGTTTGATTTGTCCATCCAGGTGCGTAAGAACGTTTGTCTTCTTGTGAGAAACTGTAATCATATTCACAGGTAGAATAAATAGGTTGTTGTGTTTGACATGACGCTGCTTTCACTCGCAACTGTCTCATCGTTGCCCATCCGATCAGTCGATTCGATTTATCATCAATATAACCAGTGAGGTTTCGGGGTGGATCACCATTGTACCATTCTTGTGCACGAAGTTGATCAACAAAACTGTTCTCTAACCAGTTCCAATATTGATCAATCGTTGAAATCTAAATCAAATCGTGTTTGACAATCAAAAGACGTTCAGAAGGACAACGAACTTTAGTGTAATCGAAATTCGATCGTCTTGTGTTGAGAAAATACGTTCGTAAATGATCTACTTGTTGGAATGCATTTACATCACGATTAGAATAAATGACCACATAGAGAAATGATATAAAACATAAATATAACACGATTTCCCGAATGATGGCCCACATTTGCATGTGTTTCAGACGTTGATGACGAAGGTAAACGATCTCTTCTTCATTTAAACGATGAGCACGAGTTGGAGATCGGAGAGTGAATAGAGATTTCTTCTAGAATAATAACATGTAATGCTATCAAAGTATATGAACTAGTTGAAAGGTAAACCTTTGTTGAATGCAGATATTCTTCGTCGGCCTTCAGTTCGACGTGATGATCATCATCTAGCAATTCGTTCACTTCTTGATCCTCGCTTGACTTTCGACAAAAGCAAGCAAAGACAATGGCTAATGATACAATCTGCAACAGAGATATTTTTTAGTTTGAGAATCGAGAAAAAAATCGAGCGTACTTTTAATGGCTGAGTGAGTAGAAGCGACGAGAAGAAACCGCTGAGAACGGATGTTAGCCATTTCTGTGTTTTTTCATCACCAAACTCAATACCGCGAGCAATAATAAACAGAATTGACACGCCAATCAACAAGATACATAAACCATACGCGATAAATATGCACCACCATGGAAACATCAATGTTCCCTTCCTGTTCTTCTTCGGACAATCAACACTATTTTCAATGTTTTCATTGACTTTAGATAGAGCTTGACGTAATGGAGATTGTTGCTGTTGACGGGGACGAGCACGTCGGAATAGTTGGACAAGTAACAAACTTGGAATCAATCCAAAGAGTTCAACAATCATGCCAATAATGATCTTCGAATATAGTTAGAATTACGTAGAAATCAATAAGTTAAGAAATTCGTTACATACTTGTTGTGGTGTTATATAAAGCGAACCAAATGATAGACTAGTTCTGCCGGTTGATTTGGCTTCATTTACCAAGTCATAGTACATGATATTGAGAAACATCGAAACAAACAACAGAACAAAACAACATGTGCATCGTTGAACACGAGTGAATTGAGTGGATGGTGGACGAGAAAAGATCGAAAGCCAAAGATGACCATCAGACACGCTGTGATAAGTTCGTTTTGCCAAAACGAATGAGAACTGACTCTTTTCCAGGTCACTTGCAACATGCAGAACACGTTCGATCTTCCCATCATCTTTCTCAACTGCAAGCCATCGTTGACTGATGAAATGAAACTTTTGCATTGTTTGAAGATCACGAATGATGATATATTTCAGGAACCACGACGAAGATGAACTTTTTCCACTGTTGTCATGCCAAATGCGGATGCAATTCAGTAATCCTAATGACTTGGGAACACTCATGAGGAATGCATCAACTCCACCTCGCTGGAGAATGTGACGATGAGGATCTGCCAATGTTCGAATGCGAGTGTCATTCTCATCACCATGAATCACGAAATGAACATTCGATTTCGTTCCAGCATCTCGTCGTTGGCCAGTGAACACAATTATCTGATAGAAATAGTTGTCGTTCTTGTTATTATCAGGCAAGATTGTAACACCTAGTTTCTCCACGTCTTTCTTGTCGTAGTACCGTGCATAAATAGTCAGAAGTACATAGATCACACAAACAACAATCACTGTCAAATAGATGGTTTTGTTTTTCATGAAATCAGCATTGGCAAACACATAGCTCCAGTTGACTGTTTTAGGTAAGATAACAAGTCCACCTGCAAATGATGTCAGATGGGTGGAATAACATTGGGTTTGACTGTGATCAGTCAATGGTCCAACGACGAGCCCATCTGACTTCCATTGTTGATTTGCATCGAGATAATAACAACCAGATGTGTAGACTCTGAGTGCATAGTCTGCAGTGAAGTTGAACGGTTGATCTGTGATGGGAGGAACAGAAAGTGATATGTTTGAACAATGTTGAGTGATTTCAATTGCATTGAGTTCTCTCAAACCAAAGATGATCGACTGATGACCAGTTGTTTGTTGATTATCGACATAATAAGTGTACACACTGTTATTTGTGAGATTGGAAGGACAAAAAAGTGTCCATCCATCGATGCGATTGATTGAAGTGTTGAGTTGTGGTGTTTGATCGAAACGATAGACAAACAAGTAAGCGAGATTTGTGCTCGATGGTTCGATTTCCCAATGAACTGAGACTGGTAGTGATGATGGTAAGCTCAAATAATTCAGATGGAAGAGCAGTTGATGAGGAGAAGTAGAATTGAGTGATGTGACATTTTGATGGATCATTGGTGGAATGATGAGATTGGGATCACGCGGAATGATAACTTCGATTGACTGATTGTTTGCTGTTTGAATTGAAACTTCTTTTTGATCTTGATCAAGAATGGAGAATGAGAGTGATCGGGAGAGATTGGTGTTGGATGTTGATTTGGAGTTTCCAAAGGATGCCAATGGTTCCATCATTGACTATAGAACAAAAGCACAATCATTCGACTGAATATCACATGTAAACTCACTCGAATGGAGATCTTCTCGTTCGTGCCTAGATAAGAAGTGAAATTGTTGGGCAGCTGCACTTGACCATTTCCAATAACTTTTGTGAATTGATTTGCAAGCGATTGAGAGGATTTGGTCTCTAGTGTCATGATCACCTGCGATGTTTTAAGAGTGAAGTTTTGTCCAATATTGAGATTGATATTCAACGTTGAAGTCAACAACGAGGTCAACTCAGTCATTTGAGTGCTGATTTGTCCAGCTAATTGCTGCTGATAGTAGATGTTGCGATTCTTTTGTATCGTTTCCAATGAGAAATCATCGCCATCAGCAAATAAATCTAGATATCTCATTACAACAGAACTATGAATGACAAAAGTAGTATTTTACTCGGATTGGCCCAGGCTAGTTCAACATCTGTGTCATAATCATCAGGAAATTTGGTAGCTAGAGAAGAGTCTAAATCGAGAATTGATGTACGTTCTTGCAATGCACCATTGACTGCCTAAAATACGCAGGAAATAGTTTCGATGAATGTGTAGCATTAGTAACTGACGCTGATAAGATTCGAAGCACATTGAAACAGATTGGTTGATACAAATTGGACATCTTCATATGCAATACTTGTTTGCATTGAATTCAAAGTCAATGCTAACTGATAACATCGACTTGATGCACTCGCCTAGAAAACACAGATAAACTTCGAAGAGAGAGAGAATGTCAAAAATAGATCATACCAAAGTTGTTCTCGTCAGTTCATTGGTTGATTTTGTGAATTGAGCTAATACTGACGCTTGTAGTTTGATACTGTTTGATGTTGTGATAGATAAATTGGCAAGGAATTCCATTAAATACTCTCGAACTGATGCCCGGGAGTTCAATTGTATGTTCAACTGCTCCAATACTATTTGATTAAATGGTGCATACGCTGTCTGTTGCTTACTCAGAGTATTCAAAGATGAGATGAGAATATTCGCAGCTGGAACACCATCTAATAGAAAGAGGAATTCGTCAATTGATATGGCATTTATGATTTTAATATTTACTCGAAATGGCTTGGTCAAGATCGTTATCACTCATTTGATTGAATTGTTGTGACACTGAAGTCATCAATTGACCAACAAGATTTTGATTTCCACTCGCAAGCAATTGAATTATTGGATTGGTCGTACCTCCTGACGTTGAATTTTGAATATCCAGTATTAAGTTGGTGATCGCTGTAGTATCCGAGAGTACAGTAACTGATGACACATTCGTTTCAGCGATGCAATTCGCTTCATCTCGAACGTGAATCAACAAGTGAAGCAATGACGTTTGATTATCGCCGACTGGTAACCGTACTTGAAATATTGATGCTGTTGAAAAGGCAACGATTATTTTCTTCGTTAAATCATTTGTCCAGGCTAGTCGAAAAAAAAATCAACATTCCGTTTGAAGACGAAGGATATCCTAACAACATACCATAGAGAGTGTAATCTTTTATTGAATCTTCATCAGACCAGTTTGGACACGAAATGGTGAACGAAGTACTCGTCGTCCCATTTAGAGGATTAATCAAGCATGAACCATTCTGGGGTGGTTGATTGATAACAAAATTAAGTGAACTTGAACTAGTTTCTGACTTGAATCGATACACAGCTTCAAATTGCCAAAGTTTTATTTGTGGATTAGACAAGAATAATTGATTTGTGGCAGTGAAATTACTCGTATTAACTCCTATAATTAAGAGTCAAACTTCTTCTACAAATGAGAAAAGAAGCGATTTATCTTACCGAAAAACCAGACATTCTCATAGAAAGTTGTTTGATTATACAGCGTCCATTTAGTGAAATTCGCCGATGAGTTCACTGCACCGTAGTACACATTCCATGTTATGTTTTGGATTGTTGAACAATTTCGAAAACAAGTGGAAAACAGCGCAACTTGTGTTGTTGGATTGACCAATTGAAATTCTAAGTTTGGTTGACACATTGTCCATATGACACAACTACAATTATGTAGATGGATTGTGTGAAAGACAAGAAAAAAATAACAATCTACCCAATCAAAACCATCTGTGGTCGAGTGTCTTCTACTTTGACAAGAACATAACCAGTAGCTTGAAGAGAAGAATTACGACGATTTTCCATCTGAACCATAAACTGATATGTTCGATTGGATCGAAGAGAATTAGCAAGTATTGTTATTGATGAATTGAAAGAGTTATCAAAACTCCATCCTTTTCTATTGGACAAACAAGATGGATTCAATGAATCATTTCTCATGTCGTCAATAGTTAACAACGATCCCTGCAAGTTTGGAAACATTGATGAACCATAAATTCGACAATAGTATTTGTATTTCCAGCTCTGCAAAGACACTAATAAGGTAAAAAGAAAGGACAACTTTCATATCGAAGCCTACTGAGGCATTGAATGTATAACCATCTGGATCAACAGAATAACTTCCAGGATCTAGTTGAAGATCTTGTAGATTGCCACGTGTAATTATGGATGTTCCATACGGAACTAAATTTGCTGTTATACCTGATTGAGTTATTTGAATATAAGCCATTTTGGAAGAAGATAAGCTTGGTATTTGCGTCATTTTTACCGTAAAAGTAAATTCATATAAGCCGTAAGGTAAAATTCGTGCAGGAACATATAGTTCAGTGAACGTGGTTGGTATCTGAGAGTTTGGAGGAACTTGTTGTAAACAAGACGAACTACAATTTTTAATTGTCCATTGTGTGATCATCGATAACGAAATGTTACAATTCAGTTGTATGAGCGAAACTATCGAAAAATCTTGACTACGACGAAATTGAATTGGCGATGATGGTGTTGACGCACCAGGAATGAGTGTTATACTCGGCGAAGAACAACCTAAACAAGTACAATATGCGCAGAAATTATGTTTTGCATAAATTAACTCTCTGTTTAGAATATGATGCAGTTATCGCAGTGTTATTATTTGCGTAGTTGTGTTAGTATACGCTTAGGAGCATATTTTTCATGAAGGAAATTATTGCAATTAACAAACCTCGTGGAGTTGTTAGAGTGGATGGAGCAACTGTCGTGTGTACTTGTGACGTGGATGCAGCAACTGTCGTTCGTATGCTTGTTATTGTAACTATTGAAAAAACAAGGTGATAAGTGAAAAAACTTTTAGTATTTCATAAAACGTTTATGAGTTCCTAGTCAAAGTTACTGTAATTCTAAGAGTAAAATCAAAGCTAAATTCTGCTCATATATGAAAATACACTTCTGAGTTTGTGTTTTTGTAGCAGAAGCCAGGCCCAATATGCTTTCATAAATAATTAACTTTTCCTCTTCGCAACGGATAAATATTCAAACATATGTTATTTACCATGCTTGTACAATGACACAATTCATAGTTTACTTTTTAGAACGTATAGCTCAGCGTCTCTAGTTTGCATAGTAGTTTGTCTTTTTCATTACACTTATCGAATTAGTAGATATACAAGTATGCTAACCACGTTGTTTTCTCAGACACTAATATCCAGACTGACAACTCATTCCTCACAAACAAAAACTATTAAATTATCTTGTGCTAGACATACTCAAGATCAACGTTTTCATATTGCTACAATTCGTCATCCCAGAAACTAATGCAGATTTCAGAAAAGAATCGATGAGATTCATAGCAAAAACATGAGCCACACTCTGAAATGAAAGCTCATACTAAATTAACCGCAATCATGCACTGTTTTATCGTTGTATTTCCTCTTATTCTCAACCAAACTCCTCGTTTACCTTTTGTTCAATTACCTGGTTCATCAGTACAGTAACGTAAACTACAGACTGGAGGTGCAACCAACTCATATACATAGTACGATCCACAGTTAGTCACGGAGATAGTAGTGCTCCAAGAGCAATTGCTACCACTATATGCAAAACATACAGGTCCACCTGTGGTTGCATTCACAGCAATCGGCATATTTCCAGAATACCAACCAGGTGCATCAGTGTTACATCGATAGTCTGCAACTGCGCTAGTGGGAATTTTTGAGCCACCTGAACCAACAAAACGCACCCACACAGGAGAAGAACTGAAAATGCTTGTATCACAGCCGGAAGATCCATTCGAAGCCACGTAGATACTTCTTGTAGGATCATTGATCAGAGTATAGTTATAACATTGAGGAGACACTATCGCTGTATTTGACATGGGAGCTGAAGAGAAAGGAAGGTTCATTTAGGAATATCAATACAGAATATGATCATTTACCTGGAGTTGTAGGTGCTGTCCAATTAGTTGGTTCATCAGTACAGTAACGTAAACTACAAGTGGGAGGTGCAACCAACTCATATACATAGTACGATCCACAGTTAGTCACGGAGATAGCAGTGTTCCAAGAACAATTGCTACCACTATATGCAAAACATACAGGTCCACTTGTGGTTGTATCTACACCAATCGGCATATTTCCAGAATACCAACCAGGCGCATCAGTGTTACATCGATAGTACGCAACTGCGCTGGTGGGAAGTTTTGAGCCACCTGAACCAACAAAACGCACCCACGCTGGAGTAGAACTGAAAATACTTGTGTCACAGCCGGAAGATCCATTCGAAGTCACGTTGATACTTCTTGTAGGATCATTGATCAAAGTATAGTTATAACATTGAGGAGACACTATCGCTGTATTTGACATGGGAGCTGAAGAGAAAGGAAGATTCATTTAGAAATATCAATACAGAATATGATCATTTACCCGCAGTTGTAGGTGCTGTCCAATTAGTTGGTTCATCAGTACAGTAACGTAAACTACAAGCCGGAGGTTCAACCAACTCATATACATAGTACGATCCACAGTTAGTCACGGAGATAGTAGTGCTCCAAGAACAATTGCTACCACCCCATGCAAAACATACTGGTCCACTTGTGGTTGTATCTACACCAATCGGCATATTTCCAGCATACCATCCAGGCGCATCAGTGTTACATCGATAGTACGCAACTGCGCTCGTGGGAAGTTTTGAGCCACCTGAACCAACAAAACGCGCCCACGCTGGAATAGAACTGAAAATGCTTGTGTCACAGCCGGAAGATCCATTCGAAGCCACGTAGATACTTCTTGTAGGATCATTGATCAGAGTATAGTTATAGCATTGAGGAGACACGATCGGTGTGCTTGATGTTATAGCTGGAAGGAAAAATGATTATTGTGCGTAGATACAAAGACGGTGAACTGATCAGTTAAAGTAGATACTGTGAAAAATTTCTAACAGGAACACAAACGGGACCGTTCGAAAAGTGTTCAGTAGCTCCTTACAACCGACTCTCCTTTCCAGAGGATGTTGCATTAGTCGTTATACAGTGACGGAATTGCGTGCTTTTCGCGAAAGCGACTGTTTCTCGGAACGAAGGGAGCGAAGGTGAAAGTAAGATGGAAAAAAGGACTCTCTGAAGACCATTGTAAAACGTCTGAATATTCCTTTGAAAGTTTTCGGGTTTTTTTTGAGCGCATTCGGCTGCCGGATAGTCGTTCGCAAATGTACCGTTAGGAGGATTATTTTCATATTTCTGAATCAGTTCCACTTTTCAGATAAAGTTCATGTATGTTTCATCGCTATTTTGCAATTGAGAGTGAAAACTGATCAGTGTTACCTCACACAAAATGGATTGATTCTCAGCGAACTATTCATTTTCAATGTGCGTTTTATTCTCTACAGGAGACAACATTAGATATGACGCATTGACCGTCGAAGTTCAACCTGATTCCTTCATTATAACTTCTAACTGTTTCTATATCGATTTTTTGACACACGAAGGCTTGCTTAGTCAGTACATGTTCATTTATAGAGATTTCATTATATATGACTTTTCGCAGTGCCTTTTTTCTAATAAAAACTGAATTCTTGCGAACAAGACAAAAAGCTCGTAGTATCCTTACTCTCGTTGGGAGCAGTTATTTTTTGCATTCTAAGACAGTAAACTAGAACGTGGTGCGATTGATTCTATTGGTAAACCTTATAGTATTTAATTCACAAAAAATCAGCCGTAGTTGATACTTATTTCAAAATTACAACCACACTCGTGACCGATTGATTAAGTTTCTGAAACTCAATCGGAAGGAATTTCTCGAGATATTTTAGGTAAAAAAATTCTATGAATATCATGAAGTTTGCAACAACGTATGGGCGTCTAAAACAGAGATTCTCATTGAATTCAATATTGTACGAGGCGATATGCAAACTGTTAACGCCAGAATGTCCTACTTCACTTTAAACAACAGAATCCACGCAGGAATGTTCAGTTTTTTCAGCAGAAAAAGAGAAATAATGAGAGAGCTCTCTGGAGTTTTTTTTATATTCCTTACCCGAGACAAGTTGTATGCTCATTAGAATAGTCCATAGTTTTGAAGCCATAGTGAACAACATCATTTCACGTGTTCTCAGCAGCAAGACGATTTTTAAAATGGAGCGATAGTTTGTGCTGAGTAAAAACAAGAAAATCAGATGCATGAACATAAAAGGTCATAGTTTATATAGTTCTCTTCCTTTCTCTCCTTCGATTGATTACTTATCCATTTTTGAAAAAGACTTTCTAACTATTGCAAACACCATCATGTAGGGAAAAAATCATCCTGCATGATTTACTAACTTTTAGGAATATATGACACTAATTTTTGTTGGATAGGAGCTGACTTTCGTATTCCTTGTGTAAACCGAATATTTCAATACCTTCTTTAAACAAAAGAAAAAGAAAAGGCCTGATATAAAAATATTTGCACAGTAAACACTGAATTGACTTTGGTTCTCTTTCTTTACGGTCCCGCAACTGTCTATTCAAAAATCACCCTTCCACATATTTCAAATTCTGTAAGGATTGCTCGGAAAGAAACGTTTTTCTTACAAGCTGATACTGTCAGCGAAGTTGTTATTGTTGATGTTGAATTCAAAATGTTAAATACCCAGAAATTCTTATCGTTGATCGATGTCGACTCGAGTCCTATAATCACTTTTTCGAATAACATTAACAATACATTTGAACTTACCACACGCTGCAGACGTGCTCGCTACACCTGAAAACGAACGAACCAAACAATTGTTTCACACTACAGAAGCAAATTGCTACATACCAGTATCAAATGTAACATAGTAAGAATGCCCCTCAACCCAGGGAGCAACAGGAAAATAAATTCGAATGGTGAAATTCGTAAATATAACTTCTGGCTCCCAGCTACAATCATATTTTTTAACGAGAAGGTCACCAAGTGTAGCGTCCCAAAAGTAAATATAAGCACCAAGACGTGCGGGCCGAGTGACAGAAACTGATGCTAGAAGAATGAAATTTGTTTTTATCTTTTCATTCAGAAAAAGAATCTTACACTGAATGGAAAAGACAGTTTGATTTCCAGAAATGTTTCCAACAGGCCACGTAGAATTCTGCATCAGGGTTGGTCGACTGCGATCAGGTCTTTGAAAATCAACTATATACGTAACACACAGCTGATTGGACTGCACTTGTGTGTTATCAATCGCACTCAAACAAACGCCTTGTGAACCAAATTGACTGACACTTGGAATCCATTGAAGAGTGATAGCGTAGACACCTTGATATAAAGCATCGTCGATACTGATCGAAATGTCAAAATGTATATACGAACCGGTACTAGGATTTTGAATCGGACTTTTTGTCATACCTACTGGAACACTAGTCATAAAATCAACAATACTCTTTCCAGGACAGTTGACTTGCACAATAATAGTTTCACTGATATTGTCACCAGGTATAACACCAACGCACGCTAAAAAATTCGCACGATAAACGAGTTAAATGCATTGCAGTTTATTGATAATTACTTGCGTTTGGTCGATTATCAATATAAATGAAAGGAGGAGTGGAACAGTTGCTAGGTGCTGCGTAACCATAGAAAAGAAATTGAATAGGAACCGAACTCATTGGGTTATTTGCTGCTACTGATGCAGAATTATAAAAATCTTCAATTTGCAATGACACCCCGGCATATTGATTCGCTGTTGTTAATGTAAATATGAGTGTACAGTTGTTTTGAACAAGAGTAGCATTAGGTACACCATTACACATACCACTGCATTCATCATATTGATTAATATTGGTCGCCAAGTTTGTAGACCATCGACATCGTAATATATCGCTAACATCAAAGTCTAACATTTGAATAGCATGAGTGTGTTGTATACCAATCTCCTTATAAATAATAGGAAGAGAAATGGCAACAGGACTGGTATTAATATAACCATCCGGTCTAACAGCAGTACTGATTCGATTAACAATAGCCCAGTTACCACCAGATCCTACAACAAGATTGCTAAACCAACAGCATGACAAATAGCCAATACTGAACGAGATATTGATGGGTAAACTGTATGTCTGGTAATATTCACCAGAAGAAGTGCCAAGCTCGACATTATAATCAGTGCAGAATGTTTGTGCGCTCATGGGACTCCAGAAGTTACAATTTCCCGACACGCAGCTTAATGAGCTCGCATCGCCGATTTTCGGAGTTTGTGCAGCAATGGTACTATCATTACATGAGAAACTACTATGACGCCATGTAAATCGTTCAACGACTGTAATCAGTGTTGTAGAACCCTGCAGAGTATTATTAGTAGGACGCCTAGGATAAACAAACGTACACAAAATGATATAGAAAGTTTAGTTCTCACTAACCATGTAATCGTTCCTCCGTAAAAATGGGAACTATCAACAAGAGATACATGTGAAATTAACCAAATAAGAAACAGTTTAGTAATCATCACTTGCATTGCAACATGAATACAGTTAAACAGTAAAGTATAGTCTCTATACTTGTTACGCGACTACTGATCAATTTACTGTGAAAAAATTATAAGATGTCGTTTTTCTTTATTTTAATTTCTCCTCTATTCTTATTCGTCCGTTTTTTTTAAATAGAGTCAGTGGACATCATTTTATCGCTAACTCCTATGAGACTCGACGATGAACAAATAAATTAATTTTTGCCACTGAAGCAAATGTGCCATTGCCAAAAAAGTACATCCTATACACATAGGCCGAGAATGTTCCTCTGAATATAAAGTGAGGACAACAATGAAATTGTTTGATTTGCAATCGGGCTCTTTATCATGAAAACAAATATAAACACGCCTGACTTTTCCAAACGTTTATAAGCAGTTTAAAGTCCTTTAAACAAATATTTGACTTCGATGAAAATCATGGGAAAGTCTCTTGACGTCTGTTTGATCTATTTGTTTGAATTTGCGTCGTTTCAGTTTTGTTTAAGTCGAGAGATCAATGTATACTAGAACATTTCTCGTTTGGAGAATGAAACCACACACTACCTCTCGTATGCGCACACCATGTCTATTTTGATATGAATAAAAAACACGAACCGATTGACAAAAAATGGAAGAAAAATACAAAACCATCAAACGGAAATAGAATATTTCGACGTATGAACAGTAAAAGGCGTCTAGTTAGATTTCACCATGTCGACCATATTACATTGTAGTTTTTTTCTATTCTTTCCGTTTTTTTTCATACGAACGCTTGTTTTGATCGCCAGTACACTTTTTTGCAATAACATTCAATATTCACATATCATTCTTCAAGAAGACGTCAGCATTTGATAGATATCTTTCCGGGTGGCGATGCATCTAGGTTTGGTTGTGACAATCTATGATTGTACACTTCTTCTTTTTCCTTAAGCACTGATGATGACCTTGCTATACGTTTCTTTCCTCTTCCCTCATTCTCTCTTCATCTCTCATCTTCTTCCTCTTTCTATACACAACAATTATCTCATTTCTTCCCTCCTGCTTGCGCTCAAATATTAGCCTCTTAGCCGATGCACTTTATAGAGAGATATTGTTGACACATCTATCTCTACCTCTAATGTGACATCGATACTATACTTTTATCTTGACCTACAGTGTGACATCGATATTATACTTTTATGTTTATCTTTAGTTAGCCCTAGATATTACACTTTTATGTTTATCTCTAGTTAGACATTGATATTATATTTTTGTGTTTACTTTTAGTTAGACCTGGATATTATACTTTTATCTTATTCCCAGTGTGACATCAAACTAGATTTTAGAGACTACCTATAAAGCTTGATGTTTTCTGTAACGCGATACTGTATTTACCGAGAACTATAAAAGGATGAGGAAAATACAGTATCGGAGCGATTTCTTTGGATTAAATAAAAGACACATCAACTACATATCATCTCTTCCATCAGAAATCGTCACATTGGTGTGTCACTTGATCAACTCAGATCACTCACGAATCCGTATAGCAGCCAATTAATTCATCAGATTTGAATGGTAATGATGGTATTTTAGAAAAGTTGAAAGTTGACAAAAATAGAGGTTTGGATTCCAGCTACCAACATGATCTCGAGTAACATCAAGTCACCTTCGGAAAAATACATCGTATATACCATTTACTCAGTATATATTGCATTTTATTTAAGTTACTCATCGTGACTGTGTTAAGTACGTGGAAAGCTGAACAAGAATTGGGCCGAACACATGAAACACATCGAGTGGCTGAGAAAGCCGCTGCTGTTAATGATAATCGTGTACAAGACATTTCTGTTGTTGAACTCCTCGTCAGTGATATATGTGTATTGAAAGCTGGTAGGATACTTCCAGAATTGAGACGATTCGAGAAAAATGATTATGTGTAGGTGACGTGATACCCGCTGATGGTTTAATCATCGAAGGCAGTGATTTAGTTGTTGATGAAATAGCCCTAATAGGTTTGGGATGACTTGATTTTTACACTTTGATGAATAGAGCGAGACTTTTTAGGAGAAGATGGCATGGTATCCAAAAACGTCGATGATGATATTGGGCTTTGATTCAGTACTAAAATTCGAACAGGAAATTGCTGAATGGTAGTTATTTGTGTCGGCCTTGATACAAAAGTTGGAAGTATGATTGGTATGCTCGATGTAGAACCACGCTAATAGAGGAACCTACCGCCACAAATACACCTGATGATTTTCAACTATCAGCAACCAATCCTGAAGGCATTCTCTTGTTCGTACAAGTTCTTTCAACGATGCTAAATGTCTGCCTTTATGAATTTGCATAGTTAGTAAAATAAGATGTTGAGCAACATCATGAAGTTTCGAGGATAAGTATCGAACTATCGCTACTCCATGTCTTTGCTCTTGGTGAATAGTGAAGTATTGTAACCGTGGACATAGCATAAATAGCAACTTCACTTCTCTTACTTCAGTTAAATACGTTATTGATAAGCATTGTATCATATTTACATTTGATACAAACTGGAAGACGTTACTAGTGGGAAAAGTTGTAAAATCTGTTTCATCGAATTGATGTATCCGCTGAATTTTCAACGTGTGTAGATTGGGCGTCAGTGCCAAGAGTTGGGTTAATTGTTTGAATGCATATCGACTCGAATTTATTTCGAGTTTAGTAAGGTTATCAAACGAGATGGTTTGTTCAAGAGCAGTGATATCATTTTTCGCTTGTTCCGAAGTGATATTTTTTAAAGTTAGATCAGTTGCTTGAAGAAATCGGTGGTCACAATGATAGATAGCTTTTTGACTTGAAAACCGGACGCGACGAACGGACCGAAGGTTTGCTTTTTTGAAATCTGGATCAGTACAAAAATTTGTACCATAGCCAAGCGAGTAGTCTCTTAGTCGAGAGGGATTTACGGAATGAAAGCGACACGAATAAAAATTGCGATAGTATGAACCATAATAGGAAAAAAACCATTGTCGATCTTGCCAAAATGAAGATTTGAATCGTCGTAATTGTGACATCGAAGAAATAGGTAAAGAACTATCGATATAAATATCGAAAATACGTAAAAATGGCATCGAGGATGTAATCAATTCTTCCCATCGATCTGGATTCAGATAATCTCCTGGACCGGATCCATAAAGATGTAAACGTTGAATATTCGGAAAAGTTTTTATTAAAGCTTCGAAGTAATCGAAATTCAATCCACCTATTGTCAGAGACAAATGTGTTAAGTTAGGCATTGGGATTAATTGAAGTGAAACTTGATCGTCTCTTCGCCCAAGATATCCAACAGAGAAATAGCGAAGTTTTGGAACATAGGATAGTAATCGATCAAGATTCTCCAGATAAATGTCAGGCGCGACAGTTAGATGTTCAATAGAGCTTTGCTCATCGATTGCTGCAAAAGGTAATCGAATTGAACTGCGTACATCGGGAAAGAATATTTCGCAATGTCTCAATGCGCGTAAACGAAATATTAGAAGAAAATAGTGATCTATATCGTGCGTGTATCCTGGACAATGAAGAACAAACTTTGAAAGACACGGTAAAGTGGAAATATCTTGGAAGACTTGATGTAGATGTTTTTGTTTAATATTTTTGAGAATTAAAGTTTGCAAACGAGGAAATTCTGTCAAACGATTGTGTGGAGATATGAGAAGATCAAAACAAAGTCGATTTCTTAAATCAAGTGAAGATATTCGATGTGAATAAGGAACGATAAGATTGGCATGATAGTATTCAAAATCGGTTCTTGAGATTGACGATATTCGCACGTTGAGTGGCAGATTCGAGTGAGTGATCAATCGACGAAATCGGATGTTGAGATGATAAAAAATACCGTAGATATCGAAAAACTCCAAACAATCGAATATATGATAAATCACTTCATGAGATAGATCTTCGAAACGTGTTCGAGCTTGTTCACTGACACTAAGAGGAACAAGAAATATAAATCGTACGCGGAGAAGGAAAAGGTTTGTTAACTAACAATTTGCGTCGTATTGATGGAGTACACATTTTACTTTCTGTTTGGTGCGTTAAAACACGCTCAATGCAAGATTTTATTGCATAATTACAAGACGATTGCGAAATAACATATGTGTGCTATGTGATTCATGAGATGTTTTTCGGTAAATATGTTTCTTTTATTTTCAAAAAATGTAACAGATCACATTACACAACAGCGTGAACAACAATTTCGTTCGTTGACAGGACCCCATGGAAAATTGGTTCCCTGAGGATCTTGCCATTCGACATATTGCCTCGCATCAGCGCAGATAACGTCTCCTGTCGTGCCATCCAGTAGGATCAACGCCGGGATGCCATTTACACCATATTTATATTCTAATTCTTGTTTTTTCTGCCTATCTCGATAGTCTAGTCTTAACCAAGGCATATGTTGATAATAATAATATGATGATGCTTCATCGTAGTCAGAACTGAGAAAAATGATCTCAAAGTTTTTCTCTCGTGCATATGTTTGATAAAATGCAGCTAATTTCGGAGTGAAATTTTGACACGGTGGACACCTAAAAGAAAGGATTTTTCGATCCGATTGGAATGTAAAACTAGAATTCAGCATACCAATGAGCACTGAAATAGAGACCGATGATTTTCCGCTTGAAATCTTTGGAATCAAGATTAACTTCTTCATTGGATTTATTCAGAATATGTCCATCAAATAGTTTTGCTACACCAGTCATGAAAGATACCTTTTGTGTATCACTACACACAGTTTACCCCATTGTTTTGTGCACATGTTTTTCGATTGTTCTAATAATCGAAGAGAACAAACGCCAACATCATCATATAGGTATTTCTCATAGATAAATCACATTATAAAAAAGAACAATCATTCAAGTATCGTTTGCATTTACATTCGCTGGATTTATACACTTATCATGACGACGACGACGACGACTATATACATACATAGTTTGACGAAGAGACCTTTTTATTGTAAATGAAGAAGATTTGTAAGATTACATATGAGAATGTACGAAACAACATCGAATGTTTTGTTTTTCTTTAAATGTCTTTCATGTGTGTTTTGTCATTTGTTTGTGATATGTAAATCTAATGGAAAACATCTCAATTTGAATCAGTTCAAATGAATTCAACATACTCGATTAAGTGCATCCAATAATTGATCAATACGATCAGGAAATCCTTCGATTGGATGGAAATATTCATCCCGCATTGAAGTATCTCGTGCTTCATACACGTCTTCTTCCGTTGCTTTCTTCCAACCTAAAAATTCAAAATGCATCTTCATTTTTCGCACATCAATCTCCTACCTATCCAATGTTGAAGTCTGTCCAACATGAACGAAAAGATTTCTTGATCATCACTTTGAAGATTCTGTCGACAGCGACGAAAACTTTCATTAATAATCGTTAGGAACATACTCATGCAAACAAACACCACTAAAATGATGAATAAACTGAAACAGAACGGACCGAGAAATGCTGCTGCTCCACTCAGTTGATGTGCGTCGAATTTCATCAAAGTCATTTCAAACAACATTTGCGCTGTTCCCAATAAACTCGAACATTCCGGTAATTTCGATATGAATAAGAAATAAAATAAACAAACAAACGACATATATACAATTGAGAACATAAACGCGAATGAGAGTAATTCTTTCTTCGCATCTTGAATTGTTTGAATAAACAAACACAGACGTTGACTATGTCGGCAAAGACGAACAAATTTAATTGTACCAAAGAAACAGCAGAATGCGTACAGATATGTTAAAGTATCATTGATATACGTAGCTAATTGTAAATTAATATAAACATAGCCATTCGTTTCGGAAAATAATTCACCAATGCGTTGACTCTCTTTGTATCGCCAAATGTAAATGCCAACACTTGTCCACGAACAAGCAATGATACCGATATCAACGTATGCCCAAAATCGATAGAAATATTCCGACTTCAGTTCTAACAACGCACGGATTTCTTTCCACATAAAATAGACAATCATAACCATATAGAAAATCACATAAACCAATTGAAAGATCGATGCAAATGCTAAAAATCGAAAAAAACAATGTAAACAAGAAATATGCGAGAAGTTTAACAATACCATTGAAATTCATCGGTTCGAAACGAGCTGACGGTTCAATTGTACCAGTTGACAGAATTTCCGCTGCAAGACTAGCCGAAGTGTATAACTGAACATTCGGATTGTATAAACTTAATTGAATGAGTATCATACGCGTGCGTTGATCAATCCAACCTAATGAATGAAGTTCAGATAAATTGCTTTGTAAATCCGACAATCGACCGCGAAATTCGTAAACATAACCACCGCCTCCGTAAGTTCCATGATTTCCGACATAAACATATGTATCTAAATCTTTACTTGAAGCATACCTGAATGCCTTCTCTATAGATGCACTAAATGTTTGTGTCGTTTGATTTTGCCATCCTGGTGCGTAAGACTTTTTGTCTTCTTTCGAGAAACTGTAATCGTATTCACAAACGGAAATGATTTCATTGAATTGACTTGGACATAGTACTGAGTTAATACGCAATTGACGCATAGTTATCCAGCCGATTAATCGCGAGGATTTATCATTCATGAATCCACTCAGATTGCGAGGCAATTCACCATTGTACCATTTTTGGGCACGAGTATTCGACACGAAACTGTTCTCTAACCAATTCCAATACTCATCTATTGTGGAAACCTAAATTTTTGCAGAACGCTTGCGAAAGAATAGCAAAAAACATAGGATACTAACCTTCGTATAATCCAAATCGTCTTGACGAGGGTTTAGAAGGAAACTTCGTAAATGTTTAACTTGGAAAAATGCATTCGATTGATAATTTGAGTAAGAAACAAGGTAGAGAAGTGATAGGAAGCACATATAAATAAGAGCTTCGCGAAGAACCGACCACATTTGAATTTCTTTCAAACGTCGTTTACGTGCACAGAGCACTTCGCTTTCGTTTAAACGATTTGCGCGAACTGTTCTTTGAGAAGTATCTAACAAGTTATCCTACGGAAAATCTCAGATACAAATTTACTAATTCTATACACGAACTAACCTTCATCGAATGAAGATATTCTTCATCTGTATCCAAATGAATGTGTTCATCATCTAGGTATCCATCTGCTTCTTTATCATCATCGGATTTTCGACAAAAGTACGCAAAGATGATTACCAGGCATAGACTCTATTATACAAAAACATGTCTGCTTGAAAAAGAAGCTTTAAATCATACTTTTAATGGTTGCGTTAGTAGTATTGAAGAGAAGAGTCCACTTAAGATAGATATTAACCATTTTTGAGTCTTCTCGTCTCCAAACTCGATTCCACGAGCAATGATGAAAACGGCTGACACACCAGCTAAGGCGACACACAGCGCATATGCGATAAATATCCACCACCAAGCGAATGTAAATCCTAATTTTCGTTTCTTTCGTGGTTGATCGATATTGGTTTCGCTTAACGGTGAATTCATTTTGTACAAAGCTTCACGTAATGGTGACATTTGATTTCGACGAGGACGGAGACGTCGAAACAGCTGAACGAGCAATAAACTGGGAACTAGTGCCATCAGCTCCACAATGATACCGATAATAACCTGAAAACAGGAATAGATCAAGCAAAAATGAACAGAATTATACAGACCTGTTCGAATGTTAGAGAGAATGAACCAATTCTTATTCCAACGCTGTTCATGGCGGTGTTTGTTTTTGCTTCATTAGTCAAATCGTAGTACATGATATTCAAAAACATCGATACCATAATTAAAACAAAACAACATGTACAACGTTGAACGCGAGTGAATTTACTCGACGGTGGACGAGAAAAGATGGAAAACCATAAATGACTATCCGATATGCTATGGTACGATTTCTTTGCTAAGACGTAGGAGAATGTGCTTTTCTCCATTTCAGTTGCTATTGGTAGCAGACGTTCGATCTTTCCATCATCTTTCTCGACAGCGAGCCATCGTTGACAAATGAAATGGAACTTCTGCATGGTTTGGAGATCCCGAATGATCAAATATTTCAAAAACCATGACGATGACGAACCTTTGCCGCTGTTGTCATGCCAAATGCGGATGCAATTCAGCAATCCGAGGGATTTTGGAACGCTCATGATGAATGCGTCGATTCCACCAGTCTGAAGGATCTTTCGACGCGGGTCGGAAAGTGTTCGAACATTCGTCGCATCATCATCACCCGAGAGTACAAAATGAACCTATTGATAAACGAAATAACGAATCACGCTTGGGAATTAATTCACATTTTACCTTCGAATTCGTTCCGGCGTTATTTCTCTGACCAGTAAAGACGATAATCTGATAGAAGTATCCATCTTCTTTGCTATTATCAGGTAATGGTGTGACACCCAATTTTTCCAAGTCTTTCTTGTCTTTATACCGTGCGTAAATAACTAAAAGAATGTAAATCACTGCTACACAGATAATCGTCAAATAAATCGTTTTATTTCGAACAAAATCTGCATTGGCAAACACATAACTCCAATTGACTGCATCTGGTACCGCGCGAAAACCGCTGGTAAATGTAGTCAGATGAGTGGAGTAACATTGGGTGGCATAATGATTGGTTTGTGATCCAACAATGACTCCATCGGAATTCCATTGGTTGTTTGCATCCATATAGTAACAACCCGATGTGTAAAAACGAATTTGATAGTTGGATTGAAATGAAAATCGCTCGTTTGTTATCGGAGGAGTTGACATTGAAGAATTGTGACAAAAATCTTGTATTTCAGTTGTATTCAGTTCTCTTAAACCAAATACCACCGACTGATGATCGTCTGTGTGTTGGTTGTCAATAAAATACGTGTACAGACTATCATTATTCAAATCTGTAAACAGATAAACTTATATTTTCATCCGTGATCAGCTAGAACTGTACTTACTTGCAGAACAGAGTACAGTCCATCCATCGATGTTATTCGTTGATGCATTCAATTGCGGTATTTGATCAAATTTATAAATCAATAAGTAGGAAATATTGCTTGTTATTGGATGGATTTCTACATGAACGGAAACTGACAGAGGATCGGAGAGATTGACGTAGTGAAACGAGAACAATTGATTGTGAGCTGTTGAATTCGTTAGTGCAGTCACGTTTTGCATTGTCATCACTGGAATAATCGTATTTGGATCACGCGGGATAAAGATCTCAATCGGATTGGTTGAATTCGCCTTAATTTCCACTTTGTTTCCATATTGATCGAGAACAGAAAGTGACACTGATCTCGACAGATTTGTGTTTGTTGTCTGGGTTTTTGCATTACCAAAGGATGCAAGTGGTTCTAGCATTGACTGTAGAAAAGGATAAGAAGAAGACTAGTTGGAGAAAAGCGATACTTACTCGAAGTGAAACNCAGTTGATTTGGCTTCATTTGTCAAGTCATAGTACATGATATTGAGAAACATTGAAACAAACAACAGAACAAAACAACATGTGCATCGTTGAACACGAGTAAATTGAGTGGATGGTGGACGCGAAAAGATCGAAAGCCAAAGATGACCATCAGACACGCTGTGATAGGTTCGTTTTGTCAAAACGAATGAGAACTGACTCTTTTCCATATCACTTGCAACATGCAGAACACGTTCGATCTTCCCATCATCTTTCTCAACTGCAAACCATCGTTGACAGATGAAATGAAACTTTTGCATTGTTTGAAGATCACGAATGATAATATATTTCAGGAACCACGACGAAGATGAACTTTTGCCACTGTTGTCATGCCAAATGCGAATGCAATTCAGTAATCCCAATGACTTGGGAACGCTCATGAGGAATGCATCAACTCCACCACGCTGCAGAATGTAACGATGAGGATCAGCCAATGTTCGAATGTGAGTGTCATTCTCATCACCATGAATGACAAAATGTACATTCGATTTCGTTCCAGCATCTCGTCGTTGGCCAGTGAACACAATTATCTGATAGAAATAGTTGTCGTTCTTGTTATTATCGGGCAAGATTGTAACACCTAGTTTCTCCACGTCTTTTTTGTCGTAGTACCGTGCATAAATAGTCAGAAGTACATAGATCACACAAACAACAATCACTGTTAAATAGATGGTTTTGTTTTTCATGAAATCAGCATTGGCGAACACATAACTCCAGTTGACTGTTTTAGGTAAAATAACCAATCCACCTGCAAATGATGTCAGATGGGTGGAATAACATTGTGTTTGACTGTAATCGGTCAACGGTCCAACGACGAGTCCATCTGACTTCCATTGTTGATTTGCATCGAGATAATAACAGCCAGATGTGTAGATTCTGAGTCCATAGTCTGCGGTGAAGTTGAATGGTTGATCTGTGATGGGAGGAACAGAAAGTGGTATGTTTGAACAATGTTGAGTGATTTCAGTTGCATTGAGCTCTCTCAAACCAAATATGATCGACTGATGACCGTTTGTTTGTTGATTATCGACATAATAAGTGTACACACTATCATTTGTGAGATTAGAAGGACAAAAAAGTGTCCATCCATCGATGTGATTGATTGAAGTATTAAGTTGTGGTGTTTGATCGAAACGGTAGACAAACAAGTAAGCGAGACTCGTGCTCGATGGTTCGATCTCCCAATGAACTGACACTGCTAGTGATGGTGACAAGCTCAAATAATTCAGATGGAAGAGCAGTTGATGAGGAGAAGTGGAGTTGAGTGATGTGACATTCTGACGGATCATTGGTGGAATGATGAGATTGGGATCACGAGGAATGATAACTTCGATTGACTGATTGTTTGCTGCATGAATTGAAACTTCATTTTGATCTTGATCAAGAATGGAGAATGAAAGTGATCGGGAGAGATTGTTGTTGAATGTTGATTTGGAGTTCCCAAAGGATGCCAATGGCTCCATCATTGACTATATATAGAACAACAGTACAATCATTCGACTGAATATCACATTTAAACTCACTCGAATGGAGATCTTCTCGTTCGTGCCTAGATAAGCTGTGAAATTGTTGGGCAGCTGCACTTGACCATTTCCAATAACCTTTGTGAATTGATTTGCAAGCGATTGAGAGGATTTAGTCTCTAATGTCATGATCACTTGTGATGTTTTAAGAGTGAAGTTTTGTCCAATATTGAGATTGATATTCAATGTTGAAGTCAACAACGAGGTCAACTCAGTCATTTGACTACTGATTTGTCCAGCTAATTGTTGCTGATAGTAGATGTTGCGATTTTTTTGTATCGTTTCCAATGAGAAATCATCACCATCAGCAAACAAATCTAGATATCTCATCACAATAGAACTATGAATGAAAGAAGTAATATTTTACTCGGATTGGCCCAAGCTAGTTCAACATCTGTGTCATAATCATCAGGAAACTTGGTAGCTCGAGAAGAGTCTAAATCGAGAATTGTTGTCCGTTCTTGTAATGCACCATTAACTGCCTAAAATACGCAGAAAATAGTTTCGATTAATGTGTAGCACCAGTAACTAACGCTGATAAGATTCGTAGCACATTGAAAAAGATCAGTTGATGCTAATTGGACATCTTCATATGCAATACTTGTTTGCATTGAATTCAAAGTCAGTGCTAACTGATAACATCGACTCGATATACTCGCCTAGAAAACACAGTTAAACTTCGAAGAGAGAGAATGTCAAAAATAGATCATACCAAAGTTGTTCTCGTCAGTTCATTGGTTGATTTTGTGAATTGAGCTAATACTGACGCTTGTAGTTTGATACTGTTTGATGTTGTGATAGGTAAATTGGCAAGAAATTCCATTAAATACTCTCGAACTGATGCCCGAGAGTTCAACTGTATGTTCAACTGCTCCAATACTGTTTGATTAAATGGTGCGTACGCTGTCTGTGGCTTACTCAGAGTATTCAACGATGAGATGAGAATATTCGCAGCTGGAACACCATCTAGTAGAAAGAGGAACTCGTCAATTGATATGGCATTTATGGTTTCAATATTTACTCGAAATGGCTTGACCAAGATCGTTATCGCTTATTTGATTGAATTGTTGTGACACTGAAGTCATCAATTGGCTAACAAGATTTTGGTTTCCACTCGCAAGCAATTGGATTATTGGATTGGTCGTACCTCGTGATGTTGAATTTTGAATATCAAGTATTAAGTTGGTGATTGCTGTAGTATCTGGAAGTACAGTCACCGATGACACATTCGTTTCAGCGATGCAATTCGATTCATCTCGAACGTGAACCAACAAGTGAAGCAATGACGTTTGATTATCTCCGACTGGTAGCTGTACTTGGAATATTGATGCTACCGAAAAGGCAACGATCGTTTTCTCCGTTGGATCGTTTGTCCATCCTAGTCGAGAAAAAAAATCAACATTCCATTTGAAGACGAAGGATATCCTAACAACATACCATAGAGAGTGTAATCTTTTATTGAATCTTCATCAGACCAGTTTGGGCACGAAATGGTGAACGAAGTGCTCGTCGTCCCATTGAGAGGATTGATCAAGCATGAACCGTTCTGGGGTGGTTGATTGACAACAAAATTGAGTGAACTTGAACTAATTTCTGACGTGAATCGATACACAGCTTCAAATTGCCAAAGTTTTATTTGTGGATTAGACAAGAATAATTGATTTGTGGCAGTGAAATTACTCGTATTAACTCCTATAATTAACAGTCAAACTTCTTCTACAAATGAGAAAAGAAGCGATGTATCATCTTACCGAAAAACCAGACATTTTCATAGAAAGTTGTTTGATTATACAGCGTCCATTTAGTGAAATTCGCCGATGAGTTCACCGCGCTGTAGTACACATTCCATGTTATATTTTGGATTGTTGAACAATTTCGAAAACAAGTGGAAAACAGAGCAACTTGTGTTGTTGGATTGACCAATTGAAATTCTAAGTTTGGTTGACACATTGTCCATATGACACAACTACAATTATGTAGATGAACTGTGTGAAAGGCAAGAAAAAAGTAACAATCTACCCAATCAAAACCATCTGTGGTCGAGTATCTTCCACTTTGACAAGAACATAGCCAGTAGCTTGAAGAGAAGAATTACGACGATTTTCCATCTGAACCATAAACTGATATGTTCGATTGGATCGAAGAGAATTAGCAAGTATTGTTATTGATGAGTTAAAAGAGTTATCAAAACGCCATCCTTTTCTATTGGACAAACAAGATGGATTCGAGAAATCATTTCTCATGTCGTCAATAGTTAACAGCGATCCCTGCAGGTTTGGAAACATTGATGAACCATAGATTCGACAATAGTATTTGTATTTCCAGCTCTGCAAAGACACTAAGAAGATAAAAAGAATGGACAACTTTCATATCCAAGCCTACTGATGCATTGAATGTATAACCATCTGGATCAACAGAATAACTTCCAGGATCTAGTTGGAGATCTTGTCGGTTGCCACGTGTAATTATAGATGTTCCATACGGAACTAAATTTGCTGTTATGCCTGATTGAGTTATTTGAATATAAGCGACTTCGGAAGAAGATAAGCTTGGTATTTGCGTCATTTTTACCGTAAGCGTAAATTCATATAGGCCGTAAGGTAAAATTCGTGCAGGAACATATAGCTCAGTGAATGTCGTTGGTATCTGAGAGTTCGGAGGAACTTGTTGTAAACAAGACGAACTGCAATTTTTAATTGTCCACTGGGTAATCATCGATAATGAAATGTTACAATTCAGTTGTATGAGCGAAACTATCGAAAAGTCTTGACTACGACGAAATTGCTTTGGTGATGATGGTGTTGATGCACCAGGAATGAGTGTTATACTCGGCGAAAAACAACCTAAACAAGTACAATATGAGCTGAAATTATGTTTTCCATAAATTAACTCTCTGTTTAGAATATGGTGCAGTTATCACACTGTTATTATTTGCGTAGTTGTGTTAGTATACGCTTAGGAGCATATTTTTCATGAATGAAATTATTGCAATTAGCAAACCTGGTGGAGTTGTTAGAGTGGATCGACTCATTGGCGTTTGTACTTGTGTGGTGGATGGAACAACTGTTGTTTGTATTCTTGCTGTTGTACCTGTTGAAAAAAAATAGACGATCAGTGAAAAAAACTTCAGTATTTCATAAAAATGTTTTTGAGTTCCTAGTCAAGATTACTGTATAAGAGGAAAATCAAAGCTAATTTCTACTCATATATGAAAATATATTTCTGAGTTTGTGTTTTTGTAGCATAAACCAGGTCCAATATGCTTTCATAAATAATTAATTTTTCCTCTTCGGAACGGATAAATATTCAAACAGCTGTGCGTTCCTATACTTGTACAATGACACGATTCATAGTTTACTTTTCTAGAAGGTATAGCTCAACGCCTTTAGTTTGTGTAGTAGTTAGTGTTTTTCATTAGAACTATTGAATCAGTTGATATACAAGTAGCTATCCACAGCGTTTTCTCCGAGACTAAACAGTCAGACTGACAACTCATTCGTCATAACAAACAAAAAGTATTAAATTATCTAGTGCTGGGCATGCTGAAGATCAATGTTTTCATATTGCTATAATTCGTCATCGCAGAAAATAATGTAGATTTCAAAAAAGGACCGATGAGATTCATAGGAAAAACATGAGCCACTCTCTGAAACGAAAGCTCATACTATAGTAACCGCAATCATGCATTGTTTTATCGTTGTATATGCTCTTATTATAAACCAAATTCATGGTTTACCTTTTGTCCAATTGCCTGGTTCATCAGTACAGTAACGTAAACTACAAACTGGAGGTGCAATCAACTCATACACATAGTACCATCCACAGTTAGTCACGGAGATAGTAGTGTTCCAAGTGCAATTGCTACCACTCCACGCAAAACATACAGGTCCACTTGTGGTTGTATTCACAGTAATCGGCATATTTCCAGAATACCATCCAGGTGCATGAGTTTGACATTGATACTTTGCAACTGCGCTAGTGGGAATTGTTGAGCCACCTGAACCAACAAAACGCACCCACACTGGAGTAGAACTGAAAATACTTGTATCACAGCCGGGTGATCCGCTGGAAGTCACGTTGATACTTCTTGTAGGATCGTTGATCAAAGTATAATTGTAGCATTGAGGAGACACTATCGGTGTATTTGACGTTGGAGCTCAACAGAACAGAGGATTCATTCAGAAGTATCAATACAGAATATGATTCTTTACCTGGAGTTGTAGGTTCAGTCCAATTAGTTGGTTCATCAGTACAGTAACGTAAACTACAAACTGGAGGTGCAACCAACTCATACACATAGTACCATCCACAGTTAGTCACGGAGATAGTAGTGCTCCAAGAACAAGTGCTACTGCCCCACGCAAAACATACAGGTCCACTTGTGGTTGTATTCACAGTAATCGGCATGTTTCCAGAATACCAGCCAGGTGCATCAGTTTGACATCGATAGTTTGCAACTGTGCTCGTGGGAATTTTTGAGCCACCTGAACCGACAAAACGCACCCACATCGGAGTAGAACTGAAAATGTTTTGGTCACAGGCGGAAGATCCATTCGAAGTCACGTTGATACTTCTTGTAGGATCATTGATCAAAGTATAATTGTAGCATTGATGAGACGCTATCGGTGTGCTTGATGTTATAGCTGGAAGGAAAAATGATAATTGTGCGTAGATATAAGGACGGATAAGCTGATCAGTGAAAGTAAGATGGGAGAAAGAACCTTGTGAAGACTATTGTCAATTAAACATCTAAATATTCCTTGCACAATTTTCGGTTTTTTAGCTGCATTCGGCTGCCGAATTTCCGTTTTTTTTCTACATATACAGCGCGGATTTTGAGTAATATCACTAGAAATGGTCTTAAACTATAGTATAACACAACTTTGAAAGGTTTTTAATGATCTATTAAAATATTCTCACATCACAAAAAAGTGCCCTTTTTTCGGCACTTTGTTGGTATAGTAACAAGGATCATTGTGAGGTTTTCCTTTGATAAGTAATAGGGGATGCCTCAAAGGATCATCAGAATTAACTTTTAATGAACCTGGACCTTACTGCTGATGTGTGTCACCCAAACGAAAAACTATAAAGATCATACTTGACCCATGTTATCTGGGTGAAAATTCTTTTTGGCCTCACTCAACAGTTCTCATCGCTGTATATGCGTTTAGATTACCCTTAATTTCTATTTATGTGGTTAGTTCTTTCTTAACTTCACAAAAGCTCCCTTCGACCGTGAAGAATTAAAGGAGGTGTGCATCTTAGGAAGGTTTCATCGGGAATGATGTCGATATATATGCTTACAATACATAGACTGTTCGTATAAAGGAATAATAACTATATGTATTTGAAACAGTACCGATGGAAACCCTATAGTCGTTCGTAAATGTACCGTGAGGAGGATTATTTGCATATTTATGAATCAATTCCACTTTTCATCGCTATTTTACAATTGAGAGTGAAAAATTATCATTGTTGCCTCACGCAAAATGGAATGATTCTCAGCGAACTATTCATTTTCAATGTGCTTTTTGTTCTCTACAGGAGACAACATTATAGATATGACGGATTGACCGTCGAAGTTCAACATAATTCCTTCATTATAACTTCTAGCTGTTTCTATATCGATTTTTTCACACACGAAAGCTTGCTTAGTCAGTACATGTTCATTTATAGAGATTTCATTATATATGACTGTTCGCAGTACTTTTTTTCGAATGAAAACTGAATTCTCGCGAACAAGACAAAAAGCTCGTAGTATCCTTACTCTCGTTGGGAGCAGATATTTTTTGCATCCTAAGACAATAAACTAGAACGTAGTGCGATTGATTCTATTGGTAAACATTATAGTATTTAATTCACAAAAAAATCAGCCGTAGTTAATACTTATTTCAAAATTATAAACACACTCGTGACCGATTGATTAAGTTTCTGAAACTTAATCGGAAGGAATTTCTCGAGATATTTTAGCTCAAAAAATTCTATGAATATCATGAAGTTTGCAACAACGTATGGATGTCTAAGATTCTCATTGAATTCAATATTGTGCGAGGTGATGTGCGAACTGTTAACGCCAGAATGTTCAGTTTTTCAGCAGAAAAAGAGAAATAATGAGAGAGCTCTCTGGAGTTTTTTTTAATATTCCTTTCCCGAGACAAGTTGTATGCTCATTATAATAGTCCATAGTTTCGAAGCCATAGTGGAACATCTCATTTCACGCGTTCTCAGCAAGGCGATTTTTAAAAAGGAGCGATAGTTTGCGCTCAGTAAACACAAGAAAATCAGATGCATGAACATAAACGGTCATAGTTTATATAGTTCTCTCCTTCGACTGATTACTTATCCATTTTTGAAAAAGACCTTCTAGCTCTTGCAAACACCGTCCTGGAAATAAATTTTTTCTTAAACTAGAACTATTGCCAAACACCATCGTGTAGGGATAAAATCATCCTGCATGTTTTACTAATTTTTAGGAATATGTGAGACTAATTTTTGTTGGATTGTAACTGACTTTCGTATTCCTTGTGTAAACCGAATATTTCAATACCTTGTTTAAACAAAAGAAAAAGAAAAGGCCTGATATAAAAATATTTGCAGAGTAAACACTGAATTGACTTTGGTTCTCTTTATTTACGGTCCCGCAACTGTCTATTCAAAAATCACCCTTCCACATATTTCAAATTCTGTAAGGATTGCTCGGAAAGAAAAGTTTTTCTTACAAGCTGGTACTGTCAACGAATTTGTTATTGCTGATGTTGAACTCGAAATGTTAAATACCCAGAATTTCTTATCGTTGATCGATGTCGACTCGAGTCCTATAATCACTTTTTCGAATAACATTAGCAATACATTTGAACTTACCACACCCTTGAGACGTGCTCGCAACACCTGAAAACGGATGAAGCAAACAATTGTTTCACACCACAGAAGCAAATTGCTACATACCAGTATCAAATGTAACATAGTAAGAATGCCCCGAAACCCAGGGAGCAACAGGAAAATAAATTCGAATGGTGGAATTTGTATATATGACTTCTGGCTCCCAGCTACAATCATATTTTTTAACGAGAATGTCACCAAGTGTAGCATCCCAAAAATAAATATAAGCATCCAGACGTGCGGGCCGGGTGACAGAAACTGATGCTAGAAAATGAAATTTTTTAAAAATCTTTTCATTCGGAGAAAGAATCTTACACTGAATGGAAAAGACGGTCTGATTTCGAGAAATGTTTCCAACAGGCCATGTAGAATTCTGCATCAGGGTTGGTCGAATACGATCAGGTCTTTGAAAATCAACTATATACGTAACACACAGCTGATTGGACTGCACTTGTGTGTTATCAATCGCACTCAAACAAACGCCTTGTGGGCCAAATTGACTAATACTTGGAATCCATTGAAGAGTCATAGTGTAGACACCTTGATATAAAGCATCGTCGATACTGATCGAAATGTCAAAATGTATATACGAACCGGTACTAGGATTTTGAATCGGACTTTTTGTCATACCTACTGGAACACTGGTCATAAAATCAACAATACTCTTTCCAGGACAGTTGACTTGCACAATAATAGTTTCACTGATATTGTCACCGGGTATAACACCAACACACGCTAAAAGATTCGCACGATAAACGAGTCAAATGTATTGCAGTTTATTAATAATTACTCGTGTTTGGTCGATTATCGATATAAATGAAAGGAGGAGTGGAACAGTTGCTAGGTCCTGCGTAACCATAGAAAAGAAATTGAATAGGAACCGAACTCATTGGGTTATTTGCTGCTACTGATGCAGAATTATAAAAATCTTCAATTTGTAATGACACCCCTGCATATTGATTCGCTGTTGTTAATGTAAATATGAGTGTACAGTTGTTTTGAACAAGAGTAGCATTAGGTACACCATTACACATATCACTGCATTCATCATATTGATTAACATTAGTCGTCAAGTTTGTAGACCATCGACATCGTAATATATCGCTAACATCGAAGTCTAACATTTGAACAGCATGAGTGTGTTGTATACCGATCTCCTTATAAATAATAGGAAGAGAAATGGCAACAGGACTGGTATTGATATACCCATCCGGTCTAACAGCAGTATTGATTCGATTAACAATAGCCCAGTTACCATTAGATCCAACAACAAGATTGCTAAACCAGCAGCATGACAAATAGCCAATACTGAACGAGATATTGATGGGTAAACTGTATGTCTGGTAATATTCACCAGAAGAAGTGCCAAGCTCGACATTATAATCAGTGCAGAATGTTTGTGCACTCATGGGACTCCAGAAGCTACAATTTCCCGACAGGCAGCTTAATGAGCTCGGATTGCCGATTTTCGGATTTTGTGCAGCAATGGTACTATCATTACATGAGTAACTACTATAACGCCATGTAAATCGTTCAACGACTGTAATCAGTGTTGTGGAATCCGACAAAGTATTATTAGTAGGACGCCTAGGATAGACAAACGTACACAAAATGATCTAGAAAATTTAGTTCTCACTAACCATGTAATCGTTCCTCCATAAAAATGAGAACCATCAACAAGAGATACATGTGAAATTAACCAAATAAGAAACACTTTAGTAATCATCACTTGCAGTGAAACATGAATACAGCTAAACAGTAAAGTAGTCTCTATACTTGTTACGCGACAACTGACCAATCTACTGTGAAAAATATAAGATGTCTTTTGTCTTTATTTTAATTTCTCCTCCATGCTTATTCGTCCGTTCTTTTTAAATAAAGTCAGTAGACATCATTTTATCGCTAACTCGTCTGAGACTCAGCGATGAACAAATAAATTAAATTTTCCCACTAAAGCAAATATGCTATTGTCAAAAAAGTACATTCTATACACATAGGCCGAGAATATTCCTCTGAACATAAAGTGAGGACAAACAATGAACTTGTTTGATTTGCAATCGGGCTCTTTATCATGAAAACAGATATGTGATTTGTTTAGCACAAACTTGCACAAATATTAACACGCCTGACTTTTCCAAATGTTTATAAACAGTTTAAAGTTCTTCAAGCAAATATTTGACTTCTATAAAAGTCATGGAAAAGTCTCTTGACGTCTGTTTGATCTATTTGTTTGAATTTGCGTCGTTTCAGTTTTGTTCAAGTCGAGAGATCAATGTATATTAGAACATTTCTCGTTCGAGAAATGAAACCACACACTACCTCTCGTATGCGCACACCATGTCTATTTTGATATGAATAAAAAACACGAACCGATTGACAAAAAATGGAAGAAAAATACAGAACCACCAAACGGAAATAGAATATTTCGACGTATGAACTGTAGAAAAAGGCTTCTAGTTAGATTCCACCATGTCGACCATGCTTCATTGTAGTTTTTCCTATCCTATCAGTTTTTTTCATACTACATGCTTGTTTTGATCGCGAGTACACGTTTTTGCAATAACATTCAATATTCACATATCATTCTTCAGGAAGACGTCAGCAATTGATAGATATCTCTCCGGGTGGCGATGCATCCTAGGTTTGGTATGTCACTTGATCAACCCAGACCACTCACGAATCATCGAAGGCAATGATTTAGTTGTTGATGAAATAGCCCTAATAGGTTTGGGATGACTTGATTTTTACACTTTGATGAATAGAACGAGACTTTTTCAGGAGAAGATGGCATAGTATCCAAAAACGTCGATAATGGTATTGGGATCTGGTTCAGTACTAAAATTCGAACAGGAAATTGCCGAATGGTAGTATGCTCGGTGTAGAACCACACTAATGGAGGAACCTATTGCCACAAATACACCTGATGATTTTCAACTATCAGCGACCAATTCTGAAGGCATTCTCTTGTTCGTACAAGTTCTTTCAACGATGCTAAATGTCTACCTTTACGAATTTCCATAGTTAGTAAAATAAGATGTTGAGCAACATCATGAAGTTGTGAGGATAAGTATCGAACTATCGCTACTGCATGTCTTTGCTGTTGGTGAATAGTGAAGTATTGTAACCGTGGACATAGCATAAATAACAATCTCACTTCTCTTACTTCAGTTAAATGGGTTATTGATAAGCATTGTATCATATTTACGTTTGATACAAACTGGAAGACATTACTAGTGGGAAAAGTTGTAAAATCTGTTTCATCGAATTGATGTATCCGCTGAATTTTCAACGTGTGTAGATTGGGCGTTAGTGCCAAGAGTTCGGTTAATTGTTTGAATGCATATCCACTCGAATTTATTTCGAGTTTAGTAAGATTATCAAACGAGATGATTTGTTCAAGAGCAGTGATATCTTTTTTCGCTTGTTCCGAAGTGATATTTTCTAAGGTTAGTTCGGTTGCTTGAAGAAATCGGTGGTCACAATGATAGATAGCTTTTTGGCGTGAAAACTGGACGCGACGAACGGACCGAAGGTTTGCTTTTTTGAAATCTGGATCAGTACCAAAATTTGTACCATAGCGAAGCGAGTAGTCTCTTAGTCGAGAGGGATTTACGGAATGAAAGCGGCACGAATAAAAATTGCGATAGTATGAACCATGGTAGGAAAAAAACCATTGTCGATCTTGCCAGAATGAAGATTTGAATCGTCGCAATTGTGACATCGAAGAAATAGGTAAAGAACTGTCGATATAAATATTGAAAATGCGTAAAAATGGCATCGAGGATGTAATCAATTCTTCCCATCGATCTGGATTCAGATAATCCCCTGGACCGGATCCATAAAGATGTAAACGTTGAATATTTGGAAAAGTTTTTATTAAAGCTTCGAAGTAATCGAAATCCAATCCACCTATTCCCAGAGATAAATGTGTTAAATTAGGCATTGGTATTAATTGAAGTGAAGCTTTATCGCCTCTTTGTCCAAGATATCCAACAGAGAAATAGCGAAGTTTTGGAACATAGGATAGTAATCGATCAAGATTCTCCAGATGAATGTCAGACGCGACAGTTAGATGTTCAATAGAGCTTCGCTTATCGATTGCTGCAAAAGGTAATCGAATTGAATTGCGTACATCGGGAAAGAATATTTCGCAATGTCTCAATGCGTGTAAACGAAATATTATGAGAAAATAGTGGCCTATATCGTGCGTGTATCCTGGACAATGAAGAACAAACTTTGAAAGACGCGGTAAAGTGGAAATATCTTGGAAGACTTGATGTAGATGTTTTGGTTTAATATTTTTGAGAATTAAAGTTTGCAAGCGAGGAAATTCTGTTAGACGATTGTGTGGAGATATGAGAAGATCAAAACAAAGTCGATTTCTTAAATCCAGTGAAGATATTCGATGTGAATAAGGAACGATAAGATTGGCATGATAGTATTCGAAATCGGTTCTTGAGATTGACGATATTCGCACTTTGAGTGGCAGATTCGAGTGAGTGATCAATCGACGAAATCGGATGTTGAGATGGTAAAAAATACCGTAGATATCGAAAAACTCCAAACAATCGAATATATGATAAATCACATCATGAGATAGATCTTCGAAACATGTTCGAGCGTGTTCACCGACACTAAAAGGAACAAAAAATGTAAGTCGTACGCGGAGAAAGAAAAGGTTTGTTAACTAACAAGTTGCGTCGTATCGATGGAGTACACATTTGACTTTCTGTTTGATGCATTAAAACACGCTCAATGCAAGATTTCATTGCATAATTACAAGACGATTGCGAAATAACATATGTGTGCTATGTGATTCATGAGATGTTTTTCGGTAAATATGTTTCTTTTATTATCAAAAAATGTAACAGATCACATTACGCAACAACGTGAACAACAATTTCGTTCGTTGACAGGACCCCATGGAAAATTAGTTCCGTGAGGATCTTGCCATTCGATATATTGCCTCGCATCAGCACAGACAACGTCTCCTGTCGTGCCATCCAATAGAATCAACGCTGGAATGCCATTCACACCGTATTTCGATTCTAATTCTTGTTTTTTCTGTCGATCCCGATAGTCTAGTCTTAACCAAGGCATATGTTGATAATAGTAATAGGATGATGCTTCATCGTAGTCAGAACTGAGAAATATAATTTCAAAGTTTTTCTCTCGTGCATATGCTTGATAAAATGCAGCTAATTTCGGAGTGAAATTTTGACACGGTGGACACCTAAAAGAAAGGATTTTTCGATCCGATTGGAATGTAAAACTAGAATTCAGCATACCAATGAGCACTGAAATAGAGACCGATGATTTTCCGCTTGAAATCTTTGGAATCAAGATTAACTTCTTCATTGGACTTATTCAGAATATGTCCATCGAATAGCTTGGCTACACCACCCATGAAAGATACCTTTTGTGTATCACTACACACAGTTTACCCCCATTGTTTTATGCACATGGTTTTCGATTGTTCTAATAATCGGAGAGAGCAGACGCCAACATCATCATATAGGTATTTCTCATAGATAAATTACATTATAAAAAAGAACAATCACTCAAGTATCGTTTGCATTTACATTCGCCGGATTTATGCACACATCATGACGGCGACTATATACATACATAGTTAGAGGAAGGAACCTTTTATTGTAAATGAAGAAGATTTGTAAGATTACATATGAGAATGTACGAAACAACATCGAATGTTTTGTTTTTCTTTAAATGTCTGTCATCTGTTTTTTGTCATTTGTTTGTGATACGTAAATCTAATTGGAAAATATATCAGTTCGAATCAGTTCAAATGAATTCAACATACTCGATTAAGTGCATCCAATAATTGATCAATACGATCAGGAAATCGTTCTATTGGATGGAAATATTCATCCCGCATTGAAATATCTCGTGCTTCGTACATGTCTTCTTCCGTTGCTTTCTTCCAGCCTAAAAATGCAAAATGCATCCTCATTTTTCGCACATCCGTCTCCTACCTATCCAATGTTGAAGTCTGTCCAACATGAACGAAAATATTTCTTGATCATCACTTTGAAGATTCAGTCGACAGCGACGAAAACTTTCGTTAATAATCGTTAGGAACATACTCATGCAAACAAACACCACTAAAATGATGAATAAACTGAAGCAGAATGGACCGAGAAATGCTGCTGCTCCACTCAGCTGATGTGCGTCGAATTTCATCAAGGTCATTTCGAACAACATTTGCGCTGTTCCCAATAAACTCGAGCATTCCGGTAATTTCGATATGAATAAGAAATAAAATAAACAAACAAACGACATATATACAATTGAGAACATTAACGCGAATGAGAGTAATTCTTTCTTCGCATCTTGAATTGTTTGAATAAACAAACACAGGCGTTGGCTATGTCGGCAAAGACGAACAAATTTAATTGTACCAAAGAAACAGCAGAATGCGTACAGATATGTTAAAGTATCGTTAATATATGTAGCTAATTGTAAATTGATATAAACATAACCATTCGTTTCCGAAAATAATTCACCAATGCGTTGACTTTCTTTATATCGCCAAATGTAAATGCCAACGCTTGTCCACGAACAAGCAATGATGCCGATATCAACATATGCCCAAAATCGATAGAAATATTCCGACTTCAGTTCTAACAACGCACGGATCTCTTTCCACATGAAATAGACAATCATAGCCATATAGAAAATCACATAGACCAATTGAAAGATCGATGCAAATGCTAAAAATCGAAAAAATAATGTAAACAAGAAATATGCGAGAAGTTTAACAATACCATTGAAATTCATCGGTTCGAAACGAGCTGACGGCTCAATTGTACCAGTTGACAGAATTTCCGCTGCAAGACTAGCCGAAGTGTATAATTGAACATTCGGATTGTATAAACTTAATTGAATGAGTATCATACGCGTGCGTTGGTCAATCCAGCCTAATGAATGAAGTTCAGATAAATTGCTTTGTAAATCCGACAATCGACCGCGAAATTCGTACACATAACCACCGCCTCCGTAAGTTCCATGATTTCCGACATAAACATATGTATCTAAATCTTTACTTGAAGCATATCTGAATGCCTTCTCTATAGACGCACTAAATGTTTGTGTTGTTTCATTTTGCCATCCCGGGGCGTAAGACTTTTTGTCTTCTTTCGAGAAACTGTAATCGTATTCACAAGTGGAAATGATTTCATTGAATTGACTTGGACATAGTACTGAGTTAATACGCAATTGGCGCATAGTTATCCAGCCGATTAATCGCGAGGATTTATCATTCATGAATCCACTGAGATTGCGAGGCATTTCATCATTGTACCATTTTTGGGCACGAGTATTCGACACGAAACTATTCTCTAACCAATTCCAATACTGATCTATTGTGGAAACCTAAATGTTTGCAGAAAGCTTGCGAAAGAATAGCAAAAATCTTAGGATACCAACCTTCGTATAATCCAAATCGTCTTGACGAGGGTTTAGAAGGAAACTTCGTAAATGTTTAACTTGGAAAAATGCATTCGATTGATAGTTCGAGTAGGAAACAAGGTAGAGAAGTGATAGGAAGCACATATAAATAAGAGCTTCGCGAAGAACCGACCACATTTGAATTTCTTTCAAACGTCGCTTACGCGCACAGAGTACTTCGCTTTCGTTTAAACGGTTTGCGCGAACTGTTCTTTGAGAAGTAACTAACAAATTACCCTACAGAAGATCTCAGCTACAAATTGATTAATTCTATACACGAACTAACCTTCATCGAATGAAGATATTCTTCGTCTGTATCCAAATGAATGTGCTCGTCGTCTAGATATCCATCTGCTTCTTTGTCATCATCGAATTTTCGACAAAAATACGCAAAGATGATTACCAGGCATAGACTCTATTATACAAAAAACATGTCTGCTTGAGAAAGAAGCTTTAAATCATACTTTTAACGGTTGCGTTAGTAGTATAGAAGACAATAGTCCACTTAAGATAGATATTAACCATTTTTGAGTCTTCTCGTCACCAAATTCGATTCCACGAGCAATGATGAAAACGGCTGACAGGCCAGCTAAGGCGACACACAGTGCATATGCAATGAATATCCACCACCAAGCGAATGTAAATCCTGTTTTTCCTTTCTTTTGAGGTTGATCGATATTGGTTTCACTTAACGGTGAATTCATTTTGTACAACGCTTCACGTAATGGTGACATTTGATTTCGACGAGGACGGAGACGCCGAAACAGCTGAACGAGCAATAAACTAGGAACCAGTGCCATCAGCTCCACAATGATACCGATAATAACCTGAAAACAGGAATAGATCAAACAAAAAATGAACAGAATTATACTGACTTGTTCGAATGTTAGAGAGAAAGAACCAATTCTTATTCCGACACTGTTCATGGCAGTGTTTGTTTTTGCTTCATTGGTCAAATCGTAGTACATGATATTTAAAAACATCGATACCATAATTAAAACAAAACAACATGTACATCGTTGAACACGAGTGAATTTACTCGATGGTGGACGAGAAAAGATGGAAAACCATAAATGACTATCCGATATGCTGTGGTACGACTTCTTTGCTAAGACATAGGAAAATGTGCTTTTCTCCATTTCAGTTGCTATTGGTAACAGACGTTCGATCTTTCCATCATCTTTCTCAACAGCGAGCCATCGTTGACAAATGAAATGGAACTTCTGCATGGTTTGAAGATCCCGAATGATCAAATATTTCAAAAACCATGACGATGACGAACCTTTGCCACTGTTGTCATGCCAAATGCGAATGCAATTCAGCAATCCGAGGGATTTTGGAACACTCATGATGAATGCGTCAATTCCACCAGTTTGAAGGATCTTTCGACGCGGGTCGGAAAGTGTTCGAACATTCGTCGCATCATCATCACCCGAGAGTACAAAATGAACCTATTGATACATGAAATAACGAATCATGCTTGAGAATTAATTCACATTTTACCTTCGAATTCGTTCCGGCGTTGTTTCTCTGACCAGTAAAGACGATAATCTGATAGAAGTATCCATCTTCATTGCTATTATCAGGTAATGGTGTGACACCCAATTTTTCCAAGTCTTTCTTGTCTTTGAAGCGTGCATAAATAACTAAAAGAATGTAAATCACTACTACACAGATAATCGTCAAGTAAATCGTTTTATTTTGAGCAAAATCTGCATTGGCAAACACATAACTCCAATTGACTGCATCTGGTACAACGCGAAAACCGCTGGTAAATGTGGTCAGATGAGTGGAGTAACATTGTGTGACATAATGATTGGTTTGTGATCCAACAATGACTCCATCGGAATTCCATTGATTGTTTGCATCCATGTAGTAACAGCCCGATGTGTAAAAACGAATTTGATAGTTGGATTGAAATGAAAATCGCTCGTTTGTTACCGGCGGAGTTGACATTGAAGAATTGTGACAAAAATCTTGTATTTCAGTTGTATTCAGTTCTCTTAAACCAAATACAACCGACTGATGATCATCTGTATGTTGGTTGTCAATAAAAGACGTGTACAGACTATCATTGTTCAAATCTGTAAACGGATAAACCTAGCTTTTCATCCGTGAACAGTCAGAAATGTACTTACTTGCAGAACAGAGTACAGTCCATCCGTCGATGTTGTTCGTTGATGCATTCAATTGCGGTATTTGATCGAATTTATAAATCAATAAGTAGGAAATATTGCTTGTTATCGGGTGAATTTCTACATGGACAGATATTGGCAGAGGATCGGAGAGATTGACGTAGTGAAACGAGAACAATTGATTGTGTGCTGTTGAATTCGTTAGGGCAGTCACATTTTGCGTTGTCATCACTGGAATAATCGCATTTGGATCACGCGGGATAAAGATCTCAATCGGATTGGTTGAATTCGCCTTTATTTCCACTTTGTTTCCATATTGATCGAGAACAGAAAGTGACACTGATCTCGACAGATTTGTGTTTGTTGTCTGGGTTTTTGCATTACCAAAGGATGCAAGTGGTTCTAGCATTGACTGTAGAAAAGTATAAGAATAAGACTGGTTGGAGAAAAACGATACTTACTCGAAGTGAAACAGTTGAATTGTCGGTAACATTCGATTGAATGTTTGCCGGGAGATTGATTTNACTTTGTTTCCATATTGATCGAGAACAGAAAGTGACACTGATCTCGACAGATTTGTGTTTGTTGTCTGGGTTTTTGCATTACCAAAGGATGCAAGTGGTTCTAGCATTGACTGTAGAAAAGGATAAGAAGAAGACTAGTTGGAGAAAAGCGATACTTACTCGAAGTGAAACTGTTGAATTGTCGGTGACATTCGATTGAATGTTCGCCGGGAGATTGATTTTCGCGTTTGCAACTTGTTGAACTTGTTTATTTGAAAGAGCTCTTAGTGATGCAGTTTCTAATGTCATAAATGCAGAGGGCGTATTGATTTGTAAGTTTTGACCGATGTTTAGATGAATGTTGATCGTCGAAGTGATCGCCGAAAGAATCTTCTGAACTTGTTCGGTGATTTCGTTGGCTAGTTGATTCTGATAATAAGTATTTCGACCTTTCTGAATCGCTTCCCACGAAAAATCAGTTCCATCAGAGAATAAGTCTAATACAAATAAAAATTCAATCCCGAACAGTATGAGAAGTACAGCCTTACTCGGATTTGCCCAATCAGATTCCAAATCCGTGTCATAATCCGCTGGAAACTGAGTTGCACGCGACGAATCTAAATCTAACACATTCGTTCGTTGTTGCAATGGTCCATTGGCCGCCTAAATTTTTATAAAATTACTCTCCAGTTGATCTTTGGTATGAAAATATTTACATTTTGAATGTTTGATGCACACTGAACAATTTGATTAGCCGCTGCTTGAACATCTTCATATGAGATCTGAGTTGCCAGTGATTTCAGAGCTAGGGCTAGTTGATAACATTTATCCGATGCGATCGTCTATTTTCAATCTCATAGAAAGCTCTTATTCGAACAGAATTCTCCTTACTATAGTCGTTCGCGTTAATTGATTCGTTGCTTGAGTTAATTGAACCAATGAAGATGCTTGTAATTTGATGTTGTTTGCTGTTGAAGTGTCGAGATTTGTCGTATATTGAATGAGATACTCTCGAGTACTCGCGTAGGAATTCGTTTGTTTATTGAATTCATTTAGTGCTGTTTGATTCAATGGTACTGAGTTCTAAAGAAACTTCGATTAATCAATGAAACTCATCGAACGAACAAGGTTATACCGTTGTTGAAGGTTCGCTACCCAATGGAGAAACGGAAATACTCGCAGCTGGGATACCGCTTAAAACAGCTTTATTCACACTTTCGTTATTGATTTTATTGAACTGTTGTGAGACGGAACTGAGAATTTGTCCGACGGTATTTGGATTTCCACTTGCAAGTAATTGCAGAAGTGGACTATTCGCCGAATTATCCGATGAACTTTGAATACTATTCACTAAATCATTAATTTCAGTTAAATCTGAGAGAACAGTCACTGAGGACAGATTGTATTGTGTAACACAATCAAGTGAATCTCGAATGTACACAGTCAGATGAAGTGTCGAGGTTTGATCGTCCCCGATCGGTAGTAGAACTTGAAATATTGATATGGATGAAAATGCGATCATCGTTTCTTGGGTTGAATCATCAGTCCAGCCTAGAATTGATTGAAGGGTTAACAAAATGCTTTGATTTAGGAGGGAAATCACAAACCGTAGACTGAGTAATCGATGATTCCATCTTCATCAAACCAATTGGAACATGAAATACTGAATGAAGTGCTCGTTGTACCATTGTGCGGACTGACAGAACACGAGCCATTCATTGGCGGTTGGTTGATAACAAAATTTAATGAGCTTAAACTTGCTTCTGATGCAACTGTATAATTGACTTCAAATCTCCAAAGACTTATTTGACGATTGTTGAGAAATAGATTATTCACTGCTGTGAAATTACTCGTATTTCGTCCTAAAAGTTATTTGATACGAGAGATATGCACAATGATTACAAATTCTCACCGAAAAACCAAATATTCTCATATGCGCTCATCTGATTAAACAAAACCCATTGTGTCACGTTTGACGAGATATTTACTGAACCTTGATAAACATTCCATGTGATAATCTCCGTATTTTGACAATTATCAGCGCAGAAAGAAAAAAGAGCCACTTGCGTAGTTGGATTGACCAATTGAAATTCTATGTTCGGAACACACATTGTCGAAATCACACAACTAAACCATCTGAGATAGGAGAGAGGAGATTTTCGAAAAGAAAATATACCCGATGGCAATCATCTGTGACGATGTATCTTCTACTTTTACAAGAACATAACCAGTTGCTTGCGTTGAAGCATTTTGTTGATTTGTCATAGTAACCATAAATTGATATGTGCGGTTCGATTGCAGTGAATTAGCACGAATAGTCAATGAAGATTTTAGTGAAAGGCCCGTGCCACCATATATAAATTTAGTTTCGTTTCCTTGCAACAAAAAAATTGATTCCGCATCGCTTCCAAAATTTATCTTACTTGTTTGATTTCCGAAACATGATGGATTCGACGGATCGGTTGCATTGCCATCGATTGGTATCAATGAACCCTTGACATTCGGAAACATGTATAAACCGTAAATACGACAGAAATATTCGTATTTCCAATTCTATTCCAAAGGAAAAAGAATCTGATTTGAAATGAACAAAGAATTGCTTTACACTTACGCTTTCATTAAATGTGTACTCATCAGGATCAACGGAAAATGTTCCAGGATCAAATTTCAGATCTTGTTCGTATCCGATTGTGATCATCGATGTTCCCAATTGAACAAGGTTTGCTTCTATACCGGATGAGGTAACTTGAACGTAAACTGAAGATGACGTTGTGAGATTTGTGTAATTCGCCATGGTGACAGTGAATTGTAGTTGATAGAGTCCAAAAGGTAATGTTCGTGCTGGAATATGTAATTCAGTGAATGTGGTTTGAATGGTTTGATCTAACGAGAGTTGGTATGAACAAGTCGAACTACAGTTCTTGATCGTCCATTTTTTAATTGTGGACAATGAATCGTTACAGTTCAATTCGATTATTGACATGATGTAAAAATCTTGACTTCGACGATATTGAAGTGGTGATGCTAAAGTCGATGAACCAGGAATAAGCGTTAATTTCGGAGAAAAACATGCTATCATATGAAGAAAATAATCGAAATACGTTCTCGTAAATGTTCACTATTACTTTGAGATGAGGTCGATGGATTCGAACGTGTTGTTTGAACTTGTGTATTTGATGGAGCGACGGAAGTTGCCACGTTTGTAGTAGGTATATTAGCAGTTGTCTGGACATATGCCGTAGATTTATCAACTGTAGTGGAAATTTCGGTTGAAGTCGTATCTCCTACATATGAAAAAACAAAAGATATGGATGCCAGAATGAAGAGAAGCGTGGGCAAATGGAGACACGCGTTACACACGTAGTTCCGCATCCTACTGTGATAATTTAACTCATTCATCACACCAATTGATTTAGATAGAACGTCATTATTTACCTTCCGTCGACATTATTGTTGTAGGTTCAGTCCAATTAGTTGGTTCATCAGTACAGTAACGTAAACTACAAGCTGGAGGTGCAACCAACTCATATACATAGTACGATCCACAGTTAGTCACGGAGATAGTAGTACTCCAAGAGCAATTGCTGCCGCTATATGCAAAACATGCAGATCCATTTGTGGTTGCATTCACAGCAATCGGCATATTTCCAGAATACCAACCAGGTGCATCAGTGTTACATCGATAGTCTGCAATTGCACTCGTTGGAATTTTTGAGCCACCTGAACCGACAAAGCGCACCCACACCGCAGCGGAACTGAAAGTGTTTGTATCACAGACGGCGGATCCATTCTTAACCACGTAGATACTTCTTGTAGGATCATTGATCAAAGTATAGTTATAGCATTGAGGAGAGAGTATCGGTGTATTTGACGTTGGAACTGAACAGAAAAGAAGATCCATTTAGAAATATCAATACAGAATATGATCATTTACCTGGAGTTGTAGGTGCTGTCCAGTTACTTGGCTCATCAGTACAGTAACGTAAACTACAAGCTGGAGGTGCAACCAACTCATATACATAGTACGATCCACAGTTAGTCACGGAGATAGTAGTACTCCAAGAGCAATTGCTGCCGCTATATGCAAAACATGCAGATCCATTTGTGGTTGCATTCACAGCAATCGGCATATTTCCAGAATACCATCCAGGTGCATCAGTGTTACATCGATAGTCTGCAATTGCACTCGTTGGAATTTTTGAGCCACCTGAACCGACAAAGCGCACCCACACCGCAGCGGAACTGAAAGTGTTTGTATCACAGACGGCGGATCCATTCTTAACCACGTAGATACTTCTTGTAGGATCATTGATCAAAGTATAGTTATAGCATTGAGGAGAGAGTATCGGGGTGTTCGTAGTTGTGGCTGAAAACAAAACGAGATCAATATTGTAACGCAAATGCATTTATTGATGAGAACAGCTACATTACACTTGTTACTTCACTGTGCTGTGATAGTTGAATTAGATGAACTGATTATTGTCTAAACTCTCCTCTTAATTTCCTACTTATTTACCCGATATCTGTCCAATGATGACGAGGATGATCGATATACTGCAAACAGCTATTGTCATTGTTGTTAACACATGAAATATGATTGTTTGCCGATGATTTCACCGAGATACAAGTAAAGGGAAAGGAATGATCTGTCGGACTTTTATATCGCCCTGCTTTGTTTATTTTATCAGTTCTTTTTAAATAAAAATTTCCCTGTCATCTGTCGCACTTTGAAGAAAAAAATCAATTTTCTAAACCAAATATTTTTCTCCCATATCGAAACGATCAGCTAACATTTCAAAATATCAATAAAACCAGTGAAACTTATTCGTATAAGAAAAATGTTTTAATCATCTTGAACAAACGTATGATACTTTCAATATAAACGTGAAAATCAAAAGTTACTTTTGGAAAATTAGATTTCAGTAGATCATGTCATTATCTCTGCAATTCTATCTGTTCATTGAAAATATACTCGAAATCACCAGTTACTACAAGACGATTTCGTGTAATCCAGACAAACTTCTTTATAAGCAGATTAATCAGTCAGAAAGCTTTTAGATATCGACGTAGTAGTTAAAAAGCATCAAACAAAATGCATCGAAGTAGAATTGTATGTTTTTCATCGGAAACAAGCATGTAAATATCATGAAATGAAATTGATCGAAACTACGGCTTGATATTTACAATGTTTAAAAACAAATAGTTATTGTGTACTAAGAGATCGGAATGATGAATAGATATTGTTTGTTTCTCATCCGAAAAATTTCAATTCTTCTCGGAGAAAAACAAATATATTTTGTTCTTAGAGGATGCACTTATATGGAAAAGCATGACTTTGTCGTAATTGAATTTTGTAGAAAAAGTGAATTCGCTTATTTTGCCGACGCAAAAAAATATCTACGTCATTTTATTTCAGTTTCATTTATTCTCTCCGAAGATTCTCATTAATATCAACATCCCGCAATAAAATATTCTTTTTTTCTCCTTTAATGTAATGCATCGCACTTCACAATATTTTTTTAACCGTTCTTTGATACGGTTGATCAGACAATAATCGCGTGTTCGTTAATGAAAAATGAAGCGCGTCGTATCTTTTTTACATTGAAATATTCAAACACAGTTGAAAAAAATGTCGTCATCACTGAGCGAGCAAAATCAAGCTGGTCGTGCTTGGATTCAAGCGTTCTACGATAAAATGGGTTCGGATACATTCGATATTGAAAGTTGGTACAACGAATTCTTTCAAGTTGATGCAACGTTGACTCATAATAGTGCACCGGCGATCAAAGGCCTTAATGATATATGTGCACATATAGTAGGAAATCGTGCACGACAATCGGCTAAATATGTTGTCAAACATGTTGATGTTGTTCCCAATCGAATTTATACAGAAATCGATGCACTAATTACGCTGAAAAATGATCCACAAAAGATGAAGATTATTCTCTCAGGACTCGCTGTGTTCCACAAGAAAACTGACGAAAGCAAATTATCAGCACTTAGAACTTACGTGGACTCAACTCCATTGATGGAACGAATCCGAGCAATATCATAAGATTATGCTTCATTTCGTCTTGGTAGAAAAAGAACATTACACTCTTAATAAAGTGAAATTTTTCTTTTATCGAACACTGGAAACAACGTCGCGTCTGATTTTATTGATGAGTTTTGAACAACTTGAACTGGTCAAATTTTTATTCGTCATGTCAGCTATGTCAATATGCATGATTGAAATCAAAACGCATGTTTTTCAGCTCGTCAATAGAATCAAATATGGAATTTTTGATATTTTCGATAGCAGAAAGTCTTCGTGGCATTAAGATACTCTTTCGCTTGTCGTTCTGTTCAATAAAAGTACAAGACGCATGTCATGTTGAATGAATAACACAGCATATCAGCAATCCTTGGAAAAGCTTGATTTTGCTGTTAAGACTGCGTGTTATCACGTACAGAACGATATTTGACAAGTATTTTTTGGTAATAGTAGAAATTCTACTCTGAAAAAGACGAAGAGAATGTGAAGGGCCGTCTTCTGAACGTATATAAGCTATTTGAAAAAAAATCATGATCGGGGAGGAGGAGGAGGAAGAGGAGTATTACGAGTAATGGATTGTTTTATTGATCTTGTTTAACTTCAAAACGAAAACAAATGAATGAACGAACGAACGAATTACATTGAAAAGCATAAGCGAAGGCTAAGCGATTAGCACATCGCAACGTATGAGCGTTTTCTAAGCGTTTCTTGTCGTCATTTACGCAGTAACTGTCTCCACTGGATGAATATTTCTGTGATTTTCATAGTATCCCATCTACTTGAGACATTTATATGCATTGTTATAAATACTTTGTCGGATTCGAAGCAACTCTTCTAGTTGAATATGAGGAGGCATATAGAGACAAATTTCGAAATCGTGTGGATCCTCATCAATGAAGCATTCGGCGGATACGGCCAGACGTGAGGATATAAATAAACGAAGAATCAGTCCGAGTTCTTGAGTGCTGTCGATCACATCTATATGACGTATAGTACACGCAGCGTATTCAACGTCCATAATTTCATCGATGACAATAGCCGTTTTGTTGAATAGAATGTGCCCGAAAGTGCGTTCTCTCAAATCCACGTAATTAGCAGGTACACGAAACTGTCTGGTCGCCATTGCAGGAACACTACCACGAATCGAATCAACTTGTCGTCGCCATAAATCGTTATCGAGTTGAATAATCTTCTCATAGTCTCTCACATATTCAGAATAAATATAATGAAGACAACAAAATGACAGGAACAGGAGAAATGAAAAACAAGATCCTCCCATTGTGCAGAAACCTATTGCTGTGAGTGTATTTGGTCGTTTCGGCAAGTTTCCAAGTTTGTGAAACACAAAGAAAGAAAAAATACTTATAAAGGCGAAGCCAAAAGTAAAAGTGAAGAGCATGAAAACGAAAAAAGACATGAATTGTCTTCGGGCGTTGCACAATCTTTGAACGATACGTGAAGGTTCTGTTACCAGTTCAGATATCTGAACGGTAACATCGGTATCGTTCACTGGTGCACGCGTTCTAATTGTTGTCAAATTCATTTCCATATTGTCCGGTAACTTTGGCGGGTCTGTAAAACCCAAAGCGAGAAATCTAACAACTTGCTTGGAATTTAACTGAATATACTGAATAGAATCGTCTGCTGCGAACTCGCGATGCGTTCAAGTAGTAATGTAACGCAGACTGGGCTCTCACCTTGCCTTTAACTGATATCATGTACTTACATTCCTACGATCTTGGAAAAACTATTAAGCATTATCATGGCACTAATAAACTTGAACAAATATTTACTATGTGACTTTACAGTGATATTCATTTATTGAACTTCTATGAGATTGTATATAGTCATGACTTGTTTTGTCAAACAGATCTTTCACATTTTTCGATTTCTTCTTTCTATCGTTCATGAAAAAAAAACAACAGAAACTATAGACGACTACACCGTATTGAAGAACGAAAGAGAAAAAAAATCGTTTCTTTCTCAATACAATTAATACTCGCCAACAATATCATATTTGAATAAGAACAAGAGATGAAAAAGCATTTGTGCATATAAAGTAAACCGATATATGCGAGTTTATTCAATCTTTATGTCCAAAACAAATCATACAACATCCATAGAAGTAGGCAATAACATACAATGCACAAGCAACTATCATTCCTACCGCACAACCTAGTTGTGCTTTAAGAAAAATATATTTATCCGTTGGAGGCGACTTGTAGCATTGATCGACTGATGTTTGCACACCGTTGAGATAGATCGGTGTACAGTTTTTAGCTATGTCCCCATATGCCGAATTGAAACTTTTGATATCACGCAGAGCGCAGCATAAATTATCGCCTAAGTAACATTTACAGATATTATCTTGAAAGTAGGCATCGAAGTATATAATAACACCCGCCAGTAATCCACTCAAAACTATGAACGCAAAAGAGAGAAAGAACGCTGTCAAGAAAGATTAATCGGTATTTACTGTTGAAAATCAACAAGTATGTTGCACAACAACGACCACGACAGCAACAAGCTAAAATAGGCTATTGAAAAACAAATTTTTTCTGGATTAGAACTGACTTACTGATGAAAAACATCATTAGAAACGTTGGAATGAAGATTAGACATGACCAAAATCCTGCCCAGATAGTACCATGTGCAACATCATGGTAAAAAGAACCAAATTCTAACCCTGCAATAGCTGCCGTGAGAAGTAGTTGTGCTGTCGCTAGTACAAGTGTAATCCATCGAGGAAATCGCTCTTTGAACCCCATATTAATCGAATGAATAATTTCTGTGATCGAATTCGAAAGAGCGAAAGAAAAAGAATCTTACAAAAGATGCGAACGGGAGAGGAGAACATATGTGAAGAGAAAAAAGAAAATTATACTTCCATTTTTTTTTCTTTGAGTAATGACAGACTGAAGGTCGTATCACAACGACGAGAGAAAAGTACTTCAAATAAGAAATGCTGTTTGTGTTTGATCATCACGATTTTTTTTCGAAAAGAAACGTCAGGTATAAACAACACAAAGCAGGGCAACAAAAAAAATGAATTCGGTAGTCACTGAGTCACATGTTGGGATTTTCATCTTGAGAATGGATTCGAGCGTTTCAGAGTTCGAAGACGTGTGGAAAACGTGTTCTCGAGAAGACATTTCTCCGAATTAGCAAGAATACTTTCGCGTAAATCAACTAATTCTTTAGTCTGATGGTGTTTGCCCATGAGCAGATTGACTTCAAACTCGCGTTTTTTTCTCTTTGTAGAATTTATTGCGTCCAATGGGATGGCCGATTCCGTACGCATAATCAATCGAACGCAAAGTCCTGTCTCTTTTGTATGCTCAACCAAATCAGCAGTATAAATTACTAATGAATCGTATTGAAAGCACAGAATTTCATCGACAATAATGCCTTTTTCTGTGAAGACGATGTAACCAGTTGTCTTCGCTTTGTATTGATCATAGTCGTTCTTTCGACAGGATATTCGTTTATTTTTTGTTGGAAGAGTATTCTGAAGTGAATCGATCTGCTTCTGCCATAGTTCACCATCTAGTTTCACACAATATTGTGCACGCTTCATCCAATCGTGACCAAAACGGTAACTTTGATAGTTATAATATACAGCGATTAAAAGAACGAAAGCGGGTGTGGCTATAATTACACCTAATATCAATGGTAAAACCGTCAAACCAGTGTCGGAGGCATCAGTCGAGGCTTTGATACAGATAAAACAGATAGTACTCGCCATGATTAAGATAAGGATGATAAGTAATATGGCGATCGTACGTCGTTTCGATCGTTTTCTGTATACATTGTATAGTTTGATACTGATATCAGTTGTGTTATTTGCAGCAGTGCTTATATTCGTTAAGTTAATAGTAGTTGAAGTGTTAGCTGTCATATTTACATCGAAATGAGAAGACTATACACTTGAGATTATATGAGGTTTGCCTTGTGATCTTTGGAAACTAGGAAATATTTAAGAAAAAATATAAGTGACTTATATCAATATTTAACACCTGATTTCTCTATAAGGATCAACAAAAACTTTATGTCGTCGTTTATTTTCTTTAAAAATATCTATAGACACGAACTGTTTTTCTCAAAATATTCATTAAAGTCTGCTTACGATAGATTTTTTTATTAATTCAAATTACGTATGAAATCGTACGAAATTCAGAGTAACGATTCATATTGACCAGAATGAATAATTAGTGTCGCTTGATTTGCTGATAACTTCCAAAATGTGCTGCTTGTTGTTCTTGTGGTACACTGAGATAGACTGCCGAGCTGAAAGTAGTTAAGGGTGCGTATGTTCCTCGTTCAGTACTATGTTGCATATAGGTATTAAAATGAGACGAACGATAGGCATTCTCCGATGGATAATGATGTTCAAGGTCTCGAATCAATAATTGACAGAATTGATCTTTGCCGGACACACTCGCTTTGATCTTGTTGACTTGAGCTTGAAGGATTTCTCGAGATCGTTGATAATCCCTTTCATCCATAGCTCGTTTGATTTCACGAGCTGTTTCAACTCGATTGCGTTGCAGATCGAGATTGTAATTGACTGGGAGTTGACCAGCAGTTGACTGCAACGTTCGCATCAATTGAAACGGAACAGGTGTAGTGGTTAATGTCTGGTTCGTATTTGTATCTACATAAGTAACTGACACTTGACCTTAAGTATGCAATGCAATTGAAATTTCGTTTTAGGAAATGACGTGGTCTTACCAATAATTTGAGGTATATCAGCAGCTTGTCCATCTTGTCTTTCGACATTCTCATCATCCATTGACATAGTTTCATTGACTACAATTTCCGGAATATGTAGTTGAAAAATGAGATTTCGTTTTTCGTCCGCATTCAGATCGTTCAATTTAAATCCCAATCGTTTGCATGGTAAATTTTCAGGCGTATGCGGATATATTGAATGAACATGAGTGATCGCATATGGTTCATTGAATTTGATCTCAACCTGAAGTTGTTTTGCAATGCAACTGAATAAGCCACCCAACGTCATAGCAAAAGCTCGACCAACCGCTTCTTGTTGGTCCTGTGTTCAGAGCGAAACAGATAATCGTGCGTATACTTATGAAACCAAACTAAAACTTACGATATATGTAAAGCTACCATTATTGCCCTTTTCAGCTATTTGTACCAATAAAGCAGCCAGGTGATCAGGCCCATAGCCAAATGTGTGACATTGCACGTCTGTGGGTAATGTCGATAGTAATTGTCCGTAATAATGCGAATGATTATCTTGTCCATCGGTGAGTAATAGTAAGGCAGCGATGGGATTTTTCGTTCGACGTGTATTTAGCAAATTAATACCCATCTGTAATCCACTTCCGATGTACGTACCACCAGCGCTATGCAAATCATTGTTGATTGCTCTCGTTAGGATTTGTTGACTAAAAGCTGCTACAATGAGGTCTGATATTGTCAAAGAAAGTTATTTACTTCTGTCGATTCATTCGTTTCAATCCATGTGAACGATCGAAAGCTCGTGTGTCAAACGAGACAAGTGCTAAGCGATCAAGATCATTCAATTGATCAGTTATATAAATGAGAGTTTGTTTTAACAGTTGCATTTTGTCACCAGCCATAGAATCGCTCTGATCAACAACACAAATGAGATCAATAGGAACACGAGATCCAACGGGCGATGCATTGACAGACGCTACGGCTCCTGGTGGCGCTTGAAGTGTAACCATGCCGTAGATATTTGATTCTGGACGAAATGCTTTGGTGCTATATTCAAGTGCTGTTGTTATCGTAATCATTGGACGGTTGCCCATTGGAGCCATGGCAGCAGCAGCAGCCTGTCGAGCAGAAGAAATTTGATCAGAAAGCGTTCGTAAAGCATTCTCATCAACTGGATCTTCTACTGAAGGAATTTCCTACAGAATGAAATTACAAAATGAACTGTTTCAACCTTTGTATATGCCCAAATTACTCACATGTACCGGTGGTAACGGATTTGTAGGGAAGCCAAACAAATTGAAATGCGTCATTTGTTGTTGTTGTACATGTGACTGGTGTTTACGGATTAGTAGTTGTACAACGGTTGCATCGATAGCTACTCGGCATAAGGGACACTGTTTGTTTTGTGCTTGAATGCTTGCAGCTAAGCATTGTAAATGAAATTTATGATTGCAGGACAGTGTTAATACGGGTGGTCCTGGCACCAGAGCACTCAGACAGATAGCACAACTATCACGTGAATCTGATGACGCAATAGTCTGGGCAGGAGAATTAGACAACATAGATAGTTTATGTTTCTTACGAATGTTTGCGAGAGAGAGAAAAGAAAACAAACTATCAAACAACGTGTTGCCTTTATACTTTCATTTGCACGAGTTATGTGATTGCATAACACATGATGACGCATTTTCTCATTCAAGGAAATGCGGTATCTAGCGTCATTGTATTTTTTCCATGCACGATTAATTTTATGAGAAAAAAATAATTGTTAATCAAATATTAGCAAAAAGAAAGATGTACTATCATTGGTAAAACATATAAAATCGTCTGAAAAACGTTTCGATGGGCAGAATTGGGAATGATAATTGTGTTGTTGTCTTTGTATATACGAGGTACACGACTTGATATTGCGCTAAAGACTTCTGATCGAGGAATCTTCGCGGCGCTAGCAACTTCATCTCCGGTAATTGTCATATTTCCTTGTTGACCAATGAAAGTAACGCGAGTTCCAACAGGATATTCATGGTCAAGAGCGACCATCAATTGATCCATCGATATTCGTCCAACGATTTCCATACGTTGTCCTTCGACAAGAACACCTGTTGGTTTGAGATTTTGATGCCATCCGTCACCGTAACCTATTGGTACAGTACCGATCCATTGTTTCTTCGTTGTCGTATACGTATCTGCATAGCCAATCTTTTCGCCGGCTTCGACTTCTTTGACAAGACTGAGAACAGAATGAAGAGAAATAACTGATTGAAGTTTTATTGGCAAGAAGGCTTTTAGAGGTTCATTGGGTGGGCCTGTTAACGCTTTGCCACATCGTACCATGTTATAGAAAGGTTTCTCATCATGGTAAAGCGTTGCACCGGAATTCGAGCAATGAATGAGTTTTTCCGAACGATTCGGAATAATTTCAAGAAACTGTTTGAATCGATTCAATTGTCGTAAGAAATAAGTTCGATTCGTCAGATCTTCTGACGTGGCGAAATGTGTAAAAGCACCGGTGAATCGTAACTTGGGATTTCGAGAAACAATATCTATCACCTTTTTCACTTCATCTTCAGTTCTGCAACCAAGTCGGTTCATGCCTGTATCAATTTTCAGATGAAAATCAACCGGCTGTTCAATAGCTTGATCAGCTTCTTGTAACCATTCTAACGAAATACCAGTGATCGTCACATTTGCTTCACTTGCTCGTGATAAATGTTCGACGGGAACATAGCCGAGAACAAGAATTGGAATATGTTTCGCGATTTCACGTCGTAGAACAAGTGCCTCATCCAATGTCGCAACGCCGATCCAAGTTGCACCGGCAGATAAAGAAGTACGAGCAATTTCCATGATGCCGTACCCATACGCATTGGCTTTGACAACAGCCATCAGATGAACATTATCACCGATGTATTTCTTCAGATTTAGAACATTGATTCGAACAAGATCTAGATCAACATCAATCCATGTAGGTCGGAGATATGGAGGGGGAAGTCTAGAACAAATCGAAATCGATTTCTCACGCAACAGTGCAAAGAGAATATGCATACTCTTTAGTTTTTATTTTACTTGGGGATATCGTAGAATTAATAATTGGAGAGCTATGTGTCGAATGATAGATAATATTCATTATTAAAATAAGTCTGATTATTCGCAACATGGTTTTCTATCTAAAGAGAATAAAACAAGATCGAAACATGAATGTGTCAGTTACAATCCCGCTTTTCTTTTCTTCATGTAAAAGCGATAATAATCATAAATTCATTCTGGTATATCAATATGTATATAATCGCATTAAGTGTCACTTTCAAGAAATCTATGAGATCGAAAAAAACATCAAAATACGAGAGTCTTGTTGAAACTAATCTGCATTTTCGAATATATTCGATACTTTGAAAGGAAGACAAAAACGTTGTCTTTTCGTTCTTTAAAATTTACCTATAGATAATATACAACGAATTCAGCACTTCAAATAAAGATTAACACTACGTATCTAATTCAAATGATAAATTATGCACTTGCATTCATTGTTTTCAATCATACAGAATTTTTTTCTTTTATCAGTTATTACAAAATTCACAAGTGTTATTGAGTATATCATTGTCGATCGGAGAACATGTGTCCGGAGGTTTTTCTCATGATTTTTTTCTGGCTGAATTCTTGGTACATATGCATCAATTTTGAAATCATAAGAATATACACATCAATGTCAAGAGAGAAAGATAATGTATACTTGATTTACTCTGTAAAATCATGGACGAATCGATGATACAACAGAATAATTCGTCGTTCTACTCAAGTATTGAATTATATGTAACATTGAAGCTTCGATTAATTATCGAATATCCATGGTCTTTCTTTTCATCACTGATATCCATGAGAATAAAAAAAGACTATACGCATATTGAGCATTCATTCGTGAAGGACTCATATGTAAAAAACGATTTTTTCTCTTTCTCGATTGACATCCTTCTTGTCCAATACTTCATATGCGCATATACACATACTAAGTAGAGGAGATATAGTCGATAACAGAGATGATGCAGTTACAACATATTGGATATCCTCAAATACCTCCAGTTGATCAATTTGTTCCAATAGGAGCAGAACCGATCAAAGAAGCTCCTCCACGGTAGGTCATTTTTCATCTCGTCATCCTTGTCATAGTGATCTGTGTCGTTTAGTCGTCGATGGGCCACTTTTCTTGCCATTGGTCTTCTCGCCCTAGGTTTATTTCTACTCGCTGCTACCATTGTTCTAGCATTGATTCCTATCTATACATCTAAACAAACTCAACCAGCAACAATACGCACATTAACGAGTCCATTTACTCTACCAATAAGCAGCAATACTATACTCACTGCCAGTACTTTCAATACAGCTCAACTCGCTTACTTACAATCCATTGTTCGTATTTTCGAATCGTAGGTTTCATATGTATACTATGATTCTATTAGTTCCAACAACGGCTGGATAGCAATCGAAAGACTAGTGGTAGTACAATAACTGTTAACAGTGCATCGGCGCTGGTTAAAAGCAAACGCGTAAGTACTAAACAAAGCAATTGCTTGATTTCGAATTATTTCTTTTAACAGCGTAAACGACAAACAGCTGGATCGATTACTGGTACTTATACAATAACTTACCCTAGCACAATTCTGGTAACGTCATTCAATACTTTAAATTCTTTTACTCTTAGTAATGATCAGTGTAAGTGATAGGAACTATGAATGATAAACTTTTCACATCTACTCTTTTCTAGTAACACAACTTCAAAACTTGCAAAGTACGTAGTAAGAGTATTTAACGATGAACAGAAAAACATTCTTGGTATTTCTTTCCAGGTGGCTGAAAAGACGTAAAACTATAAATCATCGATCAATATTGACAATAAACTATGCATTCCTTTTTGTTTTAATCTAATCCACTAAAACATATGCTCTAGATCTCAATCAAATAAATAAATATCTTCTTCGTTCTGTTCCTTTAGAGAACTTCCGTTCGCATATAGCACACGCGATACAGCCGACTTAAATTGAAAGAACGGGCAAAGCTGCCGATACTCATGAGATTAAAAGAAAGAAAAACAGCATTTTACATACATCTTCACAATCTGAAAGAACAAACATTTTCTGTGTTATTTATTTCCTATGTTTGCATTATTTACCTCGAGATGTATTTTGTAACAACAGCAGGAGTGCAGACGATGAGGCATGCTCTCAATGAAAATGTACCGTATCGGATTTAGAATTAACTATTGAACAACTACAGCCCGGTGATTTGCTTCCTCTTGAATTTCATGCACAAAATGTTGCTCTTCTCATCGAAACCGGTTGTCATTTGTCTTTACTCGAGTGCACGCCTCAGTACTCAAAGGCAAACTGGTTTGTCTCAACTTCATGAAAACTGTAATGAATTGTAGTTTTTGGCTTAAGAATTATCATGGGATGAAATTCAACGATTTACACAGGATTAGACTTGAGTTATCGTTATATATGTTTTCATTCAAATACTAAAACAACAGATTTTACGATATATAGTTCATAAATTGATTAGTTTCGGTGTAGTTGACTTTATAACCATGTATTGTAGTCATTTTCTGCTAGAGAACCAGCATTGCTCCTCAACGGATGATGAGTACTTGCTGTCGAACGGAAAATTCTATTCCTGCATTCGATGAATTGTGATTTACATAATGTACAGCATCAAACGATCGACGTTGCCTAGATATTTGTGATAGTTCGTAGGGCCTTTGACCATCATCTTAATACCAGTTGTACAACATCGAGAATGCTGTAAATGTTGGAACAGTACAAACGAAAACAAAGTCTCTGTATTCGCAATACTCTCCTCGTATTATGGAATAGATAACTGCTGTTGTAAGAAGTGCAATGGCACATATCAGACGGAGAACAGCTCAAAAAATGAGCTCCAGTTGTGAAAGCTTCCGGACTACTAATAGTAAATTGTATAGTAGAAATATGAGACCGACAGCAAAGAAGAAAGCTCATCTTGGTGTAAGAACGTGATCATAAACAATGGTGATATTTTCACAAAAATTTTCTTGATATAAATGACTGGCGAGGATATCTCCATGATCGGAGCTTGTATTCGAAAATAATCTGTCCGAATACGATGGATTACAGTCTGCGATAAACCTCAAAAATAGAATTGGGTCGACGGCAGAAAGAACAGTAGCCATCGATTGGCAACGAAATTTGGTTTCATACCCATATGGCCACACTCGTCGATACATCTAAGTTGTTAAAGGCTGAAAGGAAATATACGATGATTATCTGACATTGCGATGCCAATGTAATGATAGAAAGGCAAGAAGTAGGACACTTGCATCGAGAAAATCTATCATTTGACCTGTTGAACGATATTTAGTTCGGCAGAAAGATATGCATATGCCTAGAATCACTTTGAATGTTTCTCGATCAACAAAAACAATATTTGTTATCATACACACACCTACATTGAATTAAGATTAGATGAAATTTTTTTTTCTTCAATTCACCAACAGCAAAGAACGTTCTATTGTTATTTCAATCAGGCGATCGTGTGCATATCAGAATGAGAAAGAGAAACATCTGCGCACAACTCTATTTTCTCACTTTGTTGAAACTGGGTTATTATAAATTAAAAGTACATTTCGATTTTTTTTCATAAGTCGAGTAAAAATGGCACGAATTTCGATTTTACTTTTGTCCTTAGTTGTACTATTTTCAAACAATGCGAATAGTTTCAACTTGACTGAATATGCTTCGATCATCGAATCACTATCACTTGATGGTCAATTCATCGAAGAATACGCTAAATGGACATTGGAATTATTGTCTGATCCTGATTACATCGATGGTCCAACTCCACCACCGTTTCCTTGTTCAACTGACGGAATGACAAGCGCCGAAGTACCAACATCAGTTCATGCTCTTCGACCTGGTGATATTCAATGCGTTGCAGCTCTGGGAGATAGTATTACAGCTGCTATGGGTGCTCGTGCTTTGACACCAGTTGGTGTTCTCTTGGAAAATCGAGGTCGTGCTTGGTCAGTTGGTGGTGATGATACTTATAAGAAAGTCTTATCAGTACCAAACATACTTCGTTTGTACAATCCAAATTTGAAAGGCTTTTCAACAAAAACTTCCGTTTCGTTTCTCAATGGTCAAAATGCGAAAAATAATGGATTGAATGTTGGTCTGTATAGGTCATAATTCTCGTTCTGGGCAAATCTATGTTTGTTTGTCTGTTTGCAGCTAAATCTGGTGCTCGTTCATATCACATGGTAGAACAAGCCGACCTTCTTTTAACTCGTTTGAAGAATGAAAAATTATGTGATTGGAACAATGATTGGAAATTAGTCACACTTTTCATTGGAGTAATTCGAAATTGACTTTCTATTGACATCATTCATTTCTTTTTCTCGTCATTAGGGCAATGATCTCTGTGATTTCTGTTCGGATTTGGTTAAACACGATCCAGCTAAATTTATCGGTTGGGTTCGTGACACTCTTGATCGATTATATAATGCAAATTTGCCTCGAACATTGGTTAATGTTGTTCTTGTTCTCGATGTTCGTCCAATCCGTGAACTTAAGGATGGCAATTTAGTTTGTAAACTTCTTCATAAATCATTATGTAAATGCGCTGCTTATCCAAGTGAAGACGATGAACGAACGTTGAGCGAATGGATTCCTCAATATCAACAAGGTGTTGTTGATTTGATCAACAGCGGTCGGTACGATGGTCGAGAAGACTTCACTGTTGTTGTTCAACCGTTTTTATCGGAAACTGTGCCTCCCAGAAAATCAAACAAAATCGATTTCAGTTATTTTGCTCCAGATTGTTTCCACTTTAGTGCAAAAGGTCATTCAGTGGCAGCTCTATCACTCTGGAACAATATGTTCGAACCTATCGGTGCGAAAAAGACCTCCTGGCATCAAGGTGAACCACTCGAATGTCCAACACAAGATCATCCATATATTTTCACATCAAAAAATTCCATTTCAGCTAAAAAATAACAATAAAACTTAATAAGAAAAAAAACACATTTGATTAGAGGACGAGAACGTCGTTTTATGTCCAAACAGGAAAGACTATATGCGTGATGTGTCTAAATAAAATCTGAAAGCGGAATAGATGTAGCTTATAACTATCACCTCATTATTAAGTCTACGTGATATTCTGTCGCCGAAAGTATTCATACAAGATAAGCTTCTCTCCTCAGTAAGCTACATCTTTTATAATATTTTTCAAAATTTTATCCCTTGTTAGTTCCAAATAGATTCATTCAAGAATAGAATAGCAAATAGCATTAGTTAAAAGAATCGGGTGTGTACTGTAAGTAGAAACTCATTAGACGATATTCGCTAACTGTTCTGATATATGTAGGAATCTATGATAGTTTTCATATAGCTTATCAACAGTTCTATTCGATCTCGTGTTACCATACAAACTCTGTTTTGACACGATTCTGATGAGAATGTTTCGTGAAGATTTGTCATTAAGTGCAACTCTTCGTGTTTCATTGACTAGAAGTAATTAAAAACAACGATCGATAAAGAAAAAAGAATCCGTTGTTTTGCTTTTGAGTCATATTTGGATTAATTTTAGTTTCTAGTGGGGGAATAGAATCCCTTTCAATTGTATATGGTTTCTTTTCCATTCAATTATATTTACTGACGAAATTCATAATTTTACTCGTTCGCCAGAACAGGAAACAACTTATTATGACAAATTCATGAATACAACCAGTGTCACTCACTCTTTAGCACTGATGGCGACAAATGCAACAACAAGTTTTCTAGTCATCCATCTAGCAAGTATTCAAACGCAAATAACACGTTGTTTAGCTATTCCATTAGTTCTCGGCATATTCGGCAATTCGGCGTCATGTATGGTTTTCAGTCAAAAACAACTCCGTTCGAGCGGTGTATCACGTTTTTTCATTGCCGCGTCGACATTCAACATTATTGTACTTATTTATGGTGTTGGTACAAGTTTCTTTGCGCTTGATCATGTTAGTCCTGATACATATTCACTGACTTTTTGCAAACTACGTTTGTATTTACGACATATTCTTTTGATGATCGTTCGAAGCTATATTATTCTCGCTTGTATTGCTTCGTTCGCGATATCCTCTCCTCATACAAGTTTACGCGCTTTATGTCAACCACGATATGTCAATTGGGCGATCGTTCTCGTTCCACCGGTTTGGCCATTAATCGCCATACATATGATATTTTTTAACACCATCCAAAAAAACCAATGTGTTAATATCGAATCGTATGTCATACCATTTGGTATCTATTTTTTTCTTGTTGTTGGTCTTTTACCGGTCGTTCTGATGACCATATTCATTTCATTAACAACCCGAAATTTACGTCGCTTACATCATCGTGTTCGAGCATCAGTTCTTCGACCAACAAGATTACAATCACGTGATCGACATTTCATACGCATGCTTCAAGGGCTCGTTGTAATGTATGCTGTTACGAATCTGTTCTATCCAGCCAATGTTTTATACTCGGCTGCAACTCATTGGACTGCAAAAAGTGCAGAACGTACTGCTATAGAAGCGATAATTTTCTCCATAACCAGTAATTACATCTTATATATCAATAATGTGTCACCATTCTTCGTGTTTTTCACTGCATCTGATTCTTTCCGACATTCATTTTATCACACCATCTACAAATTCATACGTTATGTCATAAGCAAAAGGAATCAAATACAGCCAGCAGTAATCACGATTGAACCATCTGCACACAACAGAACTTGATTTGAACAAATGCGCTGCCTTTATGTTCTGTAGTTAATTCATCGGTCAAGAGGTCATTCTCCGGACACGCGTTCACTGGATCATCGATCTGTACGGAGAGGAAAAAAAGCAACATTAAAGCATTCTTAATTCAGGTTGAGAGATAATAACGATGTTTTCTCTACGTCGTAGTCAGACAGCCAAACGATTTATCGCCTACCAAAATAGCTTCGGTATTGCACTTTTCATTACAATATGTTGTAGTGCTGGTGCACCGACAATCATTTCTGGCTTTCGAGAATTGTACAAATCACATACATTTGTTCCTGGTCTACAATGCCAAGTAAAAGCCATCGATATAAAAAAGGACGTATTTACATTTTACCTTCATTGGAATGTTACAACATTTTATGGCAATCAAACAAAAGATCGCAGGATCAGCTTTATCATAAACTTTTCCGAAAAAAAGGCATCGACAACAGCGAATACGTTTTCAGTATGACTGACAGAATTTCACTAAGAAAAATCAATTATATACGCTTTTTTAAAATTATTATTAGATAAATGAAACATATCCGTGTTTTTGTGCACGAGTTGATATATCTGTTATTCAATGGAATTGTCAGTGGAGACAACCATCGCTACCTTTTGCTGTCGTTTATCTTGTTATGGGAACATTATGTTTAGTTTCGGGTGTGTGTATGAAAATGCTTAGAAAACGTTTTAAAAAAGAATTACAAACTGAACAATCCACAGGATAATTGCATCAACTGGAAATATAGTCACTGTCCGCGCCTACTTATTAATAAATGATGACTGTGTATGCTGATTTGTTTCAAATAAAATGTTTGTAGTATCTAGTAACACCCTTCTGATATTTGCTTCTATTTCAAAGTACCGAGTATTCAGTAAAGAATACACTGGGTGAAACACGCTCGTGATAGTATGCTCAATACTATCTCTATTTGAGCTAGAAGGGATATAGGGATCTATCTATACGTAATAGTAAACAGAGAAGGTATCACCGGGTGATCTATCGTACGTGAATGATTATGAGAGTAAAACTGTAGATTCGATCAGTGACAAGAACTAAATAGTCATCTCTGCTAAGCCATGTAGAGAGTACATAGATTGTTTTGAGTTAACTCACGGTTGAAAACGTGCAGTTCATTCATAACACCGAAAAATTGCATTTCTGAAATGCGAGCGTCGTAACAGTAAGTTTGAGAATACTGTGTATTGGCACCAACGTGCAGTGTCTTTATATAACCATTTCCAGCATAATATTCTGTTCTACGTGCTTTAAATACACTGTTTACATAAAGACATACTATATTAACATGATATCTATTGAATAATCGACGAGTGCTGGTAAGAAAACTATACTTACATCCATTTTCATAGCTGACTGACAACGCAAGATGAGTCCATTGATTGAGAACAACTGGATCGGGATTAGCTGTCGGATGTGCTCCCAATGGCAAGAGACTGAGAACTACTAAAGGTTCACCAGTTGATGTGATACCCAGTACTGGCTTGTAATAACTACCATCATTTGCAGCTGTTAACAAGTATAGAATGAAGCCACTCAATGGACTCGGTTTTATCCAAGTTGAAAAAGGAACTGAGTGATTCGCAACATCGAGATGTAGATAACTTTTTGGAAAACTTCAGACGTGTTTCAATATGACCAGGAACTATTGATGATACTGTTGCATCCAATCTAAAAGAGCTTGCGTCAATTAGCGATCCGTTGTTCCAGGGCTAGTAGACTACTAGCATTACATCAATCTTTGTCTCACAATCCGATTTAGTACGACCATTGTAAATCGACGGATCATTCATATAACCTGAAAATGTCGAAGCTGTCGGTGCGAAAGTGTTGTATTCAATAGTAGTATTGTCAAACGATCCCGAATAAGCTCTGGCTATTCGATGACGAGTGTCTAATTTACCATTCACGTAAATTCCTTGCTTCATTGCCGTTATATAGAACACAAAAGCTAGATGATACCTAAAAATAACGATCTTGTCATTTGAAATCCTCAATATAATAATATTTACCATCGAGCATACAGAAGAGTAGTAATTTCCAAGAATATTATTACCCGAAAAATTGCGATAAAAAAACAATGTAGTGCTGGTAATAGCCAAATGTAAACATTGGTTCGTTGCTGCGCATTGACTGAATATACTACTGATCGATGCTTTACTCGAAAATTTGTTCAGAAAAGCGAATAATTCAATTGTAAATGGCCGATTATAAAAAGCAATGAAAGGAGCTACTGCATACTGACCTCTAGCTGTGTATTCCGGAAAATACAATGGATTGCTGATTGAAATGGTATTACTGAGGTTAAACAAATCAAATGAGCACAATGCTGTGAGGTTTGACCGTGAGAATGCAGGTAATGATAAAATACATGATTGGATGCCGCATGAAATATTATCACCTATAAATACGATCAGAAGCTACTTGAGCAAATTTGTTACATACTTGATGTTTCTGTCAAAGAGATAGTATCAGTGGTAATAGTTATTTCATTCGAAGAATCCGTAGTTGGTTCGGAAAATCAAACAATTAATTGCATGTTCGTTTACAAAATAGATTATTAATTACAATTAAGACTGGCGTATCGAAATGTGGTTATAGTTATCATTTAGAAGTTCTGTGAGAAACTATATCTTACGATGTAACTTGATTATTAACACAAGAGAAAGGAGAAGAACTAGAATAGCGGTTATTGTAACTACTATACCGATAACTAATACACTTGTATGTTTGTTACACATTGATCTATAGTTTAAAAGACGTTGCAATAGTAAAAAGACATGTAAAAGACATCCAAATAAATATAAGAAAAATCTGTGGGCCGTCGAATTAAATTCTCATGAGTTTAATATATTAGTAAACTTAAAGGCAGTTCGCTTGATAGTAATTATGTTTATTATTCAGATGTTTCTTTTGTTTTAAAATAAATGCATATCGTAGACAGGAATAGAGAACCAGGCTTCTAATCTCCATATCTTCAAATTACAGCTCATTGCGGTTCCCGTGATTTTCACGGTTGAAAGCACTTATTTTCTTTATGTCAACCTACACCAATGAACATGAAACTCAAGTTCAATGTATAGCCACACGAATTACTATTCTTCTTTTGCTTGTGTCAACAACAATCCTTATACTCTATTCAAGCATCCGCCATATCGTTGAGACAATATCGTTGTCCAAGATTATTATCGATCGGCTCTAAACCAACATCCAAGTTTTAGTTGTCTATCCACAGACATCGTACCATCATGTACGGTTTTATCCTTAATTTAGTTTGTGTTTTTATAAAATACGAAGCATTACACACATATGTGTCATTACAGGTGTGCAATTGAGATTTTGTAAGTGATCCGCGGCTCGCTTTTCTTGATGGTTTACTGAATGCTGATGCCGTACCCATCAACAATTGGCTTCGCATTTCATTTGCACAATTTCATTTACTAGACACTCTGTGTGAATTAACTGAAATTACTACGACACATACTGCAGCTGAATTAGATGATGACATCTTTTTCCTATCATAGATGTAAACTATTACGAACGTTTTTCAACCGAATATCACAAATTCGTTCGAACGTTCCCTGAATATGAAAAGTGGTACTGAAACAAGGTAATCTACTGGTGTCTGACTTGGCCAATAACTACCAACACTATGGTGAAAATACAAATAACTGGTTAAGCATACTAGTGCATCCTTATCCAGTGTATTTTCACGATGAAAACCATGATTATGGTGGGCTTGTCATAGAAAGTCAAAGCACACGAACTTTCCTGCTGTGATATTCAGTAATGGCAATAGTCAAATAGTACGCGACTAGCGTTATGGATGCTATGTCGAAGACGCTCTATTTGTTTCGGTATTGGAATGTTATTACAATGTAGCATGTTTCTCATTGCTACGACTTCCCTATTCGTTGCTGCTAGAAGTCCAACTTCTTGAAATGACTACCGATGCCAGATTGCAAGTCACTACCACAATTGGTACTATTGAACGACGTATATTTGTAGGTAAATGGTCATCGACGTACAACTTTACTGGCTATTATGCAGCATATTCATCATCAATTTGTACGTACACAATTGAAGAGCACCGAGCATTCTTAACAATTATCACAACAGTTATTCCTCTCGTAGGAGGCCTATCCAGGACAACTGATGTTGTGGTGCCGCCTTTGGCACGACTTGATCGTCCGCATCTTTGTCGACGCATTCATCGTTTAAAAACCAGTATAAATCAAAGAAAAAAAATAATACGATTACAGCCCTGACACAGCAATAATTGACGTTAAGCTATACGTTGTATAAAACTTTTCTTTATAAAACGTATCTATGTCATATAAATTTATTCTGAGAAAAGTCATAAAACTCCTCTCATTCCTAAGATCAAGAGTATTTTGTAATGTTTTCATCTTACAAGCGACGAAAGAATATAACTCTTTACAGAACCACACGCCGCTAAGTTGCTCCTATTTGTTGCTTTCACAACGTCCTTTCTGTGCTATCTGAATATCCATCGCCCAATTCTCAATTGCATCTACACCTTTCGAGAAAAGAATGAGAAAAATGTTCTAGTTTTTTAAACCGTTCTTCTGCATCACATTTTTAACTTCAGCTGAAAAAACAAGTGAGATTTAGACTTTTTCTTTTCTCTTATTTTATTTGTCTTGATAAGCTTATCATTCCGCTTGCTCATTCGAATATAATGGAAGCACCCATATCGCAGAGAACACAAGTCATTGTTTTCGCCGATAAATACTTTCTTCAGCGACGTAATAAATGTTGCACACGATATGTAAGCCCTTAATTATGAAACATCTATGTATTGTAGATATATAAATACTTTTCATATGATTCGTGGTACTTCCATACGGCTACAACATCGCCAAAATCCCGCAGTTTTACGGCGAACTCGTGCGAATAAGCCGTCAAATGAAATTACAACGACCCAACTACAAATAGTGACGCTTCCAACACCACCGCAGCCACAACTGACTTTATCTGAATTAATCGAATCATTAGAAACATGGAGAGATCCTGATGACAGTGCACAAGATCTGATAGCAAAAGAAAGGATTCAAGATTGTTTCGAACAACAATCAGACAGTTTGGATTTATCCTCTCTCTCTCTGAGCACACTGCCGGATGCAATTGGAAGAATGCAGCATATACAATTCTTATCTCTTGCCAACAATTGCTTCTCTGAGTTGCCGGAAATCTTGGTCCAACTGACCGATTTGAAACTATTGAACCTTTCATATAACACACTCGTAGGCATACCCGATAGTATCAAATTATTCGAAAAACTGCAATTTCTCAACGTAAGTTGTAATCAACTTCAAAAGGTTTCTGCTGAACTGGCGCGTTTGCCGCACATTGAAACAGTGCTCTTGCCTCATAATCGAATCCTGGAATTTCCCGACAATATTAAAAGTATTAAAGCTCTCGAGATACATGATCAAGTGCCATTTGCAAGAGTCGATCGCTTTTCTGTTGAATTTGCAAAGCAATGGGAGGCCACGATAAAACATGAAGGAGATTCGGGTTACTTTGAAATATGGATGGCCCGATTCGAAGAAATCCTCAAGTTGGAACATATAGAAAGGTATGCCGATGCACTCCAAGGGCGTGTCGGTAAAATAATGAATTTGATGGTAAAAAGCGCACAATTACGTCAACGATGTTTTATCGAAGCAAATAAATTTATTGCTACATGTTACGACGGTCTTCTATTCTCCTTATTTGTCATGGAAACCATTTATCTCGAGGAAAAGATGATGATTTTAGAACTGTCCGATGACGAAGTTCGACAAGCTATGGAACAAATATATAATTTTCGTCGGCTACAAGACCTTGCTATATTGTATGCTCGGAAACAAATCGACGAGACAACGACGACCGAACGTGATGCAGAGATAGTGGAATTAGAAGCAAGTCTACTTTTCTATTCGTCATCGGCGAATACTCTTGACATGCCATTAGATAAAGAGAACTCTCGTTTCATAAATGATGTTCCAAGAATATCACTGGATGTTCAAATGACAGTTCAATTGATCGAACAGGAAAAGCGCGAAGCTGGAGAAGACTATTTGGTGGACTATCTTATCGACAAAGAAGTGTGGGTGTTCTATTTAGAAGTTCGTTATGCTGATATAATCGCAGAACATACAGGAATATTTATGGAACAGTTAGATGAATTGGAAGCGAGAAAAAGCACAATGCTTGATTATGATTATCTTGTCGAAGCCAATGCGCTTGTCGAAGAAAAGACAGATTCTGAACAAAGATTGTATCGTCAGTTAACCAAGAATATTGTGAAAGACTAAGTTTTTGAATTATCGATCAAATAAAATTTCATGCTGAGCTTTGTGTGAACGAGCGACTCGTTCGAAGTACGTTTTTTTCCATTTGTTCGAAAAGCGTCCATTCAGATGAATGGGAGCAGAATCGATTGTTTGTCAGAAAAAGTCGCTATCACCAAAAGAGATGAATGAAACGGATCTGATAATTGATAGAATTGCTGAGTTAATTCTTACATGTGACTCGATTTTATTTACAAGTGGCGCTGGCATGAGCGTGGCCAGCGGGCTTGGTACTTTTCGAGGCAACACAGCTGACATTTGGCCACCTCTTTTACAGGAACCAAAGTATGATTATACTGAAATTTGTGATCCCGTTTGGTTTTGCAAAGAACAGAGCAATAGTATTGAACATAATACGGCTAATTTTGGATATGCATTCTGGATATACCAGTATCATTTATTTACTTCAACTACACCTCATCACGGTTATCTGATCGCTAAACAGTGGAGCCAATTAGATCATATGAAATATGCGTTCAGTTTTACAAGTAATATCGATGGGCATTGGAGAAAATCCGGTTGGTGTGATGTATCTATACTTGAATGTCACGGTTCTATCGATTATATGCAATGTGTTCGTAATTGTTGTGATTCGGTATGGCCAACGAATGACGCATTGAAATTAAATGTTGATCCGGAAACCAACTGTGCGATCGATCCATTACCTTTATGTTTACACTGCAGCCATTTAGCAAGACCTAATGTATTGATGTTTAATGATCAACGGTACGCTGGTGAACGATATAACGAACAGATTGATCACTATGAGCAATTCAAGATGGATATCGTAGAGACAAAATCGAAATTATTAATTATTGAACTAGGTGCTGGTACAACAGTACCTTCTGTACGAAATGAAAGCGAACTGGTGTTTAAGAACAAGAAATGGGTGGCCAATTTCGTTCGAATTAATTCATCGGTAGAGCATTCAACGATTGAAGATTGTTATAAAAACAAGGCCAATCGATTGACGTTGAAATTAACAATGGATGCGTTGGCAGCAATGACATTGATTGATCAAGCGTTGAATAAAAAACTAAAAACAGCTAAATAGCTATCAATGAGGAACGTGCGTAATCGATCAGAAAATTTTCGTCTATCGATGTATGAAACTTTGTTGAATCTTTGAATAAATGTATATCTATCGTTCGTTGTGATGTATGATGCGGAGAGTTTTGATTATGTTAACGGAGTCAGATCCTCTTAAAAGCTATCATCAGCTCATTTTTAATTTGTTTAAAACTTCATGTGACAACGATACGAAGTAATAATCAAAAGTAAATTCAATGCAACGACGAAGACTATATTTTTCTTTTCAACTCTGCACAAGAGAATAAATTTTGATGAGTGGTTTCTCTTTCTATTATAAACATTTGGCTGAGCATTCAAAGAAAAGAAAAGCATCTCAACTTTATTCTCAATTTCTATTATTTTCTTCTGAAGCAGCGAGCAGGCACGTGCGCAGAGTATTTGATCATCTTATTCTCTAAATTATACGCAGAACTCGTTTTTAACCGTGTTGAATGTCGCAGCAAAAGAACACTGTCACATCTACTGCATATGCGAAATGTATTGGATGTCATGCCAATGCGAAACTAAACGTTTGTAGTATCTGCCATCATCTAAAATGTATCTACTGCATCGGAATGCACCAACAAATAGACAAGCTTTTTCAAATAAAAGCTAAATGGGAAGCAAAAGATCAGTTCTCGAAACAGCAAACATGTAAATCAAATTCCATAAGAACTCGAAATATCTTGTTTTGTCTTCTCTTTAGCTTTGAAGTGTAAAGAAATTGAGGAAAGTACCGAGAAAACGAGAACATCATCTGAACGTCTCACGACTACGTATCATACGTACGGACAGCAACTAAAACAATCACAAGCAAATAATCAACAGTATGAGTTGCATTCGTCTCAGACGATTTCATTTTTGCTTTGTTCTTGTCTGTCGAAGACATGCGGATGATCTGAAAGAGATGTTGAATGAACCGGAAAAGATCAGTACCACCAGCGCTGAAGATTGTACACGAATCGACGAAGTAATAGATCGAGTCGAAAAGAGTTCGAAGAAGGAGGTGAAACGGATAAAGATGATTGTTTGAAACGATGTTAAATGATTATCTTTTTTCTTAGCTATGCTCTGAACCCAATACGATAAGTCCAACTTTGGGATCACTGAATGAAGGTGCATATAGTGCTTCAATGTTAGATCAGACTGGTAAGTATACAGGACTTCAAATGTGTAGAGAATAGTAAGCGTCGATCGTCTACACATTTTACAACCAAATATTCATGATATCTCTCACCATTATCCTTTTTTCAAGATATTCCAGCACAGCACATTAATATGGATCATCGTCACTCGTCAACCGAGTCATTGCTTGAATCAAGCGCAATTGACACTATTGAGACTGAAAACGATAGTGTAGACAATTTGGAATCGAACGTGGTGGTGGCAATAGACCAAAAGCAGCAGCTCTCGAAAAGTCAGAAACGTCGACTTAATCAGAAGAAGCGAAAGGCTAGTAACGCTAACAAGTTATCAATAGTTCCAGAAGCATCAACAACTACTTGTACAACACAGTTAAATACATATCTTAAACCGGCGATGAATAAAGTTGTGACGCTATATTTCAGCAACTTGACAAAAAGCTCAACAAGATCTCTAAGAGTATTTCGTGGACAAAAAACAGCTTCTAACGATGAATACCTTCTTGCATGTCCCAGGGATAAATTGTGGTTGCTTGACACGCAAGGAAATCAATGTTTGGCCATTCCACGTCGATTTGACGTTTATGATATGTGCTGGTCTACCTATTTGAACAAGTTTCTTGTATTGAGTAGCAAAGGACTCTACTCATTTGATCCCACATGTCAGAATCCTTTGACAATGGAAGTATCGGCGTTTGCGGATAGAATGGATGAATGCACATGTCATGAAAACATATTCATGATCATTAGCGACGCCGGAGGAGCTGATCTACAAGTATGGAATATGGAGTGGAAATGGAAAATGATTCGACGTTATTCACAGCCGAAAACCTGCAGATTGGGTGAAGCAATCAATAGTATACGTTTTAGCAGTAGTGGAACCTATTTGGGAGTGACATTGACAGCGCCTTTCATCGGAAAAGCCTTTTTTCAACTACGTAATCCAAAAGATTTAACTGTTTTAGAAATTGTGGAACGTCCATTTTATGAGGGTTATTGCAATCATTATATGTTGGCTCTTCCAAATGATGAATTTCTAGGTTATAAATATTCGGAGAGGGAAATCTTCGTCTACCATCCAAACGGACAACAGAAAGACGTAGTACGATATAGCAAAAGCATATGTTCAATATCGTTGATGATGAATGGTAACATCTGTCGTCTGGCTATCCAAACACATCAACCCGACGAACTTCATTTTCATGATCTATAACTGAGTTCCATCGTAAATCGTCATAGTTAGATAGTTCTTTTCTTCTCATAAATTAACGCATTCTAAACCGTTCGTTCGCTGGATAATTAATCTCATATAAATAAAGTAAAAGACATTTCATGATTATCGGAACTGACAAAAAGACTTCTGTGATTTTATGGGAATAAACTGTCATAATCTGCAACAAATTTTAGCCTGAATATTTGATACAATCTCTCTGAGAATTTTAGCATTTACTTTTCAGTAGATAACAAAAGAGACGATACTGGATCAATCGCATTGCAATAAAAAACTTTTCTGCTTATCAGATGTAGTAAACGATCATATGGCAGTTCATTTTCGGAACACACTTCATTTTGATGAGATTATTTACAGAAAGAAGAACATCTACTACCATCGCAAATGTTTGAAAGGTTCACTAGGGCAAATAAAATCAGTTTTCCTCCATTCATTCCTAGTGCTAAACATTGAGTTGTTTTTTTTGAATGAGGAAAAAGAAAAAGAACTCTGTTTCTGTCCATGGACTTGTTTTGATTATTACTCATCTAATGATGCACTTTTTCCAGTTTTGTTTTCACTATTCGATGAGTCGCTATAGGGACATTTACTTGGCGCTGTTTGATTGGGGGAAATACGACGGGAAAGATTAACAAAAACACTTTTGAAAACTCTTCATACACGTTTCTTCAAGAAAAACCTAACGAAATGAAAAGTCAGGTTTCAACGACAGAATCTGCATTTTCTTCCTTTCTTTCATATGGAAAGAAAAGCCGTAAAGAACAAAGAATAAACATCTTCGCACCAGATATACTTAGCAAAAATGCTTTCATCAACACAAGTGTACACTAATATCGTCATTTCTGCTTTCAAGTAAAACGTTCGCGCACGCGCTATTAGAAAGAATCATTTCAAATAACAGGAATGTCATCTCTCAAAGCATATTTTCAAAATCTAAATATTTTCGACATAGTCGATGGTGACAACGTTGAAGAGAATGAAAAACAATTTCGCTTTGATATACTTATCACTCGCGTTTATCTTCTAATTCTCATCTGTCTGCTAATTGCTGTTGTGATTGTATTATGTGTTACTCCCGATACAACTGTTCTTACGATTAATCAACTGACAATCGACCAGATTGGAACTTTACCATACGATGCTCAATGTCCATGTTCACAAATCTCGATCCTGTACAGTGACTTCACTGTCTTACAGGCGAAATTTCATGAAGTCTGTTCGAGCGATTTCATTTCTGATCGATGGATTCAAACTATCAATGTCGGAACGAATGTAAGTTATTATCAACCGACGGATTTTCGAGTCTTTGGAAGTGCACAGTTCATGGCTCTTTCGGCATTTTGTCGTCTTTCGCAAATGAATGTGTTGGGAAATCTCGCGTCATTCGATATGAGTACTCTAATTAGTCAGTAAAGTCTCTCGGAAAGAATTTTACGAACTCAAACTCAAGCATTCCTCGATCAATTTTTACTCACAGCTATGGATGCTTTTCGCGCACTGATTTATTCAATTCGTCGAATGACGACGCTGTTTATTTCGGGTTTACAAACGAATTTCTATGCGACCTACACGACCGGATCATCTTTAGCGATCAGTGCAAATCAATATCAAGATCAGCAAGGAAATGTGTGTAGTTGTTTCGGAGCATTAGATTGCATCTCACCGGCGACTATCTTTGATACCACGAATGAAATTGTCGTAATGACAATTTCGGGTCTATTTGCTGGCTGTTTACCGGTGAATTCTATCTTGCTTTCTACAATCGAATGTTTCTACAATCAAACATGCATTGACAATCTTCTATCATACTTTTCAACTAATGAAATTTTTACAGCAATGAAGATCAATGATCAAAGTCATTTTCCTCCGAATTCATCGATCGGATCGATTGTTAATCGATTGATGATCGAAGATTTAACTATAAATATCTCGTGCGAAAAGTACTTTAATCAATGTTCACCTCACATGTGTACTTATTCAAACACTCGACGGCATGGAATTGTATTCATTACTGAAAGAATTATCGGGCTTCTAGGTGGATTAACTCTCGTGCTGCGATTGACCGTTCCAACTATTGCGCGACTTATCAGACGCATCATAAATTACAAATCAAGTGGAGGAGTTTCCCGTAAGTGTTGAACCTCGAGCGTTTTGTAGTACATTTCATTAGATTTTTAGTTTGCATGCGTCTAAGGACAGTCGCACGAATTATTCACAGACTCGTCAAGGAATTGAATCTTTTCAAACAACAAGGAAGCAATGATCACCAAATTCGTCATCAACGGATAGTCAGTCGACTGTTTATCTTACTATTCGTAGGCATTTCAGCTGTATTAGCACTCTATATATACTTAAGTACCGATGCTTATTATGAAATAGTTCATAATCCGGATGAAAACCAATTTGATCGATTGCAAAAGAATTATTCAACTAGTTTATCATGTCCATGTTCGACAACATCACTGCAATATTCGACTTTTCTTAGTATTGAACCTCGGTATCACCAGTTATGTTCGAGTGATTTCGTTTCTTTGGATTGGATCACTTACGTTTCTTTGGTATATCACATCAACGAGTATTATCGTTTGGATTATCGACTTAGTGGTGCGGGTTTCTTCTATCTTGTCAGTCTGTTTTGTACAGAGACAAAGGAAACAGTCGATCGTGCTCTGAGCGTCTTTTTGCAAACTCAGTTAGTCAATTCTCAAGTTCTTTCACGAGAATTCTTTGAATCTCAATCAAACTCATTAATTCAAAACTGGCAATCAACTACTGTTCATCAATTTATCCGTACAATTCAACTGATGGATGCTCTTGTGCAAGGAAATCGATTAAATAGTGGCCAATTGAACGTTCAATTTACCTTGAATCGAGCTACCCGAGAAGCACGAATGATCCCACAGAAATACGACCTTTGTACATGCGGATTGTCTCCATGCTTAAAAATACTCTCCATTTATAATTATAGTTTGACTAAGAATGATTACACTCAAATATTTCAAGTTCCTCATTTTTATACCGGATGCTACTCATTTAATTTTACTTTTTAATGCACGCTAGAATGCTTTTATAATCGATCATGTCTGATGGAACTCGATCAGTATATGGATGAACCTCGTGCTCAAGCATTTGATTTTACCCCATTGAATTCAACTGTTAATTCACCCGATGAAACATTTGGATCGATTATCAATAATATGATGATCGATTCTTGGTCATCCAACGTATCTTTCACGTCCTATTATCACGCTTGTGCTCCTTCGACGTGTACATTCGAGAATAAACATCGAATGAATATTTTTCTCCTGGTAACAACCATTGTGAGTATTTTTGGCGGCTTATCACTTGGCTTGAAGGTTTGTATGAAAATCATCCTTGAAATTTGGGAAAAAGTAATGAATGGTTGCCATCATACCAATTCAATCAGATCTTGTGTTATTCATGACGAACGCCAGTTAACGAGTCGACTGAATTCCCTCTTACTTGCTATAACACTCTGCTGTTTATTTGTCAATTCTGCTTTTAAATCTCGTTTAATTACCGTACAGATTCTCAAACCATCGTTGACAACATACGAAGATTTACTGCAAAGTTATGCAGATACAGTCCAATGTTCGTGCTCACAAATTTCGATTCAATACGAGTCATTTGTAACCATTGTGCCTCACTTTCATCAGATATGTTCCAGTGACTTTGTGTCAAACGAATGGATTAATTATATTCAAAATCGACTGAACTCGACTGAACCATACGATATAGATGATTGGTATTATTCAGCAGATGCGCAGTTTCAGTTACTTGCTTCGATTTGTCAACTGACACAGGAAACAGTTAGTAGTGCAATCGAACGGTTAACAGCAAATTATCTCATTAATATCGAACTTCTATCGAGAGCCTTATTAACGAAACGAATTCGAATGAGTATTGATCAGTTGCAAATCATCTCACCAAATACATTTCGAAGAACATTCTTCCTAATTCGGGAGTTTGTCGGTACGAATATGCTGTTGAGTGGACCTAGTACCAACTGGGTAATTAACATTCCACATGAGATTGTCGAGGGAGGGACAGTCAATATGAAGCCATTGACTTATAATGGGTGTAGCTGTGAACAGTCATCACAATGCGTTGAGTCATCGAGAGGAATGTTCGTCGGTTGTTATGCATTGGAGGCTCTTTTGAAATCGAAACTAGCGTGTTTTTACGATCAACAATGTATTGATACAAGTCAAGTATTTCAAGCAATGGATAGTTCATCTCTGCTATCTAGTCGGTTCGATAGTAATTCTACGATCGAATCACTTGTTGCTCAACTGATGATCGAAGAATATACACGAAATCTGTCCTATGAAAAGTATTTAGAACAATGTGCAGCATCGTCTTGTACTTATTCATATGTGTTGAAACGTGATATGATTGTAGGGATAACATATTTGCTTGGACTGTATGGAGGTTTATTGATTATCTGTCGAATATGATGGCAGTAATCATTGTAAAAGTATTGTTTTGTCGAACTTCCAGAATCAATTCTAGTTAATATAAGTTTAAAGAACTGTTTATTCAACACCCTCACCTACCCGTTTGATAGATATTCTACCAAAAAAAGAAAATTATTCTTGTAAATGCTCAATTACGGTGTATGTGCTGTCGACTAGCCTTAAGATTAGATTTTAGTGAATATAAAAGAAGTAACAATATAATTAACCTCGATAAGCATGACTGGCCTATTTATATATACGTTTTAGAAAAAAAAACATTCTCAGAGAATTTCATTAAATATCAACATATCTTCAAATTGAACTATTTATTCGTGCCCATTCACCATACAGAGCAAATAATGAACTTCTGCAATCTAGAATTGATCTCATCACTCATGAAAGTGTGATGAAATATATTTTTGTGTCACATCAGTTACCATGGCAATTTATTCATCATTGTCTATCACACCATCCTTATACTTATTCAACCACCCCGGCCCAACAACATCGAATGTTAATTTTTGTAAAATATACTTTTGTGCACTTCAGATGTCCCCAACGGTGTACCGATCGTACTTGACAGCTGCATGTTTTGGTCAATATATGTCAACATCACAATAACGATCGTATCGGAAACCTTGCAACAGTTCGTACTACGTATGATGTGATTACAGTGAATAACACTGTCTGGGTTCGGGTACCCACACGAATCTTGTTGTTTTTCAATATTCGAGACAACCAATGTGGAATTGTGTATGATGTCAGTGTATTCTTTTTTTCAGTTGCTATGTGCTCATCGCTGGTGGTATTTTACCGATATCAATCATGCTTATCTGTGTCCTGGGTGTTCGACGAAGTATCCAACTGAAACGAGAACGTCGTCGCCGACTTGCATTAAATACATGAATCGGAGATGGTAACTGTGAACGCGAGCGTTGGCGATGCTTCTATTTCCAGTAACTATTCACATAGTAACTCAGACATCATGAATGGTGACTTATTTTCACACTGCTGTGATAATTAATGCAACGAACAAATCCGCCGACCGAGCAGCGATCGAGCAGTTTGTTAATTTTATGGCTGAACTCACGATTAACTTTCTACTTGTTGTATCATTCTCCTTATATATAATGGCTCGCAAACATTTCGTCACGAACTGAAAAGTTACTCTCTTCTTTTATACCACGTCGATGGAGGAACGATAGAACGCAAATTCACCCATCGATGGGCCTGACATTAACTCCCATAAATATCTATACAGTCGCTGGACTTGCTCGCTCATAATTGGAACCTTCAGAGACAAAAGCTTAATAGATTTCGATCGAGGCTGTCGAGGACTTGTAATACTTTTTAAGCATACAAATAGATAAGATTAATCAACAAAGTGTTTGTTGAATGAGAGCGCCAAGCATAAAGAGTTGAATTATATGCATAGCGTTTTGTATTAATACACTTGATGGCGCGCCGTCAACAATCAAATGTGTATTGGCTCGATAGCAATAGAAATTTGTCGATTGATCATATTCTACACAGATAACGTTATCAACAAAACGTGTACTTCAATATAACATGTTTTCATACCATTGACGATTTCTAGATAAGCGAGCTTTCTGCATGAACTGTAATGCTCTTTCACGACTCAGCCAACCATTTTCTCTAATAAGCGATATCAAACATTTCATATAATTGTACAAGGGAACTCTATTTCTCATTAGTGTCACACTATCAACCTACATAACCCTTTTCGGTAATACACAATGCTAAAAGAAAAAGCGCGTATAAGTTTTTCTTTTCTTGTTCTGCTTCTTCCATGTATGGTATTGTCGTGAGCACATGACTCATGCGCATATGCTATCGATAAACAGAACGCGTTGTTTTCGACAAAGTATTTATGATGAGTGCATCTACTATTAACTACTGTCATTTCTTGACTCTTATATGAAGATGCCTACTCCACATTTACTTCTCGATCAATTTCCAGTGGAAATTATTTTCAACGTATTCTCTTATTTATCCGCCAGTGATATTCTCCGATCATTTCATGATTTCAGTCGATATCTAAGACAATGCATTCGAAGTTATGACCAATTCAAAGTCAACTTCAAATCAATATTCAAGCGCGACTTTGATTTCATCTGGCGCGTTCTTCGTCCCGATCAAATTCTTACGTTGACATTTTCGGACGATGAAGAAACACCAGGTCAAATCGATTACTTCTTCACACTTTTCCCCGCCTTTGATCAAACTTTTACTCGACTTGAACATCTTCAGCTGCACAATCCAGATAAACTTCCACACTGGTCACAATTGAAATGTCTTCACACTCTCACAGTTGACTTCAAACGCTGGCCACGTTATTCTTTCGACTATGAACAATTGAAACAATTCGAAAACAATCTCATCAACACCTTTCGCATACCCACTTTGCAAACGCTCACTGTAAACAATGAACTATTGAATATTGATTGCAATTTCCACGTTTTACCCGTGGCTGAACAACTTCATCAATTCAAAGTCCTCATCCGATCTATCGATCTTCTTCCGACTATTTTCAAATCCACACCAAATATCCATCGACTTAACCTTATCTTAAAGTCAAGATCGATTGAAAATGATTGCATGTCGCACTTCGACGCGCCTCAATCATTAACTCACTTGACCGTTCGAGTAGCATATGGTCTATGTGAGGAAATCAAAAAAATTATCGAAGCATGCAAAAGCTTAACTCACTTGAATATTCATGTTGAACGATATCAGAAAGATATTGACCAATGGATGGATGGTAATTGGTGGGTGAGAATGATCGGAGAGAAATTATGCAAATTGAAAGTGTTTTCCTTGAAAATCGATGTTCCTGATTGGTTTGATAAAATACTTCTGCAACAACGCCTTGAAAGTTTTCAAACAGAATTTTGGGCAAATCTTTCCTCGTTCACTATTGACATTAAACCATATGATGAAACGACAACTATTTCAAAACAGCGGATTGTATCAATCCATTTGCCAATGACCGAAATGTCGAATAAAGCATTACCTGACTTTCCCAATGTGGAAACAATACGATTAGAAAATAAGGATGATCTTTCAAGACATCACATTGTGTCAGACATCGTGGAACTCAAACAAAGCATGAATGACTTATCTCGATTAAAGCATCTACAATTGGACAAGCTATGTTCAATAACACCATCTGTACTGAATGAACTCTTGAGTATTGCCCCACAACTGACGCGTTTAACAATTTCATCTGCGAAAGACGATGTAAATCAACTAATTCAATCAACTTATCCACAAATCCGTTGGCTAGATATGAAACAGGAATACGTATTCAGCAAATTCCGAGCTAAATTTTGCTCTGCTTTTCCTAATCTTGAACATCTATACAACTGCCGTGTGTATACCGAAGAGGATTTAGCAATGCTAGTTGAAAATTTCAAACACCTTCAAAGTATTACTGTTCACAACGTCACGTATTATTACGATAGCGATGAAGAGTTTGAGCAATGGCTGACAAAACATACTGCTCTCAGAGACTTTACATTCAAATTGATTCATCCACGTCTTGTACATTTATGGATCGGTAATAGATAATGAAATTTTAATCTTTAACGATACCAAGCTTTTGTAATTCTATTTTCTGTTGAAATAAAACAATAACAAAAAATGATTCAAATTCCTCATTTCGATTCTTAGGTTGATACTGGTGCAACATAATTACCGTTTGGTTTAGAACTGATTCATTCCTATCTCGATAACGATGTGTAAGAGGTTGAAAGACAATCTTTTTTCTTTGTCTAAGATAATATTACTCATCTGTTGTCTCTGCTACATTATATATAATGTGCAAGATTTACTTGCTAGACGATTTTAATTCGAAGTATAAGCAAAGTGTACAATACTGAAAACCAGTGAGCTTCAATTTCTATCGTAAATTTGAACACTTTTATATTTCTTCTAGTGGCTGTCTTTCTATTATTAACGTTCATTGCTGTTGTTACACAAGGAAAGTCAGCAAGTATTTCTCCAGCTGTCGACTATCATCTACCAGGTAAACGTCGCGAAGGCTATCTATGCTCATAACAATATTTGACTGTTCTATCTAGATTGGGAAGACACCGGTAGTATGAATTATGCACGAGCATCGCACACATCGACGTTATTAGTTAGTGGGAAAGTATTAGTTACTGGTGGAGTCAGTAATAATACTAAATATCATGATACTGCTGAATTGTATGATATTAAAAGTCAAACGTGGACATTGACTGGCAAAATGAATCATCCACGAGTACTACATACAGCAACTATTCTAGAAGATGGATCGGTCTTAGTGGTTGGCGGATCTTATCTAAAGGCTGGCTTAAGTTCTGCTGAGCTGTACAATATAACAACAGGAACTTGGACAATGACTGGTAAGACAAGTTCTCCACGATTTGGTCATACGGCGTCTTTACTATCAAATGGAAAAGTGCTAATTATTGGTGGTTCTAATGGAACTCGTTTTTTGAAGAGTGCTGAACTATATGATCCATTAACAAGAGTTTGGACAACTACGAGTAGTATGAGAATATCACGATTTGATTTCACAGCATCGGTGTTAACAACCGGAAAAGTACTGATTGCTGGTGGAGTAACAGACGAGGATGCATCAGGTGGTAATGAATTGTATGATCCGACGACAGGAGACTGGACACCTGTTAGTAACATGAATATGCAACGATTTGGTCATACAGCATCTGTGCTAAGAAATGGGAAAGTGTTAGTTGCTGGTGGATTTAACATTGATTTTACAAATACTGCCGAATTATACGATCCATCAACGGATGTTTGGACAAACACAGGTTTGTTGCATCAAGCGCAAGCTTTCCATACAGCATCTACGTTCAAAAACGGAACGATACTAGTCACGGGAGGATATGGTTCTTCTGGTCACTTCTCAAAATATTCGGAAGTGTATAATTCACTAACGGGAAGCTGGATGATTACGGATAGTGTCGACCATCCACGATATGAGCATAGTACAACCGTCCTGCCGAGTGGAAAGGTGCTGATGTCCGGAGGAATCGATAGCAATTCTATTTATCTAAATAGTGCTGAGTTGTTATAATTATTTTAGATCAATAAATAATAAAAAAAAACAATTTCTTTCATCTTCAAATGTCTTTGTTAAACGAAAAGATGGAATAAATGAATCTATTTTTTTCATTCATATTTCATGCATCACTTTCAACGTGAAGTAATTGCTTATTGGTGAGTAGAATAACATGCGCGTCTTTACATCCGAGATTAGCATGTGTTAAACTCTATGTACCGTATCTAGAAAATATCAAACGATGTTTATAATGTCACGAACGTGCTCTGTACGAGAATACAGTAGAACACAATCATCTTTATTTCGACATTATCCAAGGAAGAGATCAGAGTCATACGAGAGAAGAAAGCGGTGTAATCTGATAGAAATCTTCAACAATGAAACTCGTTCCTATCGTTTTACTTATTCTCGCCGGTGCAATTGCGAATACTGTAACCGCGGAGAAATCATCAGAGTCGGCAATAGGAGAAACATCTCATCAATTCGATCTCCATAAGAAAATCATATCGATATCAGTAAGTGAATCGAACTAAGAAATCAACCGTTTTGCTGATACTTTCGGTTTATAGAATGTTCCTATTGCATCCACTTCTCCATACAATCTGGCTATTCAGTTTGGTCAGATTCTTTATCTGAGTGGACAACTTGGAAGAAACCTTACAACAGGTCAATTGATATCGGATGATACTCAAAATCAAACTTATCAGGCGCTGCATAATATACAAGACCTATTACATGCTGCAGGATCTGATATCACTAAATTGTTACAATGTCGTGTGTATCTAACCGATATAAACGACTATCAAGTGATGAATCAAGTTTATGCAGCGTTTTTTTCATCAACTGAACTCTATCCAGCACGTGCAACTGTTGCAGTCACCGCTTTAGCATCCAACGCGAAAGTAGAAATTGAATGTACTGCCTTCACGACACGATCTACAAGCAGTGAGACACATTCAAATGGTCATAAATGCTCGGTGATTCCATCGAATTTCATCGTGTTTGGTATTTTTTCCTATTTTATAGCACATTTTTTCGCTTTTTGAAATGTTTACACTGCCATCAGAACTTTTTCATATTAACGAATTTAGTGAGTTTTAGAAATATTGATAGAAATAAATAAGCCACTTACAGGAACAAAGATTAACTCATGCACCCACTCACCCACACTTGTCTAAATCAGCTATTCATGTAAGTATATTGATGTGCTGTTGATACGAGCGGATTTAAAGAGAAAATCGCGTGTAACACATAACTTTTAGTCGAATCACGCATAAGCAATAAAATAGACGCGCAATATAAATCATGCGAAAAAGAATGGTATGGGAATCATTTTCTGGTGTGCAATTTCAAAAAGAATAGAACAAAGTAAAAAACATATCGATGCATGAAAACACGCAATTCATTTTAAGTTAAATCCAGCATAATTTCTAGTCGCTGTATTTTCAACAGAAGGTCTACTTTCGTATTAGACAACACGCTTTTATTAATAAAATACCTCATTGCTAAATGTCATCACTAAATGACACATTACTCTTCGTTCAACAACAGCTTACTCAATATATATTTTCATCTTACCTCATTTTCGGTATGATAGGTTGTTGTCTCAATATCATACTACTTAGTCGACGGCACTTTCGAACAATATCTTGCTGCATCTGTAAGTTTATATATCTTTCTGAGATATTCTTCTTGCTATTATTATTGCTTAGATTTCATCGTGTCATCGATAGCAATGTTAGTTGTTCTACCCATGGGTGTTGGAACGTATGTCTACGCACTTTGGCATGACAATCCATATACAACAAATCAAGCTTTCTGTAAGCTTCGCACCTATGCACTTCAATCCATGACAATGATATATCGATGGTGTATCGTTGCTGCATGTGTCGATCGTTGCATATCGATTTCAACCAATGCTCGCCTAAGAAATTTTGCTTCCGTTCGTATTGCTCAGCGTGTCACTCTATTGATTGTTGTCGTTTGGTTGACGTTACCAATACAAGTTCTCGCACTAATCGATTTGAGGAATGATCGATGTGGTGTTTTATATAACGTGGGTTTATCCCTGTATTTCAGTTTTTATACAATAACAACAGGAAGTATTCTTCCCGTTTCAATTATGATCATTTGTGCTGTGCTCATCTCTCGAAGTCTTGAGATGAGACGACAACACCGCCGTCAACTTGCTGTTAATCAATATGACCGGTTAGATCGAAAACGTGATCGACAGGCTTTTGTCATGCTTTTATTTCAAGCAATTGTATTTCTCATAACTCAGACACCACTCATGCTCCTATTCTTTTGCAATGCTGCAACGATTCATATCACGAATAAGTCAGCCAACCAAGTAGCAATTGAACGGTTTACGGTTTTTATGGTCGATATGATCTTATATCTTTTCCCTACTATATCATTCTATTTATATACAATGGCGTCACGTCAGTTCCGTCGCGAATTTATCGAACTATTCCGTTCTGCGATAAAACCTCGACGTCAAAACAATACCAATCAAGTAAATCCAGTACTAAATGAAATACTATAGGCATTCATGTATATAATGATTTTTAGTTCTAACAGATTTGTGAATGATGCCAAAAAAAAACTTTACAATCTCGAGACGGTCACAAAATAGAAGTGTACTTTCGCGAAATAAACTAACGATAGACAGCTCACGGATAATATGATTTACGCCGTTGTCTTTATTAATGACTATATCTGTAATAGTCCACGTACAGGGAATGTCAGAACGAGAAACAAAGAGTTCGTGGCATTTCTACAGCATTAAGTCGGAATAATCCAATACAAGAGACCAATCAAGATTGGATTAGTATTTAAATGCTAAAAATACTCTCTAATTGACGGCGTCCAATATAAATGTATTCAATATCCACAGGTTCGTTCCATGTCTAAAAATGTGTATCCTTTAAATTTGTTAGCGAAATATAATCTACGTAAACTGTTCTATTTCAAAATATTATTACATACTACAACTCAGTATATTCTATAAATAAATACGCTACATTACAGGATAAAGAAGAAAAATAAATAAATCAACGTTACGGTAAGCAAGGTATGGTTTTTCGTTTTGACTCATATCTTATGCGCTATTTCATATAAGAAGAATAGAGATATATTCATGCGATTGACGTCAATGGATCAAAATAGGTCACTAATTGCGATAAAACGTTTTATAAAGTATGACTTATTTCACCAAATCGTCATTTTTTTCAAAGACGCATATATCGCCAAAGAATAGTATAAATGGTGAGGCCTCAGAACCTTAAAAAACCATAAGAAACAAAACACTTGACTATATATTAAGCCCATTGCATTACTGTACCAAATGAATCCGTATAGAATATGTCCATGGTGGACTGTTTGCATCTACGTGTTAGTGCTTCTGATTAATAGATCCATGGCTGTCGACAATCCACCTTTCGTTGCTAGACATGGTTTGACTTCATCTGCGTATCAAACATTGTACAATCAACTTGCTCAACAATCGTATCGACTTCTTTATATCACTGGTTACACTGCCTACAGTCAAGAAAAGTTTGCAGTTTATTTCGAAAAATCAAGTGGACCACCGCAAATCTGCCGTCACGGACTAACTAGTAGTCAATATCAACAAGCATTTAATGATGCCGCAGCACAAGGTTACAGCCTAGTTCTTGTCAATGGATACACTGATACCAATGGCTTGGATAAGTACGTAGCTATCTGGGAAAAGCCTGCTGGTAGTGTTGCTCCTTTGGAGGCTAGACATGGAATGACTGGTGGACAATACCAAAGCGAATTTGATAGTTGGACTAACAAAGGATACAGACTGAAACATGTTAGTGGATATGCGATCAACGATCAAGCACGTTATGCAGCTATTTTTGAAAAACTTGCTGGTGCTCCTGCCCAAGTTGCAAGACACGGACTTACTGCTGCACAGTATCAAACTGTGTTCAATACTCAAACCAGTGCCGGATACGTTCCTGTCCTTGTTTCGGGCTACACGGTCAATGGTGTTGACTACTATGCTGCTATTTTTGAGAAGAAAGCCAGTGATCCGTGGATTGCTCGCCATGGAATGAGTAGTAAGACATACCAAGGAGAGTTTACTAACAATTACTACCAAGGTTATCGTCTCAAAGTTATTTGTGGTTATTCGAAGAATAATGTTGACCTATATGCTGCTATCTGGGAGAATCCTAACATGAAAGGAACTGATCTTTCGTTGATCGATAGTAAAATTCAAACGTATATGAACAAAAATTCAATTCCCGGTTTATCAATTGCAATTACTAGACAAGAAAGACTCGTTTTTGCCAAGGGCTACGGATATGCCGACCAGGACACGGGTGAAAAAGTTCATCCTGATCATTTGTTTCGAATTGCTAGTGTCTCTAAACCTATGACTGGTATTGCTATTATGGAACTCATCGAACAAGGCAAATTTTCACTCACTTCAAAAGTATTTGGTGCATCTGGCCTCCTTGGAACAACGTATGGAACAAAACCTTATGGTCAACGCGTTTTAAATATCACCGTACGGCACCTTCTTGAACATACTAGTGGATTTTCAAATGATGGTGGCGATCCGATGTTTATGAATACGAATCTCAACCAGAAAGATCTTATCAGTTGGGTACTCGATAATCGAACTCCAAAAAATGTCCCGGGAACCACGTACGAATACCTTAATTTCGGATACACTCTACTGGGAAGAATCATTGAAAAGGTTTCAGCACAAACTTATGAACTGTTTCTTCGCAACCAAATCTTTAATAATGCTCCGCAAACTAGTAAGATGCTCATTGGCGGAGATACCTTAGCTGATAAAAAACCAAACGAAGTTACCTACTATCCAAGTAGTGCATACAATCTTCTCATGCGGCGAATGGATGCCCACGGTGGCTGGATTGCACGACCAATCGACCTTGTAGGCATCATGACAAAAGTAGATGGATTTAGTTTGAAAACAGACATTTTGTCTAGTAGCACGATTACTACGATGTGGACAGGCTCTTCAGCAAACGCTGGATACGGTAAAGGATGGATTTTAGATAGCTCTTATAGAGGTCACAACGGTGCCATGTCAGGAACAATCGCATTTCTAGTTCGAAGAAATGACGGCCTGTCGTATGCGTTCACCGTAAACACAAGACCTGCCAATGACAGTTTCGCATTTCAATTGAAAGGAACAATGGATACCATCGTCTCAAGTGTGAATACGTGGCCCGCCTACGATCTCTTCTAAAACTGACATATACTCATTACCTTTAATACATTTTAATTTTTCTACAATTTTTTTTTTCTTTTTCAATAAATATTGACAAGCTCCCTATATCATCATACATTTCTTTGTCAGATATTGGCCCATCAATCTGAATAATTATCGCATAACTAGCACGGATACTCTCACATCCAATGCTTATCTCAGACCAATTTTTGCTGACCTGGCTTAGAAAACAATGCATATTCAAGCTTTTTTTGTGATAATTCTGAATACAGTTTAAAAGTAATCTTTTATGTTGCCTTTCTTTCAACTTCAAATTCGATTACGTACGCAATGAATGCGATGCTCCTTACTTCCTCGGAACTGTATGCGAGTGTGTAGATCAAAGCAAAAACAGATTTATTTTAACATATACACCATAAAACTCTTTGTAATGATAACATTTCAGTGCAGTATGTTATTACACAAGTATAAATAGAAACTGACTCATACTTGAAGATTGGAAAAAACCCGTTCCTACATCCATAAAATGTTTCTTTCTGTTCTATGATTTAAGAGAATTTTTACTCGCTGAGTTATTCACGGAGGAAAGATTAGATGGATGGTATAACTAAACAATCTTCATATAATTTCGATCAATATGCATGGCCACCTGATGGTGATTTCTATCCCGGTCGATTCATCACTGATTGTGTACACTTAGCTTCGGGTAGTTGTAGAGCAGCCTATCTCGGCAAGGACACATCAACCAATCAACCAATCGTTATTAAACAGTTCATCGCCGAACGTGTACATGCTTCTAAACTGGATCGTTACTGGTCAGAAGATATACAAGCATCTAATATTGCCCAAGATATCACGAATAAATATAATGAATATATGAATACATCAAAACCGATTTATTTCGTTGTTCCTGTCGTGCACCACTGCTTTAAAGATATCGGACGGCCATTTCGACCGAGCGAAAGAGTTCTTATCGAACCTTACCTCGGAGATACTTATGAAAAGTTCAACACCAATCATGGTTTAGTTCTAAAACCAGTAAGTCAAGGATTATCAATGGCAACTCTTTCACACTTCAGTTACCATATCACACGAGGACAGTATCTTCTTTGTGACTTACAAGGTGTGAAGAAAAAGGACAGGTACATTCTAACTGATCCAGTCATATGTTCACTTAACGAACAATTTGGTTTAACGGACTTGGGAGAAGATGGTATTCGATCATTTTTTGCTAATCATCAGTGTACACCATTATGTGAAAGAAGTTGGCTGAAACATCCATCACCTCAACCCTATCCTGATCATCAAAACTTACACGGAACACTATTTCGCATATGAAGTTACGGTATCTATGTCTTGATTTTGTTTACAATAAATCTATTCTGTTCAAGCGATTGTTGAGAATATAACTGCTGTCCGATCGAAAATAAGATATCATGTGATGTAACAGTTTATTTATTTCTCAATAAAACACATCAAAATATCCCGCGCGTTAAGCTATTCGTGGAAACATATCGTAGGTCTGTTCTTTTATCTCACGGCATTGTACCTTGTGAAATTCTTGATTGCGCGTCTTGTTGAATTTCTGTTGACATTCATCTTTCGATTCCAGACAAATAAAACAGAATGTATATCCACAGGAATAACAATTGTGATATTTACACCGACCGCCAAATGCACCTGTATAGAAACATTTTGGACACGTGCGGCGACTTGGTATCTTCAAATTGGGATCAAATTCAAGACATGGAAGTAACTCGTAGGTAATCTTTGTCTCATAATCACAATTATTATGGCATGTATATTTCACATTGTCCATCGTATTTGAATCCCAGTCTTTGTTACAGAAAAAGCATATATTTCTACCACACGCGTTGCATTGCTGCTTGGAATACATTGTGTCATTCGACATCAGTGAACCACAACGGCAAATTTGAAAATTTATATACTCCAGCATTTTTCGCGATTGATGAAGACAATCGATCAGTCTTAAGAACGATTCGGATTTGAAGAATTGTCTTGGTTGGACTAATTTATGACAATCAGTGCATTTCAAATTAAAATTCGTGCTTTTGTAGTAGGTGATGAAGCATTCAGCACATATCGGCCAACAACATAACTGTGCACATTTTTTCGTTTCTTGACAAGCGACGCATATCGCATTTCTATGCATTGATCTTTCTAATTCTTGTGGCAGATATTGTTTGATTTCATCTATGATTTTGGCAACTTCCATATACGACTGTGTGTTTTGACTTCTCGATCCACCTTTCATTCGTTGTAGAACAAAGATGGTGACGCCATTTTGGATCAAGCTTTTTTGCATATTGAAACGAGAGGAATCGAACAAATCAAGCTGCTTGCTTTCAATTATAAATCGGTAATCATCGACGTCAGTACTGATATTCTTCTCAACGACTTTTCGAAATTCTGCTAAGCTTGGACTGCTCCTGATTTGTACTTGAATTGTTTGTCCTTTCATGACCATAAATGAAATATTGATCGGTGGACTGGCACTTGCAACTGCCCCTTCAGATGAATAATACCGTCCATTTACAGCTGGATTATACTGCAGCCTATCTTTTCGTACTGGATTGATTTTCATATTGTTCATACCGTCGTTAAGATCATATGAAGGAGAACGATAGAGTTGTTTGGCTGGTAGCGGAGCGTATTCTCTTTGAGGAGCATAATCATTTGAATATTGATTTTGTCTTTCTCGTGGTGGAAAATTCATTTCGAGCCTTCTTTCTGGTGGTGGGGAATATCTTGATCCTCTGTATTCTTGTAGTGGCCTACGAACATCATCCATACTTGTGTTGGGTCGCATGAGAGGAGGAGGTTGTCGTTGTTGTCCTCGAGGATCGAATCCCTATAAAAAAACAAAGATTAAATATTTGACTATGACAAGACATCCTGCTCTCAAGCGCATATATCTGCTACCACTATGACTGGCATTTTATAGTGGCAAGAGTATATGTATATGAGTACAAGCATATAAACAATTCGAGGAAGCGTAAAGAGGTAGAAAATACGTTTACATCCATTGGAAGCTAACATTAGAGTCTAACTATTGTATGGCAAAAAAGTAGGTGCATGAAATAAATGAATTACTCTATTTGGTCTACTTTGCTTCTTCTCTTTTGAAAGTTTGACGGTGGACATAACTTGAAATCGGTCTAAAATAGAAATCCAACGGGCTGTTATGCAAATCAATTAGTACAGCCAAACTACTGACAATCTTGATAATGCAATATATTTAATTAATACTTTACGTCAGTTACGAGAAACAGTTTTAAATAGAGAATTTCAACTGGGGAAAACCAACTTTGTCTTCCTCTTCTTCCGAGAGATGTTGTGCAATATATGCTGCGTCGTTTTTTCTCTTCTTGCATTTTGAATGTTGGAAAAAACCCATGTTTGTGTAATTTGAAAAAGCATTTGTACTATAAAAAGAAAACGAATACCCATATATAAGTATGAGTTCGTGATTGTTTGTACTTTTTCATACGTAATTCATCGAGACACGTTACCTGTAGTTACTTACAATATCGAGCAACTTAAGTTTTTATAATAAATTTAAAACGTCTTATCTGAATCACTTTCAAATCATATCAGAATCAATATTGTATGGGGTACGTATGGCAGTGCTTCTAGGTTATGTTTGAAGCTTTTAGAGTTTCTAATTGACTTTATATTGTGTTTTTGGCAAACAGGGACTAAGACATTGACATGGCGAAAATCTATTATATCCCATCTTTTAGATTGTGTGTTGGTAAACACAAACTAGATATGCCCCATCGCCAGTTAGAACAACTAGCAACACATCGCTGCCTATTTTACGACTCTGGTGATCCTTGTTTCGTGGATTCACGCTGGTCCGAAAGTGGTTTAGCAGTATATTATATCAAACATGGTCTTCCACATCTATATGCACACATATGTGATATGAAGCGTCAGAAATTCATGCCTGATGATGCATTCGTGTGCAGAAAGCACATACAGCGGCTTGAAGCCCAATACCAACGTATTAATAGAAGTATTTCTTTACCTGCACAAGGTAACTACACATTTGTTACTAAATCTTTACGATTAGTAAAGGCGTGCTTTAGTACTAACTCCACAATTCTCTCCCGATAGAGAACGTCTAGATAAAACTGAATTACTGCTCACATTCAGCATTTTTTCTCCTGTATTCCTTTGATGGCTGGTTAAAGAATAATATTTCATTATTTATTTCATTTCAATAATAGGCCCCGTAAAAATTGAACGGCACCGACGTCCACAGTCTTCTTTGGCCGGGCGTTCGATAGAAATTGAACGGACATCTGAAAATGCTAACCATTGGGATCAGCGCAGTAGTTCAAGTGACGCTGCTTCTCGATCTTTGCATCAAAAGGATATTATATACACTTGGCCGAGATATAGTACAACACACTTAAAAATCATCAGAGTAGATAAATATCATGAAACAATTGGTGAATTGAAGAAACGCATTATTGAAACGTGGTCATTGAATGACGTTAAACTCGAACAGCTGGCTCTATATGGATTTGATCAAAACTCTGGTCGAGACCATTCGCTGGAAGGCGTACCAGACAATACATGTTTGAGAATACTCTGGAAAGAACCTGACCCATATGTTTACTTCGATGTAAAACGCAAACCAAATGCACATAATAAATTGGACATAGCATCTAAACCTCCTGAGTCGAACGCTAATGATCTTGCAAAGATGCATGTTGTAGATCCAACATCTTTCCCTGGCAAACCTGCAAAGAAATTAAGTCAGTCGTCGAACGTTACTTCTTCATATCATGAAATACCACCCGGTCTGTGTGGACTCGATAATAGTGGTAACACCTGTTACATGAACAGTGCGCTACAATGTCTTAGTAATATACAACCTCTAACTGATTTCTTTATACACGAAGAAACTTATAAGTTTGTCAACTCTAACAATCCAGCCGGAACTGGAGGGCGTGTTGCCTTAGCATACAGCAGTTTGATCCAAGAAATGTGGTCTGCTAAGTTAGACAAATGTACGCCAACTATGTTAAAAGAAGCAATCGACAGATACACCACACAATTCACAGCATATGAACAACACGACAGTCAAGAATTTATGGGATTTATTCTCGATGCTCTACACGAAGATCTCTTGAGTTCGCAGACTAGATCTTCACCTATATCCCGTCTTTTCCAAGGGCAACTTGAGAGCAGTGTTCGTTGTTGGAAGTGCGATACTGTTGTACAAACGGTAAGCGCATTTAATTTTCTGTCTATGCCAATAACATCCAGTAAATCACGAACGAACCTGTCCGAATGTATGGAAGAATTTTTAAAGCCCGAGACCATTGGGAAACATGGTAAATGGTACTGCAACAACTGTCGTCAACAGACAGATGCCAGAAGATACATGAAAATCAAATCTTTACCACCGGTACTTATTCTTCAACTCAGACGATTCGACACATTTCCTGGACGACAAATAAATAACAAGAAAATTCGAACAAGTGTTGATTATCCAGTAGAGAATCTTAGTCCACATGATCTGGCAGCCGACCTGTCATCCACAGCTCGATACGATCTTGTGGCGGTTTCGATTCATCGTGGGGCAACGTTGCAGTCAGGACACTATCTCACTATTGCAATGAATCATACAAACAAGCTTTGGTATGAGTTTGACGATTCTCTTGTCACATCGGCGAATCCGGAAGATATACGAAATCAAGATGCTTACATTCTATGTTATGTTCGCAAAGAGCTAACTAGAATTCCCTTGAAAACTTCATAGAAAACCGTTTTTCTGATCGACTTGAAATAAACGCAAGAAAAAAGTGAAAACAATCTTTTATGTTCTGAATGTAGACACATATCAATAAACGATCAATTTAAAGAAGAACTTCTATATCGTGATGTATCGAGTGGGATTAGCTGACTGTTTTCAAGTTTTTATTTTTCTTCTGATAGCAAAAATCACACAGGACGATTTCTATCGTGTTAAAACAGGAGTTCGATTAATTTTATCCTATAAATGAATCGAGTGAAGTCAGTAAGAGCCGAATCGACTTCACTGTTGATCTATAACCTTTGTAGATAATCTTGTCATTTTCAGAACGCCATGATTCAATACTTTGTTCGCCGAATTTGCTTTGAAATTGGTTTTTCATCAATAACAATTGCTGCTTCACGTGAACCAGAGATGATTTGCTTGATACCGTAATATCGGATCGGATCAGTTTCATTTTTCTAATGGAAGACGAAAGCAATTCTTGAAAAACGTACAGCTTTCCAGGCTTCAGGATGTGTAAGATTTGCAACAAATATTTTATAGTCTAAATACGAGAATTAATTCTACGAACAATTTCGATTGGGATTCGAACATACCGATAAACACAAAGATACTTGCTCATCCATTTTTTTCTCACATATCTGCATATAAGCACAAATGGATTTTCTCTCATCGGAATGTGTTGGTATCGATAAAGTCGAATCAATCTTTCGAGTGTCATTTCTCAACCATCGATTGCGTAGGATCTACGAAACATAACTAAGTTTTGAATGTTCTATAGGAGATTTTACCTGCACGTTATTATAAAATTGAAAGAATGTGCTTCGGACAGTTGAATATGTTCGATTACGACGATAATTGCTCATATTTCGATGAAGCAGCGTCTTAGTCGATTCGAATATTTCATAAATCTTCTCGAGGTTATTTAAATACACCGTGATTTCCATAGCGTTTGTTGGATCATTCTGTTGTTGTTGAAGAGGCAGAAGAATCGAGAAGACATAACCATAAATCGTACAGAAATTCTCGAATAACTGAAGTAGGACATTGTCTATTCCATTTTCGTTCATTAACTCACGAACATATCGTTTCAATCGATTGATTTCATTAATAAACGAATATTCTATCGCTAAAAAATCAGAAAGAATGTTTCAAAAACCGTCTACAAATTTTATCTTACCATGTGACATTCTAAAAGTGTTCATAGACTGGTCAACATATGGTATTATTTCCTTTGATGACAATACATTTGAGATAACATCATTATCTACGTCTAAAAAGTCAACAAAACCCTTTTCTCGAATGGACTAACATAATCAGACCAACCTTCGTCGCACGTGTATAAGTAAATAGCAATACTATTGCCACTTAATCCATTCCGGTCGATATAATCATGAAACGTTCGATATTGTTCAGTATCTAACGGTTGCTTTTGATAATCGTACAGCTTTGTACGAATTTGCGGATCACCTACGGTATAAAATCAAAATCGAACATGGAATCAGGTTGAGTTTGTATTACTTAAGCCGTAAACTTTACGAATTTGACGATGAACTTGAACGAAAGTCATTTGTTTACCGAACCAATGACAATATCGACTGCCTCCACCATTTTCAAGCTCAAGTTTTTCTATAATACCATTAGTTTGATTTAGACGTAAACGACCACAGCGGAATCTTTTGGTTTTCATCAAAAATGTTTCTTGGTAAAAGTTCCAACTCGAAGATAAAATCTGAATTTCGATACAATTCGTTTGAATGTCGTTATTTTTCGTTCTCTATAGTGTCCGAAGCACGTGTCTGGAGAAGGGAGAAAGAAAATTCAGTGTTATATGGTTGGAAGAACAGAGACGAAAAATAACGAACTGTCGGATATATTTTGTTGCTTTCAAATTCACATGGATACTTAATCAAATGGCATAGTCTACTGTGTTTGATTCTTTATTAATTGAGCTTGAAAAAAAAAAGATTAATTATATAAAAGGAAAATTTTGAAATGAATGAATTTAGATTTGTCCGCTTTAATTTATCAGTCTATTGCAAATTACTTCGGAAGTTTCTGTCGAATGTCGGATGTAGGTTGGGCTGTCTATCGAAGCAAATGATTAGATTTCGCATCGGTACTTTATGTTTTCCTGCACTGACATGAACAAAGTTCAGTGTTGTTAAATCGAGTTCTGATCGACTGAAAACACAAACCATCGCATTGTGGTTGTAAATACCATTCGGCCCTGCATGAGAAAGAACGATATGGCCGCTGCCACGATGAATTTCCAAACAGTAAGTAAAGAAGTCGTTCACATTACAACCCATATAGAAATGATTAGACTTGATTTTATATGTTTTCTTGATAACAATCGTTTCGTGTTGGAATGGGTGTCCAGCTGAAAGATACGTACTTGCTTCGTGATAGTTGTCGTCCGTGACTGACGGTTTGGGAGCGACGTAGCAAATTAGACTGCGAAGATTTGGTTGATGCTCGGTGGGACTAATTTCTTCATTGGATAAGGTTATCATCATATCGCCGTTTGCAGCTTTCCAGTAAATATAGGTGGTGTTAGCCGTTGACGGATCTGATTCCATAATGCGATAGTGTTCATATGCTTGACGGATGGTGAGAGGCAAAACGTAATGTTCTTCGAAATTTGTAGGTCGTATAGTCATTGTTATTCCTCGGTGATAATTCAATACTAATTGAGAGGTGTACTTCTTGTAGCGGAACAGGAGTGTATGAATACAAGTATCCTGGTACTCTGCACGCATTTTTGCCGGAGGTCTAGCAACAAATGTTGGTACTTTATCCACAGGCTCGACTATCTGTTCGGCCACACTTATTCGATTACGAAAAACGGCACCGATAGCTCGCATAGCGTCCTCGCTGAGGTTCTCGTAGATATTTTTCGGGATATAGACATGGTCAATATATTCTAGAGGAATCAACTGAGGTAAATGAGCTTCGACGGTCTGATGTGAATCGACTGATGTCCATCGATCGAGAATCTGCTTCATGCTAACATCCAGTGAGTTTAATTTTTGGTGCAGACTAGTCAATGCTATCAATTCCGCACTGAGGGCATAGTCATAACCTGGAACGCCAGCATGTAGCTTTGTGGCATGATACTGTTTTACTCGTTCATCTTGTGAGCCAGGTGCTTGTCCTAACCACGGTCGCCATCTATAGGCATTGCCACTCAAGTACGTCGTAGCTGCTTGCATAGATATATTTGAATCGGGATGATGTAAGATTTCTCGTTTGAAAATTACAATAACGTCACCGTAGTAATGACCTTGGTGTGGCCCGAGAATGCTGAAGACATGCTTGTCGGTGCGCAAAATCTTGTCGGGTTCATGACCAATGCCAGCTGGATTGGAATGAAGCTTGATCGACGCTTGGGCAATCTGCAGCGTTTTGTCACGGATTGCTTTCACATCCTGATTCCCAATCGTCAAGGCTAATCGGTTCTCCTTTCTTTTGATGATATCCTGATAGAATGCTTTCGTATCGGGATGAGCTGCCGCTGGCGTTGCTGTGTCTGTATCAAGTAGATCCATTCCTTGAGTCATTGCTGATGTAAAATTGTTCTCTATGAATTCGACGCACACTAAGGCAGTGATATACTGTCGGGCGTCATTTTCGCACGCAGGCGTTTTCAGACCATCAATACGTCGTAATCGACTGTGCTGTAGTACTGAAGTAGCAACAAACTTCGGATTTTTCAATCGCTCCATATAGTCACGACTCATGACATGTCCATGTAGAAGGATAGACTCGAATATAATTGGATTGCATCGGTGGATAGGAAATACAGTGCGCACCCAATCAAGAATATCATTGGGAATAGTTCCAGAAGGTAAAGGTTTCCAATTGTTCTTTTCGGCATATCGTTTTACGCGCTCAAAAACTTCTCGATGGTTTTTTGTGAAATCTGAACCTTTATCTAGACTGTAGTAAGGCACTACACCGGTTTCATCGGCTATGCTGTGACGGAATTTAGCTACATGGTCAGCGTTAGCACGATCGCAACAACTATCGCCCTCGGAACACAACAGTCGAATGTCGAGTATGTTAGGATGTGTGAATGAATTGAGATGCTCTTCATCGGTAAGTCGAAGACATTTTTCACCATATGGACATAAGTTTCGAGCGATATGAAAGGATCGAGACCAGTGCAGCTGTGTTGTGTCGGTACAGTTTCGGCCGGCTCTACATACATGTGCGAAGTTGAGACAGTGTTGGTGAACTGCATTCGAAAGACCTCGGGTATTCCTGTGTTCAGTTAGATCGTCGTAAAGTGAACAGTGAAACGGCGTATAAGGACATGGCGTCGGATATTGATGACTGAACTCATCGATATGCTTTTTGTTGTGAAAATCGACACAATTGTTTCCATAGGGACAGCGTGGAGCGAAATGGCGAAATTTTTCGCAGTGTTCTTTTACTTCTTTTTGATAGTCAATACATTTGTGCGATTTTGAACAAAGTGGCAAATGTCGATACTTTTTCAGATGATCGAATTGTTGGTTCTTGCAATGACCACCGTCCGGACAATAATCCGGATGCGTCCATTTACTGCAGTGATTTCTATCGTTGATTTGCGAACATTCGCCGCCTTTTTCGCATTGCTTTGCATCTCTTGCTGACGCTGCTGTGTCTGAAGCCTTTCATTAGACAATAATGATTAGTTATATGTAGAAAAAGTAGCGAAAAGGAGACATAAGACTCACTCACTTAGTCCTCTCCTATGCGCATTCTTTAGAGACACTTTCCGACTACAACATCCATTTTAGAAATACGAACACTTTTGACTTACTTGATCAGTATTTGGTGATTTTGGCTTGAGCAGTTGTTCTAAACACATACGATGGAACATGATTCCAGTCGCAGTGGTTACTTGATCAGTTTTGTCTTTTAATGGTAGATTACATGACGAGCAAGTCGACATCTTCGATTAATCTAGCTATGAAGATTTTCTCCTACATTTATTCATGACATTCTACCACTTCCTACCTTCAACTCGACGTTTAACAACTGCGAATGTGAATAGCAATGAAGAGAAGAACAACTGCCATGAAAAGAACTCAACATTACTTGCTAGTTTATCGCCACGTGCACACACTCCGCGCGTAAGTGAGGTTTTTTTTCGGAGAAAGAGAAAAAAAATCGGTGCGTGAAACATTTTTCAGAGTTTGTAAGTGAGATTTTGACTATCGAATTCAAATTTCTCGTCATATATTTATTTTTTTAATATTATCCCGTGCACATATAAAATCGACACTGAGCTGTTATCATAGTATCTTATTTACTCTCCAAGTGCATACCGTTATGAAAGGATTTTTTCCGTAAAGTAGTCATAGAGATAGAAGTTCGCAAGAAAAACATTTTCATACTCACCATACACTTGGATTTCTCAATCCAGCAGACTTCCATTTTGAACAATTTATGTTTGATGTATTCCATCCCTGTTTTTATCCTTGACAACATGAGTCACTGTTGATTATTTTTGTACATAACGATGATGTAAAACATGAAGAAAGAAGAAATGAAATTAACAAAGAAAACACTGTATATACCGAGTACATCTTAGATACGAGAAAGTATTAATCCGTTTTCATATCCAGCCAGACCCTCAAAGTATTGCATGCAATTGGAAAATGGGCAGATATTTCGTGGAAAGTAGTCTGCATGTTGGGACATAACATGACTGCATAAATCCTGTGCATCCAAGTAACTTTCATTCAAATCGAAACATTCTTTGCTAAGTAGACAACGAAGTCGGATTGGAGGATTTGCTACATTCATGTTGAAGTCATTTTCATTGTTTATTGAATGATTGTTGACAGTTATCGATACCGCACCCTTTTTTTTCTGTTTTATTCTAGCTTCCTTCGAATTGTCTGCAGTGAACATCGTTATTGTTATTATTGAAGAATCTTGAGGGTGTTTGCACATGTGGGTATTGAGCTAGATGATATTGCTTTAAATCCTTTTCCTTTGAAAACACTGCCTTGCACATATCAATATCATATTTGTATTTCCATCTTTCACTTCTCGACTATGGATTGTTTGAAGTACTAGATATAATTACACTTAGTGTGTAACAATGTTCTCTAGACATGTCGCTGGTTGTAAGCATATACTTTGAGGATAGTTTACTTTTAGTATTACATAATATTCGTCGATATGCTCAGATGATGAATTATAACTGATATGATAATGAACATACAATGGACTTTGCATTAACCACCACGTGCCTTCATTAGATACTTGAGACGTAAAATTACCGTTTTATTCGAAAACACGGTACACTGAGTAAGGATGAAAACTGCTAAACAATTCATGACAGTCACAATTTTTGTCGATTAGTAGATAATGTTTGAAGTTTTACGAAGAACCAATTATGGAACCATATTCGAAACTCATCGGTTGTTCTTTAGTCTACAATGGTCAACCATGTGACTGTTGTTTAAAACTTTATCATTAATTACAACGCAGAAAACGAAACGTTTAGATATAAAACTGAGTTAGTTGTTTTACTCTTACTGACCGTTGAGCAAAACCAAGCAAAAAAAGATTTCCGTCCCCGTGTTTTAGATCGAGCATTACATTGATAAGAAGACCAAGGAAAATATTTACTGGTGCATTCATGTTCACAATTGAAGAATGGATATCAGAGCTGTCATAAGTGAATATTTTCTCCCTTCCCTCCTGAAGTTGACACTTTTAACGACTGTTTTACTAATCTAGTTCTTCTTATCGGCTGTTCTCTTATTTATTTTCGTTCTAACAGATCATTCAAAAAAAAATAGTATCATTATTTCGAAAAAAAACAATATATATATATATGCGCTCTCGCACACTAGCAAGCTGACATAGTGCGATTGACATAGTCTTCAATTTGATAATTGAATAAAAGTAGATCATTCTTGTACAAACGTACAAGTCCGCAGATCAATTGGTTGGGTAAAGATGAGTACATTCGTCTATACTCTTCTGTACGATTATCCGAAGCACCAAGATGATGTTGTGTATTCCAATCGGATACGTTGAGACGCTTTAGCAACGAAGTGAAATCGTCATTGAATGATTCATATTTACCAATGAAATTATATCCGATATTGCAAACTTGACAGATTGTTGTGTATGGTTGCCAGTGAGCATCCATTCGAATAATTGTACTAGGATCATCTATACCATTAAGAATGTATTGAACAAAGTGTTTAAATGACGGAATGACATTCTGACACGAGTAGGGTTTTGGGTCGGAACGCTGTGTTTGGTTCTTATTTGAATATCGATAACAGATGATTTTGCGTAAGGCATCATAGTAGGGTTCTTGTTGAATTCTGTCTTTTCCTAACGTTGCAATTCTTTCTTTGTAAGCCGAGACCAAACGTTCAAATGGATGGCGAACGAACAGTACCCGAGTAAACGATGGAGAGAGTATGTCCGACGAACTATTTGTGTTGTTGTAATTCAAATGCGGGAAAATATCTTTTAGATTCAATCGATGTGGATTTAGAAATACCGTCGGTGATGTACTATTAATACTTGAGAAACGGAGAAGGTGAAGAAAAATCTGAATCAATGACGTTACAGAAATCTCTTCTCTTTTTTCCGGTAGCGGAATTCCATTCTAAGGACAAGAAAAAAGAATTTCAAACTAAATATACTTGAATGCGATGTCGCTTACTTTTCGAAGTCCTTCGTGCAGCTTTTGTATATTAATCAGTTGCTCTGCTCGAGCTTTATTTACGACAATATTTGTCCAATTGGTATCTACATGATCAATTGCATCCCGAATATAAACATAGATCATGAGTGTAAGAAAACTTTTTGATGCAATCTTCGGAATAGCACAATATGCTAACGAATGAGACTGGAGAGATAGAATAGATCCACGAAGCCATGGAAATTCTTGCACTAAACTGGCAAATGTATGCTTCTTTTTACCAGATATCGATCGTTTTGAATGAATACATTCATTGTTCAAAAACTGCGAACGATTTTTATGGATGCAAGGTAGTAAGGTATTCGGATCGGTTTCTTCAACTATTATCCACGACACGTCGAATTTATTTCCTTTAATCATAAAGTACTGACGAATTTGTATTAAGACTAGGAAATTTATCAAAAGAACTCCATATATGAAGTACTGCTTGCATCTTTGAACAGTTCTATAATAATGAATATAACAGACAACCATGATTAACCGCTTTCTTGATTGAGGATGTGTGTATTGATTCACCAATACAATGTGTGTTGCTCTACTTGAATCGAAATAGAAACTGTTTGAAATGAAGCGCGTTAAAAAGCGAGAACGTTTTAGCTGTTTTGCTTGCGTTTATTTATACACCGATTGAGAAATGTGTTGAATTCTTTCTTTACTATTGTTTCGATACTCCGCACGATTGTCATGATTGGAGAAAAAGTGCATAAGACGAACGAGCGAACGTAAAAAGTATATGTACGTGGAGGTGAAAATGAAAAGTAAAATAATAAAGACAATGTACTATTTCGGGTGCTTTCATAGAGATGCGAAGCAAATAAAGTTGCAGAGTTCTCTCTCAGTACATAATTTTATAGGGGAATCGAATAGATTAGAACGAAAAAAAAAAGAATTTAAATGCAAGTTGAAAATTCGTGTCCATGTCGCGCCTGTTCTGAGCGCTTGTATTTTTTTAGACACGAACATCAGAAAAAAAATCCAACGATAGAAACTATCAATTGAATTTTCACTCAAATAATGTGACACTTATCCTTTGTTGCTATGTTGTCATACTTGGATCCGCGATGAAAAAATGTTATAGGAATGTTTTGTTGCTGATCTAAATTGTCGACTGAAAGCATCAAGCTGAGAAATGATGCACTGATTGCACTTGACGATGGCTGTTGATGATGATGGAAGATTGAAGTTCTCAGGATAAAAAGATACTCCGATGTTATCAACCCGAAAAGAAAAGTATCTTCTACTTTCCTTATCTAAACTATTCACTTTCTCTCTCTCTCTTTCTGCAGACCATGTGTGTTTGCAGAAATTATTTTAAGATACTCTAGTCGTTTGTATTTTGTAGTGTACACATGTTCGAGTTGAGTAAGCAAATGGTTTTTGTTTAGGACAACTTCACACATCACGAAATCATCCGATATGAGTACAATGTCGACAATTAGTAAAGGTCTATCAGGTGTGATATATTTTTACTAGCGTACTCGAGTTAAATTTTCATTTTCTTTTATTCATGTAGCTTTTCATATTACAAACACTGATCTGGATGTTTCGTTGTCACAGATGGATAAAGCAACAATCGTCTATGTTCGTCTTGTATTTCTACGAATAGGTAAATAGTTTGAACGAGATGTATCTTCGTATGTGTTTCTCTCTCGATCTGTAAGGTGAAATCGATACATTGAATGAGAAATACCAAGCGCATGCGTCAATCGAGTCCCGATGGTTCGTTCCGGCCGACAAATTCACTTACATTCTTTCGTCTGACGATCAACTTCGTTTAAGAAAAGACAAATCTGTTCTGTTGGAAAAATACGCTGAATGCTGTTGGCATCCGGAAATCTACATCGAAAACAGTTTGGGTGACCTCAAAGAACAGATCAAGTATAGTGCAAAACTCGGCAAAGACCCTCAAATGATACAAATTTGTGAGCATCGTGTCATCAAAGGTTCATTCTGGGAGAAACTTGAACTTCAACATTTTCCTAGTGATGTACAAGATTTATCCATATCTGTTACATCAATGTTCTACCATGATAAAGTTATTTTGATTGCTGATCCATTACGGCTCAGTGGAGTTAATCGAGAAGCTTTCGTTGATCAACAAGAATGGTCCCTGTACGAACATGTCGATACAAAGCAAAGATTTATCAGAGAATTTGTTTTTCGTACCTATGATGCTGTTGACGACGACGACGACGACGACAACGAAATCAATGATCAACAAATGAAAGAAGTGTCAAGTAGTGAAGATCGAAAACGATCGATTTTAACAGTGACTTGCCATGCAGGTTGGTGTATATATTCTTTTTCAAGTTTACAATCGTTTTTTTTTTGTGTGTTTGTCTACAAAAGCTCGCCAATCACAATATTTCTTTTGGAACGGATATTGTCTCATACTACTGATTACAATGGTTTCTTTTTGTACCTTTGGAATACCATTACAGTATGTTTCCTATCATCTAAGTATCTGTAATTATTTTAAAACTATTGATTATATATTTTATCATTCTAAGATATGCAGTCAATCGATTACAAGTATCATGTACACTTCTACTTACATCAATTACTTTTCGGTGGACAGTGAATAGATCATTGGTGAGTTCGATCGTCTTCGTTTTCTCAATCGAATACCATGTTTGTTCATTTAGCCGACAATATCTTATTTAACATCGTTGGATCGATACGGTATCGCTGGTATATTCAATTTAGTATTCCATTCCCTATGGCACAGTACTCTTAGCGCAATTATCTGGCAAACAACACCAGATTATCGTGTACCAAAGCATTCTTGGATTGAATTCTTGGATCATAGTATGTTCAGCGTATTTGTTGGTGTGTTTATCATTTACCATCTAGCCATGATCATATGGTTGTATTGTGTCCCACTGAAGTACCGCAGACGAATGAAACAAAAAGATGTTCAGTACCGGATTCTAATGCAAGAGAGAATAAGAGGTAATATCAATCGATCTCTCGATAGTGAAAACTCAAGACCAACAACAACAGCTCTTATATCGATCGAACAACTTTAGTTTGTCGTATACATATGAATAATGACTATCTGGATTATTTATTTAATCTTAAATAAACAAAGTACACATTTATGTATTCAAACATCCAGAATAAATACTATTATATCTGAGTCAACTCAATAATATTTCAGATTTATTATTACATGTAGACCCGAACAAAACCCTCTATTCTTTGCCGACAAATAGGGCATATTTTTAATGAATATCCACATGGGACACATGTTGCAACGTGCCCACAAGGTAAAACAGCTAATCCTTTATCTTCCGTCAAGCATAGAGAGCACAGGTTCGATGATGACGAATCGTCTTCGAAAGTTGCCGTGACTTCTACATCCATCGTACTAATGGCACTTTTCGAAGATATTTCCTCAACAGCAGACAAGATGTTTGATGACCTTGGTTGTTCCTTTTCTCGGATGGATTTCATTCGAACATTTGGAACAACGATATTTTCTTTGTTACCATTGATACAATCAATCTGACGTTGTAGAATGAGACAAGCAACATATACGTCGATTTCTGACGCAAAGTCATCTTCTACAGAAAACGATATTTAATAAATATTTTAGGATACAACTCATATAGGTTAAACTTACGTTTCAGTCGTAATTGATCTTCCCAAACACGTTTTACGATTGCTATTTTATATCCTTGTTGAATAAGACGCTGAGATATTGGCAAATCGAGACGTCCAGCAACCAATCGCAATAATGTATTCTCGTCTGGTGCCAATAATTGACGATCTTTCGTTGGTTGTCCACTGTTTTGTTCGTTTGATTGTTTGATCTTCGCTCGTTCTTTAGGAGGAAAAAAATAGAAAAATCAAATGTGTGATTTAAATTGAAAGCAAATAAACCTTGAATTATTTTTTTTGATTGTTGAATTTTTCGATAAAGGCTTGCGCCACATAATTGTTTAGCATAAGAGCAATGTGGAAACCATCGGGTATGCTCAATCAAAGGATTATCGTTTGCACCCCAGTTTTGTAATGATCCGTTACAATAAAAACAAGTAACGACTGTTTGCGTTCCAGTATAGAAAAATCCAGCACGTACGAGATCATCCACCGGAGGTAAAGAATCTGTCGGCCACAAAGCGAATGAAGCAACTCGTTTGGGTATTTCGGCGTAAGCACTATGGATGGCTGACGTGTGTGCGATACTATTGAATTGTAAGCCACTCAGAACTTGAGATTGTGCGTGAGAATTTTGGTTAATAATGGATATCGGTGTCTTTTCATGTATTTGGCACATGAGTTGAACGTAAACGCACTGCGGCGAAAGATTTCGATGAACTTCTTTTGGATCGTCTACTTCAGATATCCATTGTTGGCATATTAAGTTACAGTACAAGCAGATTACTCGATCAGCAACGTTGCAATAGAAAAAACCAGCATAAATCATTTGAGCCTCTGACGGAATATTCTGACCATACCAATGAGAAAACGTTCTTTGTCGAGCTTTTTTCAAAAGCTCGGTTTCTACTAGTACGTTTTTTACACTAATATCAGACTTACGAAATTTTACTAATTGTTGTTGCTCATCCGTTATCGATGAGCGATCGGAAGTATCTGGCATAGAAGTCGAGACTAGTTTCTGTCTATTTGCCAGTTGACGTATGTTGGCAATCACATGACGCACTTTATCGTTAATAAGAGAATTACTTGAAGCGGTGCTCATAGACATAGATGAGTTCAAAGTATGTACAAAATGACTGTGTCCAACTAAAGCAAAAACAATATTTAAATATTCTTGCATGGAAATTTCCAAGATAACACTTCCGACTGTGCAATAACCGTTTATGTGCCGTTGAACAGAAGTATTCGATTAACAAACAACCGCGTATATATATAGGCAGAGAGAAATATGAGTAATTTGATTTCGTAATTCTAATAATTTATTTCCCTGTTAATGATCGAATCATAGGAAAATTTCGAAGTTTCGCTGGAGGTCCCTCAATAAACAAAAAAAGATGTCACTACTTCATGGATAACTTCTAACGTGATATTGTTCGAGAATTATAGCACCTCTCTTTTATTCTTTATAATGATACGCTCGAATGCTCAGCGAATATTGAGACTGTTTTTCTATAACAGCACAAGCAATATAGAATACGAATTCTTGCAGCGTCACAGGATTGATTTGCTTTAAATTCCCGTCAATCCTGACCGTCACTCTATCAATAGATCGTAAATATCTACATCAATAGAGTATAGCGAGTGTTACTGTGAAAATCAACCGTGAACTGTACGCTCCCGTTGTAACTGAAGTAGAAACATCTTCAAACAGATAATTAGCAAGTCAGTATTCTCTGTTTCAAGCAACATGAAGATAGCTTGCAGGAAGAGAATGTGAAAGTGTGCATAATATGACGCAGAAAGCTTGGTTATAGGTAATAGTAATCGAAAAAGGTAAGTGAAGCACTGTAAGGCTTGTACGTTATGTCAAGAAAGTTAAGAAAAGTAGAGAAAATTACTTCTAATGAGGGATAGACACTATCTGTGTATCATCGAAAGGTGTTCGGATTACTTACAGTATGTTATTTGAAACCTGGCTATGGCCAGTTCATCAAATGTCATCTGATAAGATCGTACTTCATCTATAAGTTTAGAATTCTATCCGAAAACATCGTTTATTATATTCTTCGTATAGGTTTTTCAGTTAAAAACTTCCGTTTTTTCTCGGAATAAAAATAGATCTACATTTGAGCTTTGATACTATATAACTTCATTAGTGAATCCGAACCAGCAAAACTCACACTGTGATTATATATGAATTCATTCTGGAGAAAGTAAATGAAATCATGCAGACTATAATTAAAATCCTAAGTAGTTGATTAAAAATTCAAAGTCTTTGTATTCAAGAGAGGGATATCTTCAAAATAGAGATTCTTTTCTTACTTTTGTCAGTCAAACCATCGAGAGTATACTTAAATCTAAACTCTTTGCTCTCTTCTATTCACTACTCTATCCCATGGCAACAGAGAATAATACATTTGCAATAAGCATCGCATCGTGGTTTATCCCTATTGATATTCTGAAGATTTCCTGCGCTATTACTGCAATTATTCTTGCTCTATTTTGTTTATCAATTATTGTCTATGAACGCACGTGCCATACAGTTCCAATGATACTTGTAACCAATTCATACCTTTCCCAATTGATTTATGCGATCGACGTATTAGCCATCAGTATATTTACGCTTGAAAATGATTTGAAAGAAAGGAAATTGAATAATCGTCTGTGCATTTTCTCCGGATCTCTGAGTTATTCAATTACAATGATACAGATGTATTCGTACTTGTTACAAGCTGTCTATCGATATTTGGTTATAGTATATCCATCTCGTTTAATGTGGCAGTCAAGTCGATTACAAGCGTCTTTCATCGGTCTGACTTGGTGCTGTGGACTTGTGTATTTCATTGTATTAATCGTTACCGATCAAATCAAATATCTTCCTGATGATCAAATTTGTCAGATGCCTCTTCGTCTGTCATTTCTCACGATATTCAATGCATTGTATATATACATATTTCCACTGAGTGTTATTATGATCATTTACTTGAAAATGATTTTATATGTCAAAGAAATGGGTAAACGTATCACCCCGGTAAACATTCTCTCGCGTGCACAAAGAGAACTGCGAATGATCCATCGTATTGTATCTATTGTGCTATTTTTGGTTATTCTAGGTCTCCCATATGTACTATTTATTCTTATGTCATTCTTTAATAGCGCACCGAAGTATCATTTTCGAATTGCATACGTATTTATTATTGTTTCATTAGTATTTATGATGATTGCTCTATGTCAAGTAGCTGAACCATTGAAAATATTTATCAAGAAAGTATACCGAAGAAGAGTTGTACAGGTTGGACCAACGGTTACATAACATCTTGTAAAATAAATCCAACAGTTTTGCATAGCTAACTGGATTCATCATTGTCTCTATTATTTGTCGCCGAAAGTGGGTTAATTACTCTTTTCATTCACCCTCGAAGAACAGATACGGATTCACGAATTTGACTGAACGAGTTGCTATGGACCAACAATCGATTAAAAATATCTGAAAAAATTTATAGATATTTAGAAATGGAACAGCAGTAGTATTTTCTCAATAGACTAAGCCACAACGAAGAAATAGATTCCAGTCTGTTACACAAACACAACATGTCGCGTCACAATAAAACTATTCTAACTATGTTAACTCTTAAGGTATCACTTGGAAAATGTTCCAGATGACTCTTGGTTGACATTGAAACTTCGTTTTATCTTCGACTATTGATGCTCTGTGAACTGTTATGTTACCATATGTATTATTCAGCCTGCGAAAATCCAATCTTTTGAAAAATGCCTATCCTCAACACTCCCTCCCCCGCTCCAATCGAGTTCATTTAAAATATTTCCGCTCATGTGACAATATTTATTGCGTCAAACACATATAGCACGATCATATAACAAAGCAAGCACACCTTCTAGTTTTTTTTTGTTATACAACTGTACTTGTGTATAGTTGCACTTCAGAATAGTCCGTAGAGTCTGCTTTTGAAACAGTTTCTAGAACGAGAAACCGATAACTGCTGTATCGAACTGTGTTAGTAAATGTTATTATTCGACCACAGTCTTCATGAGAAGGAATATCATACACTTCAGCGGAACCTTGATAAATCAGAGTCCAACTTGCTCCTAGAGTGAGATCAATTCCAGATTGGTTGCTCCCTTCCAGTGACACTATTTTCGGATTGCGCGCGCGCCGGGATATTGCTTCACATATTCTCAATCCAATGACTAGTGTTGCACCAGATTCTAGTTCAAAATACAAACCAGTATTGTGACCACATCCAGATATATTAAAGTTGGATAAGGAGCACCATCCAAAACTTTGATATTTGGTTTTTGTATTATTATCACATGCATAACTTGGCGGATGTCGAACTACGTACTGTCCAACTGCGTTGCCAGCAGTTGCTGGCAAGCTATTTCCACCAATTGTAGTATTGTATATGCCCATTGTTATTCCGTCAACGGTATCGAGTGAAATTTGAACTATAGATATTCACGTAATTACTTAATTACTGTCTTTTTTTACTTAGACTATACCTAGTTCTCCTGGCGAGGGTTGTATTTGTTCAGTAGATTCGGTAGTCAAAAGTGTTGACAGTGATGTAAATGGCAATTCAGTTGTTGCACTGGCCACTCGAGATGTTGTTTCGAAAGCAGAAGAAATATGCACTGATGTCGATGTAATTGTTGTTGGTGACGACGACAGTGTCGCTGTTGTTGTTTCTGGCGAAGTTAATTTCTTACTTTTGTTCTTGCCAATAATCACAACCGGAACTGTAACACTTATGATTATCAGTATAACAGCTGCGATCGGCAGAAAGATGCGCCAAAGTTTTTGTCTTTGATTGTTACAGCATCTGATATTATATAAAGTTTTTTATTGATCAATTTAGAATCTCCACAGCGCTTTTTACCTTACTTCAGGTAAGGCGATTGTTGTTCTTGCTAATGTGTTCCTACGAGCTGACGTTGACTAAAGCAATACAAAAGAAAAAACCAGCTGGAATGGTTTCATCGAAAATTTTACCTCTAGAGTATCATTGACGTTTTCATTTATAACTTCAATCTTGGCCATACTCGTACAGGTTGTCTAGTTTCTCTTCTCAAAAGAACATGTAGGAGCAAAGCGTTGACTGTACTCAATTTTTATTTCCCGTCATTTGTCTAAGAGAGAAATGCATGGTAGACGTGCAGAAAAGTGAAAGCTTTAATTAGCCATTATACAACAAGAATAAATTATATTTTAAATCTTTATTTGCAAGCTGCAAGAGAGATATTCTTATCCCGAATATCACGTAGCGCATAACACATGTCATTTTAGGAGTCTTATTTTTGTTTTAAATCCAAGACAATATCTTAATGTTAGTAGAAGATATATCATATCAAACGGTGAGACATCGTCATATCACACTGTGATAGCAATGTAGGGTACATCTTTTGTAAAGAAAACGATCCTGTGAAGTGAGGTACCGATGTAGTAGATATTCGATAGGATGAAATGCTAAACAGGATGTCGTCTTCCAATACGCTTGAAGTAGAAGAAAATCACGTATAGTGTGATTGTTCTACGTGTGATGTATATGTATACGTGGTAGGCAACATACAATCTATCATTCATACATCTTCGTAGTTCTCTAATTAAAGTCATCTATCATTGATGTTTTGACTTCATATGAATCGCAGAGCAAACAAACGCTTTGAAGTAAGTATAATGAGAGAAGTATTTTCTTGATATGATGAATGTTGTTTTCTCGTTTGTTCGAGTCACCCGTTAGAATGAAGTGAGTGTTTTTTACACCACACGAAAGGAAAGAAAAAGCATGACGAAAAGAGTCTCAGAGACGGAAATATACAAATGAAAGCTTTAAAAAAACCGAGATTCGGCAATCGTAAAGTCAATTTCATTTCCTCAAAATTTAAAGATATTGCTTTAAGAGCATTGCCATTGACAACAACAACGCTGACTACCGCCTCTGAAACTGGCAACAGGACCTAGGTGTGTCATGTTTGGTATAATTCTTTCAGACAGGCCTTCGAAATCAAACTTATCTGCTTTTATTAAACTTTCTCTAGAAAATATCTGTGTATACATGTTCTTCAAAATAGAGAGAATGTGAGATATTAAATTCTTTAATATATTGGACTAAGAAAATTATTTGTATTCGAAATAGTTTGTTTTAACTTCGCAATATCAATTGATACTGTGGGCTAACACACGTCAAGTCAATCACCTGATCGCACATGCACTGGTGACAAAACGACGAAATATTCTAGTTTCGGTTCATATTTTGAAGGATTATACGGAGATGATTGTGAACTAGATACTAGTTTTTATTTTGAATCACAAATTCATCTAGTTGTAGTGAATGCGCTACGAGTGTCCACAGTTGAGGATTCTCCTGAATGCGATGCGCGTATCATATCACTAGAAGAAAGGAATGAATTGGAAACAAGCCTTACTCTAGGTACTAGTTGGTCTCTCATTTATAATAACACAATTGGACGAGGTGCAGATCTTGACAGAGATGCTTACCGCGAAATACAGTACTTCAACGGCATAGATTCGCATAGGAGTTATCGATTTGTTGTATGTGGTAAATGTTCCAGTGGAAATAGCGTTCAATATGCGGAAGTTAAATTGTATAGTTTCTAATCGTTACGTTGTCGACGTACATTATCATAAAAAATAGGCTTCTCTTTTTTCAATCGTTCTATTCAAGATTTTATCATTGTTGTTGCTGATATATCATACATTTCCTTCTCACATGAATTTTGGGCTTTTATGATTACGCTCGATTAACAAATTTACGTCTTCACTGATACGCTCTTTGAGGATATTTATTTCAAAAATAATGCGTTTAAGAGACACTTACTGTTATTTTTGTTTGTTAAAATAACACAAATGAATTCTATGACATCCACAAGAAAAAATACTTTCATAAGATATATACACAGAAGAAGTACTTCTAACTATTTATTACAGCGTAAATCAGTCAGTATCCGTAAAGTTCTAGTTCCAAATACTCGGTGCTATGTGTGTCCTTATTAGTCTCTAAAACTAGAAATCGATAACTTCTATATCGATTTGTGTTAACGAATGATACCATTTTACCCCATTTCCCGTCTGTAAGAGGATTTCCAATTGCATTAGGACCTCGATAAATAAGAACCCAACTTGTACCAAGAGTAAGAGCTGTTCCTGATTGATTGCTTCCTTCCAATGAGACTATTTTTGGAGTACGTACAAACGAAAGTACAGATCCGTGTATTCTCAAGCTAGTAATCACGGATGAGGAGCACCATCCAAAACTTTGATATTTGGTTTTTTGTATTATTATCACATGCATAACTTGGCGGATGTCGAGCTACGTATTGTCCAACTCCGTTGCTGGCAAGCTATTTCCACCAATTGTAGTATTGTATATCCCCATGATCGCCTCATCGACAACATCAATTAATATTCGAACTAAAGAGTTATTTTGAAGATTTAAATAAAATTGACATAAATGCAGAGAACGGACGACTCAATGAAATATTCTTTGAAAAAGAAGCGTTTAAACGTTTTTTCTCGTCAAACGCATAACTCAACACATTTCTATCATATCTGCCTATATTCTACATTTAAGTGGATACTTTTTTTTATTCTTCTAATCCAATGGTTACCTGATGGTGGTGGTGGTATCATGGTAGATTCTGTAATTGTCATGTCTGTAGTTGACATAGATGTGCTCACTAGTTCGATAGCTGTTGTTTCCGCTATTGTTATCGTTGTAATTACTGATACTACATCTGTTGTTATAATTGTACTTGTGTTTGGTGCCATAACTGTTGTTGTCTCTTTCTTGGAGCTCAATACAATTGCAACTATTACAATCGTGACGATCAATACAATAACGAAGAGGGATAAAACGATCAGAAGTATTCTCCTTTTCCGATTGTGAAAACACCTAGAACAAAACGTAGCTGCATTTTTTTTCTCAGATCATGTTATTTGTCAATTTCATACGATGTTGGATATTCAACAATTGACGTTGGGCCTGTTGATTCTGAATTGAACATGTCAGTCTAAAACGAAACCAAAAAAAACAACATGAAATCAACAGATCGATTCCATAATATTTTCTGACTATCTAATAAGGGTAAAACATCAAATGCATACCATACGTTATGAAATGCGTAGATGTATAACGACGCAAAAGAAGAATGAGGTGTAATCTGCGTAGAAATGTATGTACGTCAACTTGTAACATATGCTACAGGAAATCGGACTGAATGTTATTTTTAAATATCTTTTTACTATAATTCCAAAATGACAGCCTGTAAGAATATCGAACTGTTGTTTATCGATCTTATTTCGATACGGTGTATTTTGAAAATTCATTTGGTGCTGTCAATCGTTTTCTTTTTTCATCGTACAATCAGTTTGATTTATTTTATTATTTACTAATGCGCAAGAGCATTGGTGGTAATTGTTAGAAATGAAGAAAAACAAGTACTCAGATAAAATGCATCAAATATTGGTTGAAAACGAGTGTAAACAAAAATGGGAAAACTCAATTCATTTTACAGGGAAAGTTTTTTTAAGCAATAGTTTCTCAGCTAAGTCTGTATTTGGAAATTAGTAGAACAACATATGACAAGACAATATCTATGAAGAAAAATCTCCCAATTGTTTTATTATTTAACTAAAATTCAACCTCTTTTTGAGAATCGATCTGCCGAAGATCTCCGAGAAGAATGTATACCGTGTACAATACAAATAATCAACTTGTAATGTGTCGACAATCTCCTAAAAAAGTCACGCTAAACGATGTTCGCGCAAGGTATCGAATAGTGGCAATATTCTTTGTTCAAACTGATCTTTTTCACGAAATGGATACATATTTCACAATCCAATTGCAATATTACATTCGCTACACTTATACGTCAATGATGAAAATGCCTTGTTCCTTTATTTATTTATTCACGTTAACAAATGACATGTTTTATCTATCAAATCACTCAATTCTTTCTCAATGAAAATCGAGTTCTCGTCTACCTTGCTCCCGATGATTTTAAAAAGAATCTTGGTCAACCGCGAATATATTTCATACACGTATAGATCTATGATTCAATCCAATAGTATGAAACAAATATTTCTAATCGCTTTTTCGCAATCGATCTCCGATGTTTTATCACACATCAACGTCTTCAAGAAAAATCATTATCTATTTATCTATACTCCAAATATCATTAACAACTACAAGTTTGTTTATCATGATTAACTCAGTACTGCGTTGGCATCTACTACAATCAAATCGATCGTCTATATGCATCACTTCAGCAACACTTGCTTGACAACGCACTGAGAACACAAAATATCGACAATCTTTATCGTCTTCGGTATTTTCTTGATGATTTGATGACGAACTTCAAGATATTCAATACATCGATCATCGATGAATCATTCCATTGATTCTCGTCAAAGATGCACTCTGAATCATACAAAAGTATCTTCGAGATGCATTGGAACGATACAAATATTGCCCTTGCTCTGCTTGCTTAGTCGACATCGATAAGAAAAATATGAGTCAGTCTTGGAGTTTTGCCAACGATCACTATCTATCTACAAAACATACCATTCAACAAGTCATAATGATATCGATCAGGTAGCAAATAATATCGGAAACGCATTTTTTTGCGTTGGAAAACTATGCTGAGGGTTTGGAATATTTTCAGCAAGTATTCAAAAACCAACAAGCGCGAGATTTGCTTAGTCTTGATCATGTTCAGCCGCTCAGACAAGCGAACGAGAATCTTATATCTAAAGGAAACTCGACTCCTCGAACTACAGCAGACTTCTTAATATAATCGGACGTATATATTTTATGGAAATATGCTTCTCAAAGCTTCTGAATGTATCAAACTATCATGGGATATACGAATAACACATCAGCTCTTGAATCATGAACTAATCGCATGCAGTTTCGAAAACTTCGCCGACGTACTATTTCAACGAGCAGTTATGAAGCGATCATTGATTGTTGGGATAGAGTAGGGTCCCACAATCGTGCAATGGAATTGTTTTCAGAATCTTTAACAATTGCACAAGCGAGTTTTGTTCCAGCAGATTATCAGCTGAATGGTACTCTGCATAAATTAGAAACAAGGCATCGAAATCGTGAAGAATATGATTCAGCTCTGTAGTACGCAATAAATGAAAAGAATCGTTCAGCAATTGGTAATGATTTTGCTCGAAGACTACGAAATTTTTGCTTTTACTATGAAGAACTCGATAAATTGGAAATCGCATTAGAATATTATCAACGAGTGCTTCTTATTTACAGATAAAAGTCATCTTTCATGACTGAAGATATTTGGGAACTGAGAGAAAAAATCAACAATAAAAACATCTAAGAGTGATGGATGTTTTGAAAAAAAAATATCTCTCTGTTTATTGAACAATAATAAATAATTAATGAAATCAGATACAAAATTGCTCTTCAATTGTCTTTTGAGACTCGCAGTACATCATAAATATATTTGCATGTGGAAACTTCAACTTGATACTGTTCGAGTAACAACAACAAGAATATATAGTTGAGGCATTTAGTATTACCAGTGATTCACACCTACGAAAAGGGAACTATACTGTAGCAACAAATAGTCAGGAGAAAATCCGCGTATTTCGACCCGACGTGAAGGTTTTCATGGCACAACATTGATCTGAGGGCGTGACTACCTCCAATAATTCAGCAATGCAAGAGACTTGTTTTGCTCAATCACATATCAGTAAACTGAAACTTGTCATTAATATGACTGGTATTTTAGATCTAACAGCTATCTCTGACTTATAAAATGAGATTACTGTATTTTGAACCTTTTTCTCTTAATTCAATTATATTAAATAGTCCTTTATTTTTATTTGCCTATTCATAACAATTCAATAGCTTTTGTCTATTCAACTCTTCAAGTGCTATGCACTTTTTTTCATGTGTGTAAAACAATTACTTTGGAAAATCTTCCTAATTGAAACTTACATGCTCAATCGAGAGACAATTGTCGTTTTTTTTTGTTTTAACGCAATCTTTCCTCTCACAATAAATGAATAAACAGTGATTTTCTCGTCCACTTGGGTAGCACGTGAACAACACTTTATTTCTTGAAAGAATAACAGGAAACTAAAACAACATTTTCTTTTCATATCATTTAAAACAGTATTTACTAACGTTGAAGACATTCTTCACCTTTTCTCTCTATGTTAACAACTCAAGAAACACAACTTTCTTAGCAACAGTAGCTTGCAGTGAAAGTCATCTGGAAGCAATTGAGAAGTACAATATTTCGTTTTTTAGACTATACGTACATTTGACACATACAAAGATGATCACCAAGTCGATCCAAGATCCTAGTCCAGTCGAAGTTCTCGAAGTACGTAAAAATTGAAATCGTATCGTCTGATTTGTTTTTCTTTTATTTCCTATTATCGTAGACACAATCAATTAACTCTGAGATATGCATCAAAACGACGGTCGCTCGATCGAAAACATCGTAGGAGTATTTGAGAGTACACGAATCGATATTCGATAATTTTTTACATTAGATATGTCGATCGACGGAAAATACGAAAATTTTCGTTTGTGATACTATGGACGACTGTGACAGTGTTTATCGTTTTACTCGCGATACTTCTAGTGACAAATGCCAAGCATAGTGTAACTGAAACGACAACTGTTATCACGCCGACGGCAGTATCTACTACGGCACTTTCATCGTCAGCCATCTCCGCACCAACGACAACAGGAATGGCAAGTAAGTCAACCACCTGCACATCTGCCAACTCCGTCGTAGTTGAATAATATGATAGCTTTCACTAAATGTCGTATACTGCTATAGGTCAGCTACAGCTTGTCAGTGCAGATGGAACGATTCGAGGTGTGTATAATACAACTGTTGGCGCTAGTAGTACCGCCTCAACAGCCGGTACTGGCGTCGGTCAATATACAGCAAATGATCCACCAGCTAATGCGTGTGATAATGACACATCAACAAAGTATTTAAATTTAGGATCATGTAATCAAACCGATAATAGTTCTCTCTGCGGTTTGAACACTGGTTTCTATCTCGAACTGCAACGTGGTTCATCTTTAGTTACCGGTATACAATCATGCACTGCAAATGATTCCTCTGAACGTGATCCACTTGTTGTATCCTTAGAAGGTAGTAATTTATCCGGAACGAATCTTACACTCGGTACTAGTTGGTCGCTCATCTATAATGGTACAAGCGGGTTAGATACGGATCCTGGTCGATCCAGTTGTGGTTCTATCCAGTCAATAAATAATTCAGTTCAATACAAGAGCTATCGATTTCTTGTTTTTGGCAAACGATCGACGTCGAATAGTGTTCAATATTCCGAAGTTCGATTGTTTGGATACTAGTCTTTCATAGATTTTCCATTAAGTAATTCTTTTTTATGACAGGCGTATATTCACTTGATTCGTTATGCGAAATAAATTCTACTAAGAGAAAGGGCTTGTTTTTTCTCTAATCGGAAATAAATATAGGAAATAAACGTATTTGAGTTATATAGCTTGAACATGGCCTGAATTACATCAAAGGCGCTGGTTTTGCTTTGCTTGCTTTCTTTTTATAAAGGAGAAAAGTAAAGATTAATATAACATATGGGGCAGCATCAGTTTTTTTCACATGAATTTATTTTTCATCAGATAAGAGCCTAAAAGTGTTATTCAGAAATACAGTTCGCACACCTTTTTTCAATAAAAGCGAACCATACGAGATTTGAAAGAAATGTTTCGAATCAATATCGTATTGTTTACAATCACAATAGTGATATTCCACAGCAATTATGTGAATAGTCTTGCTCATGACACTGGCTTTGAAGCTAGTGCATTGGGAAATATTAGTGTGGATGGTGCACCAATATTTTCCATTCCATCACGCACTATAACCGGAACAACGTTTGGTAATTCAATTATGAATATTGGCCCGAATCAAGTCAGAGAAGATTTGATCTTTGCTGAATTTCAAGCTGGAAATATTCCTGATTTCATGAGAACTCCGATTCCAATTTCGGTTACAGCTGGTAATGATACACTTACATATTGGGTTCTTCCTGATGTTCTCTGCGTTGGTACAAATGCCGATTATTTACGAACACCACTAAATCCGTTAACAGCTCGAAGAGTTGCCGATATATACGGTGCTGTTCTGCCAACAAAGAAGATGGCGCATCAAATCTGGCAAGCAGCAACAGTCAAGTTAACACCTAGCCCAAATGGCCCACCGTACGATTCGACAATGATGTCAACAGAACGTATGGTATTTCATAATACGAAAATTCAAACTGCGCTCGGCAATAAAACCCCCGGTGAATTGATTAGCGGTCATAAAAAAGATGTGGTAATCACTACAGGATTATTGACATATCCACAAAATGTAGCCATTGTCGGGTGGTGGTACCCATCAGGACAAATGATTCAACCATTGAATTACAAATCACACGATCGATTTTATAAAGACTACAGTCATGGTATACGACTGGTTAATCGCATGGTGACAATCAATGGACAATGGTACGATATATATGATGTGCTACGCAATGCAGCAGTAGCATCACTAATAAGTGATGAAGGTGCATTTGATGCTACACAAATGTACATTTGAACTTTTACACGAATCGAGAATATAACATAAGACTGACTCTTTTATTGCAATAAAATACGACACTGATGTTTCATGAAACGAATTACCACACGAATGAATCAGTCTTATTTTTCTTTGCGAAAGCGAAGACTTCCAATGACAAGATAGTTACAATCACATGTCTAAAGAAAGAGACATACATTTTTTCATCGCTACAAAACACAGAACAACAAAAACTTATCTCTTCACATCTTGCTGCAGAATTTTTTGTGATTTGCACAAGACGTGGCAATTTTTAACGTTTGTACATGGAATCATGCAAATGTCCCACTACTGGACAAATGTTCGAGGATCTTGTTGCACGTGACAATGGACACACATATGAACGAGCAGCAATCGTAGATTGGTTATCACGAAATGAAACAAGCCCTATGACAAGGGAACCTATGGGCATAGATTCGTTGAAACCAAACTGTACAGTGAAGAAGATGATTGATGAATGGAAAGCCGTGTCCGAATCACAACAAATTCAGCATCAGTTCCAACTTGATGTAAATATTCGCAAAACGAGACCAAGATCAATCTTTTAAGGATTTGGTAGAACAATATATGAAGCTGAATGGATCAGTCGCAAGAGACCATCAATTACAATATTGTAGATCGACGGAGCAAAAGCTAATCGAGAAACATCATTCTATGTCCAGCTCGGTTACCAACCACGCACTATCCGCACTTTTGATCTTGCCCAACGCCACCCTGGCTCTGTTATGCCAACAGAACGAGTTTTGATAAGAGTCTTTGAACAAATATGTGATGCTATGATTTATCTGAGTGATAATGGTATCATTCATGGAGACTTGGCTTACCGAAATGCTTTCGTTTTTCGATCAAATCCAAGTGAGCCAAGGAAAAATTTAGTGCAAGTATCGTTTATTTCATACTGGACAGTTCATCTATGTCTACAGTGACTATCGTTCCAGTGCGTTACGTTGCTCCTGAAACTCTTCAAAATTCTGACCGATCAAAACTATTCAGAGAAGTCTGATAGATATTCTTGAGAGTGTTCTTATGTGGGAATCTTGTTCCTACGGGTTAATTACCATGTAGTTCTCTGCATGACGATAACGAAGTTCGAAAATGAACACTGAAGGACGAGACACTAGCCAGCAATTACTGTGCGAGCATTCACTTTGGAGAATCATCCATCACTGCCGGGAGTTCCAAGCTACGAATTGTCCGTCTTTCATAGATTTGAATGAATCTTTACTGGCAATCCATATTACAGTGCCATCCACGTACATTAATTCATCTTCATCCGTTTGTAGTTAATAATACTTCCTCTCATTTTATTCGTTTCAACCTATTCCTTCATTCTTTGGATCGACCAATCGTTCAGCTTCAAGATGATATTGTATCGATTCCTTGTCAATTTGGTAATGCGTTAAGTCACTTGTCAGATTGGTCGAACCATACTATGAGCAACTTTTCCAACAATCGTTCTGAATCATACTTTGATTTTGAGGAGATTTGCCAACATGTACAAAACAACATGTTTATACAGGTCTTACTAGAATTCTTGCTCAAACTATCATTACCGAATACTTCTCAGGTAAATTTTATCAACAGTTATGCACATCTGATACTCTTAAGAGCTAACTATTATCAAAACAATACTTCTAATGCAAATGTTCGCTATTCAACAATCGATTCATCCCAGACTTCTTTTCCCCGGTCTGGAAACAGATCCGTTTTCCAGCAGCAGACACTATTCCCTTCGTCCAGTATGATTCAAATTCACCGACCGTATGAGAGCCGATCAATACATAGACCATACGACGACCACGAATCCAAAGAAACCGACATTCGTCTAAGATTCAAACATGTATATAAACTACCCGACGAGGAAGAATAGAATAAAGCTGTCTATACTCAGACATCGGACCTGTATACGTTGCTGTGGAAGTGATCAATAAACCATGTCTGCTGATAGCTGGAGTAAAAGAAAAGCAGGAATTCGAAAAAAAAGTAAAGGTGCAATTCAGGTTTTGAGGCACGTCGACAGATCGTGAATATAGGTATTGGTATAGGGAGATTTATTATGCATCCTGGATGTTTCGTTATTAGTTTCATTTAGACATGACAGTACAGTCATTTTTCGCTTTTATTAAAAAAACAGACACTGAGAAGAAAAAAGAAAGGATCATTCTCTATCATTGCAGCTGTCGAATCCATTTAGCTAACAAATACATAGCCGAATTCCGATTGCAATAATTATTTGAATCAATTTTTCTCCATTCAATATTCAATTTTGATATGACTTCTGCATAAAGACAGACGTAACTGATCGGAAAGGTTTCTAAATCTTCAATAGTCATCTCTTCACCATCCCCATCAGTAATTAAATCATCAGTAACGCCAGCCTCATTCACCAACGTTCGATAAGTTGGACAGGTTTTTTTTAATTCAATATCTCGATGAATATAATCATAAATAGGCATCGATGAATCAATCAAATTCACATAGATCCAACGATACATGACGCCAGGTGATAAATGTCCGAAATGATGTAATGGAGCATCACTAAATACCGATGGAATACCATAACCATCAGGTTCAATCGATGGAATCAAAATCCATTCATAGTCATTTGTTTGCAATGATTGCAAATTCTTAATTGGAGANACTTTGTTTCCATATTGATCGAGAACAGAAAGTGACACTGATCTCGACAGATTTGTGTTTGTTGTCTGGGTTTTTGCATTACCAAAGGATGCAAGTGGTTCTAGCATTGACTGTAGAAAAGTATAAGAATAAGACTGGTTGGAGAAAAACGATACTTACTCGAAGTGAAACAGTTGAATTGTCGGTAACATTCGATTGAATGTTTGCCGGGAGATTGATTTTCGCGTTTGCCACTTGTTGAACTTGTTTACTTGAAAGAGCTCTTAATGATACAGTTTCTAATGTCATAAATGCAGAGGGCGTATTGATTTGTAAGTTTTGACCTATGTTTAGATGAATGTTGATTGTCGAAGTGATCACCGAAAGAATCTTCTGAACTTGTTCGGTGATTTCGTTGGCTAGTTGATTCTGATAGTAAGTATTTCGACCTTTCTGAATTGCTTCCCACGAGAAATCAGTTCCATCGGAGAATAAGTCTAATATAAATAAAATTCAATCTCGAAAAGTATGAGGAGTACGCTCTTACTCGGATTTGCCCAATCAGATTCCAAATCCGTGTCATAATCTGTTGGAAACTGAGTTGCACGCGATGAATCTAAATCTAACACATTCGTTCGTTGTTGCAATGGTCCATTGGCCGCCTAAATTTTATCAAATTACTCTCTACTTGATCGTTGGTATGAAAATATTTACATTTTGAATATTTGATGCACACTGAACAATTTGATTGACCGCTGCTTGAACATCTTCATATGAGATCTGAGTCGCAAGTGATTTCAGAGCTAGAGCTAGTTGATAACATCTATCCGATGCGATCGTCTATTTTCAATCTCATAGAAAGCTGTTATTCGAACAGAATTCTCCTTACTATAGTCGTTCGGGTTAATTGATTCGTTGCTTGAGTTAACTGAACCAACGAAGATGCTTGTAATTTGATATTATTTGCTGTTGAAGCGTCGAGATTTGTCGTATATTGCATGAGATATTCTCGAGTACTCGCGTAGGAATTCGTTTGTTTATTGAATTCATCCAGTGCTGTTTGATTCAATGGTACTGAATTCTAAAGAAACTTCGATTAATCAATGAAACTCATCGAACGAACGAGGTTATACCGTTGTTGAAGGTTCGCTACCCAATGGAGAAACGGAAATACTCGCAGCTGGGATACCGCTTAAAACAGCTTTATTCACACTTTCGTTATTGATTTTATTGAACTGTTGTGAGACGGAACTGAGAATTTGTCCGACAGTATTTGGATTTCCACTTGCAAGTAATTGCAGAAGTGGACTATTCGCCGAATTATCCGATGAACTTTGAATGCTATTCACTAAATCATTAATTCCAGTTAAATCTGAGAGAACAGTCACTGAAGACAGATTGTATTCTGTAACACAATCAAGTGAATCTCGAATGTGCACAGTGAGATGAAGTGTCGAGGTTTGATCGTCGCCGATCGGTAATAGAACTTGAAATGTTGATATGGATGAAAATGCGATCATCGTTTCTTCGGTTGAATCATCAGTCCAGCCTAGAATTCATTGAAAGCTTAATAAAATGCTTTGATTTAGGAGAGAAATCACAAACCATAGACTGAATAATCGATGATTCCATCTTCGTCAAACCAATTGGGACATGAAATACTGAATGAAGTGCTCGTTGTACCATTGTGTGGACTGACAGAACACGAGCCATTCTTTGGCGGTTGATTGATAACAAAATTTAATGAGCTCAAACTTGCTTCTGATGCAACTGTATAATTGACTTCAAATCTCCAAAGACTTATTTGAGGATTGTTGAGAAATAGATTATTCGCTGCTGTGAAATTACTGGTACTTCGCCCTAAAAGTTGCTCGATACGAAAGATCTGCACAATGATTACAAATTCTCACCGAAAAACCAGATATTCTCATATGCGCTCATCTGATTAAACAAAACCCATTGCGTCACGTTTGACGAGATATTTACTGAACCTTGATAAACATTCCATGTGATAATCTCCGTGTTTTGACAATTATCAACGCAGAATGAAAACAGAGCCACTTGTGTAGTTGGATTGACCAATTGAAATTCCATGTTCGAAACACACATTGTCGAAATCACACAACTAAACTATCTGAGATAGGAGAGAAGAGATTTTCGAAAAGAAAACATACCCGATGGCAATCATCTGTGACGATGTATCTTCTACTTTTACAAGAACATAACCAGTTGCTTGGATCGAAGCATTTTGTTGATTTGTCATAGTAACCATAAACTGATACGTACGGTTCGATTGCAATGAATTAGCACGAATGGTCAATGAAGATTTTAGTGAAAGGCCCGTGCCACCATATATAAGTTTAGTTTCATTTCCTTTCAACAAAAAAAAATTGATTCCGCATTGCTTCCAAAATTTATCTTACTTGTTCGATTTCCGAAACATGATGGATTCAATGGATCAGTTGCATTGCCATCGATTGGTATCAATGAACCCTGGGCATTCGGGAACATGTATAAACCGTAAATACGACAGAAATATTCGTATTTCCAACTCTATTCCAAAGGAAAAAATCTGATTTGAAATGAACAAAGAATTGCTTTACACTTACGCTTCCATTAAATGTGTACTCATCAGGATCAACGGAAAATGTTCCAGGATCAAATTCCAGATCTTGTTTGTATCCGATTGTGATCATCGATGTTCCCAATTGAACAAGGTTTGCTACTATACCGGATGATGTAACTTGAACGTAAACTGAGGATGACGTTGTGAGATTTGTGTAATTCGCCATGGTGACAGTGAACTGTAGTTGATAGAGTCCAAAAGGTAATGTTCGTGCTGGAATATGTAATTCAGTGAATGTTGTTTGAATGGTTTGATCTAACGAGAGTTGGTATGAACAAGTCGAACTACAGTTCTTGATTGTCCACTTTTTGATTGTGGACAATGAATCGTTGCAGTTCACTTCGATTATTGACATGATGTAAAAATCTTGACTTCGACGATATTGAAGTGGTGATGCTAAAGTCGATGAACCAGGAATAAGCGTTAATTTCGGAGAAAAACATGCTATGATACGAAGAAAATAATCGAAATACGTTCTCGTAAATGTTCGCTATTACTTTGAGGTGGGGTCGATGGATTTGAACGTGTTGTTTGAACTTGTGTATTTGATGGAGCGACGGAAGTTGCAACATTTGTAGTAGGTACATTAGCAGTTGTCTGGACATATGCCGTAGATTTATCAACTGTAGTGGAAATTTCAGTTGAAGTCGTCTCTCCTACATATGAAAAAACAAGAGATATGGATGTCAAAATGAAGAGAAATGTGGGCAAGTAGAGACACGCGTTACACACGTAGTTCCACATCCTACTGTGATAATTTAACTCATTCATCACATCAATTGATTTAGATAGAACGTCATTATTTACCTTCCGTCGACATTTCTGTTGTAGGTTCAGTCCAATTAGTTGGTTCATCAGTACAGTAACGTAAACTACAAGTTGAAGGTGCAACCAACTCATACACATAGTACCATCCACAGTTAGTCACGGAGATAGTACTGTTCCAATAGCAACTGCTACCACTCCATGCAAAACATACGGATCCACTTGTGGTTGTATTCACAGTAATCGGCATATTTCCAGAATACCAGCCAGGTGCATCAGTGTTACATTGATACTTTGCAACTGCGCTCGTTGGAATTTTTGAGCCACCTGAACCGACAAAACGCACCCACATCGGAGTAGAACTGAAAATACTTGTATCACAGGCGGAAGATCCACTCGAAGTCACGTTGATACTTCTTGTAGGATCATTGATCAATGTATAGTTATAGCATTGCGGAGACACTATCGGGCTGTTCGTAGTTGTGGCTGAAAACAGAACGAGATTAGTATTGTAACGCAAATTCATTTATTCATGGGAACAACTATGTTGCACTTTTCTCTTCACTGTGCTGTGATAGGTGAATTAGATGAACTGATTATTGTCTAAACTGCCCTCTTAATCCCCTACTTATTTACCCGATATTTGTCCAATGATGACGAAGATGATCGATATACTGCAAACAGCTTTTGTCATTGTTGTTAACACATGAAATCTGATTGTTTGCTGATGATTTTATCGAGATGCAAGTGAGAGAAAATGAACGATTTGTCCTTTATATTTGCCGTATTTTGTTTGCTTCATCAATTTCTCTCTAAAGAAAACTGTTTCCCTCGTCACCTTTCGAACTCACGAAGTAAAATCTGCTGCATAGAAGATATTGTCATTCTTTAACACCACCCAATCTATTCGTTAATACATTGAAATAAAATATGAAATAGTGAAACTTATTTTTATCAAGAACATAATCGCCTCTAATCACTTAAGTTTACGATAAGAATTTCAACATATAAATCAGAGTACATTTCAAGCAATGATAATTGTAGAGACTATCAAAGAGATCTTTCAAGGCTTTAGCTCTGCAATCCTGTTTTATTGGTTAACATGTTTTGAGATTTTTAGTTAAATCTAAATGCTTTCGAAATTCACACGCACATTTCTCTAATGATTTGATCTGTATAGAAGGAATATTTTGAGAAAAAACTATATTATTTACGAACTATTGACATAGTATTCAAAATGACATTCTACGTTTCTTGAAGAGCGCATTTTTCTCTGACAACATTGTGTCGATTGACATCATTATTTAATTTATTAAGATATATTTGAGTATAGAGTAGTTTGGAACCGAAGAGAAAGGAATAATGAATAAATCATATATGTCGATTACTCATCCTTACAACTTAAACCTTACACAAAGTTTGCTCAACGACTTGGGTACGTCTTAACGGCAATTCTGCAACATCTTTAGTTAGTACATTCAACAGTCTATTGGCTATTAAAACATGTTCACAATTATGAATTATATGTTGAAAGAGTTATGCACTAACACTCAGACTCTCATGTACGGTTTAACTCATTCATAATACTCATACATCATTATAGAATACGATCATTTACCTTCTGTTGCCATTTCTGTTGTAGGTTCAGTCCAATTAGTTGGTTCATCAGTACAGTAACGTAAACTACAAGCTGGAGGTGCAACCAACTCATACACATAGTACCATCCACAGTTAGTCACGGAGATAGTAGTGTTCCAAGAACAATTGCTACCACTCCACGCAAAACATACAGATCCAGTTGTGGTTGTATTCACAGTAATCGGAATGTTTCCAGAATACCAGCCAGGTGCATCAGTGTTACATTGATGATACGCAACTGCGCTTGTGGGAATTGTTGAGCCACCTGAACCGACAAAACGCACCCATATTGGAGTAGAACTGAAAATGTTTTGGTCACAGACGGAAGATCCATTCGAAGTCACGTAGATACTTCTTGTAGGATCATTGATCAACGTATAATTGTAGCATTGAGGAGACACTATCGGTGTATTTGACGTTGGAGCTGAACAGAACAGAAAATTCATTTAGAAGTATCCATACAGAATATGATTATTTACCTGGAGTTGTAGGTTCAGTCCAATTAGTTGGTTCATCAGTACAGTAGCGTAAACTACAAGTTGAAGGTGCAACCAACTCATACACATAGTACCATCCACAGTTAGTCACGGAGATAGTACTGTTCCAAGAACAATTGCTACCACCCCATGCAAAACATACAGATCCACTTGTGGTTGTATCCACATCAATCGACATGTTTCCAGAATACCAGCCAGGTGCATCAGTGTTACATTGATGGTACGCAACTGCGCTTGTGGGAATTGTTGAGCCACCTGAACCGACAAAACGCACCCACATCGGAGTAGAACTGAAAATACTTGTATCACAGGCGGAAGATCCACTCGAAGTCACGTTGATACTTCTTGTAGGATCATTGATCAATGTATAGTTATAGCATTGCGGAGACACTATCGGGCTGTTCGTAGTTGTGGCTGAAAACAAAACGAAATCAGTATTGTAACGCAAATGCATTTATTCATGGGAACAACTATGTTACACTTTTTCCTTCACTGTGCTGTGATAGTTGAATTAGATGAAATGATTATTGTCTAAACTGCCCTCTTAATTCCCTACTTATTTACCCGATATTTGTCCAATGATGACGAAGATGATCGATATACTGCAAACAGCTTTTGTCATTGTTATTAACACATGAAATATAATTGTTTGCTGACGAGTTCACTAAGATACAAGTACAGAGAGAGAAATGATCTGTCTGACCTTTATATCGCCCTGCTTTGTTTATTTTATCAGTTCTTTTTAAATAAAAATTTCCCTGTCATTTGTCAGGCTTTGAAGAAAAAAATCAATTTTCTAAACCAAATATTTTTCTTCTATATCGAAACGATCAACTAACATTTCAAAGTATCACTAAAACCAGTGAAATTTATTCGTATAAGAAAAATTTTGTAACCATCTTGGACAAACGTATGATATTTTCAATATAAACGTGAAAACAAAAGTCACTTTTGGAAAATTAAATTTCAGTAGATCATGTCATTAGCTCTGCAATTCTATCTGTTCATTGAAAATATACTCGAAATCACCAGTTACTACAAGACGATCTCGTGTAATCCAGACAAACTTCTTTATAAGCGGATTAATCAGTCAGAAAGCTTTTAGATATTGACGTAGTAGTTAGCGAGCATCAAACAAAACGCATCCAAGTAGAATTGTATGCTTTTCATCGGAAACAAGCATGTAAATATCATGAAATGAAATCGATCTAAATTACGGCTTGATATTTACAATGTTCGAAAGCAAATATAGTTATTGTGTACCGAGAGATCGGAACGATGGATAGATATTGTTTGTTTCTCATCCGAAAAATTTCAATTCTTCTCGGAGAAAAACAAATATATTTTGTCCTTAGAGGATGTACTAGTATAGAAAAGTATGACTATATCGTAATTAAATTTTGTAAAAAGGTGAATTCCTTTATTTTTCCTACGCAAAAAGATATCTACGCCATTTTATTTCAGTTTCATTTATTCTCTTCGAAGATTCTCATTAATATCGACATGCCGCGATAAAATATTCTTTTTTTTCTCCTTTAATGTAATGCATCGCACTTCACAATACTTTTTTAGCCGTTCTTTGATACGGTTGATCAGACAATAATCGCGTGTTCGTGAATGAAAAACGAAACGCATCATACTCTTCTCACATTGAAATATTCAAACATAGTTGAAAAAATGTCGTCATCATTGAGCGAACAAAATCAAGCTGGTCGTGCTTGGATTCAAGCGTTCTACGATAAAATGGGCTCGGATACATTTGATATTGAAAGTTGGTACAACGAATTCTTTCAAGTGGATGCAACGTTGACTCATAACAGTGCACCGGCGATCAAAGGCCTTAAAGATATATGTGCACATATAGTAGGAAATCGTGCACGACAATCGGTTAAATATGTTGTCAAACATGTTGATGTCGTTCCCAATCGAATTTATACTGAAATCGATGCACTAATTACGCTGAAAAATGATCCACAAAAGATGAAGATTATCCTCTCAGGACTCGCTGTGTTTCACAAGAAAACTGATGAAAGCAAATTATCAGCACTGAGAACTTACGTGGACTCAACTCCGTTGATGGAACGAATTCGAGCAATATCATAAGATTATGCTTCGCTTCGTCTTGGTAGAAAAACATTACGTTCTTAATAAAGTGAAATTTTTCTTTTATCGAACACTGGGAGCAACGTCACGTCTGATTTTATTGATGAGTTTTGACCAAGTTGAACTGGTCAGATTTTTATTCGTCATGCCAGTTATTTCAATCATGCATGATTGAAATCAAAACGCATGTTTTTCAGCTCATCAATAGAATCAAATATGGAATTTTCGATAGCAGAAAGTCTTCGTGGCATTAATATACTTTTGCACTTGTCGTCCTGTTCAATAAAAGTACAAGACGCATGTTATATTAAATGAATAACACAGCATGTCAACAATCCTTGGAAAAGCTCGATTTTGCTGTTAAGATTGCGTATAATCATGAACAGAACGATCTTTGACAAATATTTTTTTGGTAATAGTACAAATTCTACTCTGAAAAAAGAGACAACAATGTGAAGGACCATGTTCTGAACGTGTATAAGTTATTTGAAAAGAAGTCATGATCGAGGAGGAGGGGTATTACGAGTAACGGATTGTTTTATTGATCTGGTTTAGCTTCAAATACAAAACAAATGAATGAACGAACGAATTACATTGAAAAGCATAAGCAAAAGCCAAGCGATTAGTACATCACAACGTATGAACGTTTTCTAAGCGAGAATTACAGCGGAATAAGCGTTTTTTGCCGTCATTCACGCAGTAACTGTCTCCATTCGATAAACGTTTCTGCCATTTCCAGAGTATCTTATTTGCTTGCGATGTTTACATGAATTGTTATAAATACTTTGTCGGATTCGAAGCAACTCTTCTAGTTGAATATGTGGAGGCATATAGAGGCAAACTTCGAAATCGTGTGGATCGTCATCGATGAAGCATTCGGTGGACACGTTCAGACGTGTGGATATAAATAAACGAAGAATCAGTCCAAGTTCTTGAGTGCTGTCGATCACATCTATATGACATATACTACACCCAGCGTATTCGATATGCATAATTTCATCGATGACAATAGCCGTTCTGTTGAATAGAAGGTGCCCGAAAGGGCGTTCTCTCAACTCCGCGTAATTGGCGGGTACACGAAACTGTCTGGTTTCAATTGCAGGAACACTACCACGGATCGAATCAACTTGTCGTCGCCATAAATCGTTATCGAGTTGAATAATGTCCTCATAGTCTCTGACATGTGCAGAATGAATATGATGAAGACAACAAAATACTAGGAACAGGAGAAATGAAAAACAAGATCCTCCCATTGTGCAGAAACCTATTGCTGTGAGTGCATTTGGTCGTTTCGGCAAGTTTCTAAGTTTGTGAAATCCAAAGAAAGAAAAAAGACTTATAATGGCGAAGCCAGAAGTGAAAGTGACGAGCATGAAGACGAAAAAAGGCATGAATTGTCTCCGGGCTTTGCACAATCTTTGAGCAACACGTGAAGGTTCTGTTACCAGTTCAGATGTCCGAACGGTAACATCGGTATCGTTCACTGATGCACGCGTTCTAGTTGTTGTCAAATTCTTTTCCATATTGTTCGGTAACTTTGGCAGATCTGTAAACCCAAAGCGAGAAATCTAACAACTAGATTGGAATTTAACTGAATAGAATCGTCTGCTGCGAACTCGCGATACGTTCAAGTAATAATGTAACGCAGACTGGGTTCTCACTTTGCCTTTAACTGATATCATGTACTTATTTTCCTACGATCTTGGAAAAACTATTGAGCATTATCATGGCACTAATAAACTTGAACAAATATTTGCTATGTGATTTTACACCGACGTTCATTTATTAAATTTTTATGAGATTGTATATAATCATGACTTGTTCTGTCAAACAGATCTGTCACATTTTTCGACTTCTTCTTTCTATCGTTCATGAAGAAAAAAACAGAAACTATGGACGACTACGCCATATTGAAGAACGAAAGAGAAAAGAAATCGTTTCTTTTTCAATACAATTAATACCCTCCAACGATATCATATTTGAATAAGAACAAGAGATGAAAAAGCACTTCTGCATATAAAGTAAACCGATATGTGCGAGTTTATTCAATCTTTATGTCCAAAACAAATCATACAACATCCGTAGAAGTAGGCAACAACATACAATGCACAAGCAACTATCATTCCTACCGCACAACCTATTTGTGCTTTGAGAAAAACATATTTATCCGTTGGAGGCGACTTGTAGCATTGATCGACTGATGTTTGCACACCGTTGAGATAGATCGGTGTACAGTTTTTAGCTATTTCCCCATATGCCGAATTGAAACTTTTGATATCACGTAGAGCGCAGCATAAATTATCGCCTAAGTAACATTTACAGATATTATCTTGAAAGTAGGCATCGAAGTATATAATAACACCCGCCAATAATCCACTCAAAACTATGAACGCAAAAGAGAAAGAACGCTGTCAAGAAGGATTAATCGATATTTACTGTTCAAAATCAACAGGTATGTTGCACAACAACGACCACGACAACAACAAGCTGAAATAGGCTATTGAAAAACAATTTTTTCTAGATTGAAACTGACTTACTGATGAAAAACATCATTAGAAACGTTGGAATGAAGATTAGACAGGACCAAAATCCTGCCCAGATAGTACCATGCGCAACATCATAGTAAAACGAGCCAAATTCTAACCCTGCAATAGCTGCCGTGAGAAGTAGTTGCACTGTCGCTAGTACAAGTGTAATCCATCGAGGAAATCGCTCTTTGAACCCCATATTAATCGAATATGAATAATTTCTGTGATCGAATTGAAAAGAGCGAAAGAAAAAGAATCTTGCAAGAGATGCGATCGGGAGAAAAGAACAGATGTAAAGAGAAAAAAGAAAATTATACTTCCATTTTTTTTCTTTGAGTAATCACTGCGGACTGAAGGTCGTATCACAACGACGAGAAAAAAGTACTTCAAATAAGAATGTTGTTTGTGTTCGATTATCGCGATTTTTTTTTTCGAAAAGAAATGTTGGGTGTGAACAACACAAAGCAGGGCGACAACAAAAAAAACGAATTCGGTAGTCACTGAGTCACATGTTGGATTTTCATCTTGAGAATGGATTCGAGCGTTTCAGATGTTGAAGACGTTTGGAAAACGTCTTCTCGAGAAGACATTTCTCCGAGTTGGCAAGAATACTTTCGGGTAGATCAACTAATTCTTTAGTCGAATGGTGTTTGGCCATGAGCAGATTGACTTCAAACTCACGGTTTTTCCTCTTTACAGAATTTATTTCGTCCAATGGGATGGCCGATTCCGTACGCATAATCAATCGAACGCAAAGTCCTGTCTCTCTTGTATGCTCAATCAAATCAGCAGCATAAATTACAAATGAATCGTATTGAAAGCACAGAATTTCATCGACAATAATGCCTTTTTCTGTGAAGACGACGTAACCAGTTGTCTTCGTTTTGTACTGATCATAGTCGTTCTTTCGACAGGATATTCGTTTATTTTTTGTTGGAAGAGTATTCTGAAGTGAATCGATCTGCTTCTGCCATAGTTCACCATCTAATTTCACACAATATTGTACACGCTTCATCCAATCATAACCGAAACGGTATCGTTGATAATTATAATATACAGCGATTAAAAGAACGAAAGCGGGTATGGCTATAATTACACCTAATACCAATGGTAAAATCGTCAAACCACTGTCGGTGGCATCAGTCGAGGCTTTAATACAGATAAAACAGATAGTACTTGCCATAATTAAGATAAGGATGATAAGTAATATAGCGATTGTACGTCGTTTCGCTTGTTTTCTGTATACATTGTATAGTTTAGTACTGATATCAGCTGAGTTACTTGCAGCAGTGCTTATATTCGTTAGGTTAATAGTAGTTGGAGTATTAGATATCATATTTACATCAAAATGAGAAGACTATACACTTGAGATTATATGAGATTTGCCTTGTGGTCTTTGGGAACTAGGGAATCTTGAAGAAAAAATATTAGTGACTTATATCAATATTTAACACCTGATTTCTCTATAAGGATCAATAAAAACTTTATGTCGTCGTTTATTTTCTTTAAATATATCTATAGACACGAACTGTTTTTCTTAAAATATATTGATTAAAATCTGCTTACGATAGAGTTTTTTATTAATTCAAATTACGCATGAAATCGTACGAAAAGAGCAGAGTCACGATTCATGTTGATTAGATTAATAAACAATTATTGTCGCTTGCTTTGCTGATAACTTCCAAAATGTGCTGCTTGTTGTTCTTGTGTTGCACTGAGATAAACTGCCGAGCTGAAAGTAGCTAAGGGTGCGTATGTTCCTCGTTCAGTACTATGTTGCACATAGGTATTAAAGTGAGACGAACGATAGGCATTCTCCGATGGATAATGATGTTCAAGGTCTTGAATTAATAATTGACAGAATTTATCTTTGCCGGACACACTTGCTTTGATTTTGTTGACTTGAGCTTGAAGGATTGCTCGAGATCGTTGATAATCCATTTCATCCATAGCTCGTTTGATTTCGCGAGCTGTTTCAACTCGATTGCGTTGTAGATCGAGATTGTAGTTGACTGGAAGTTGACCAGGAGTTGGCTGCGACGTTCGCATCAATTGAAACGGAACAGGTTTTGTCGTTAATGTCTGATTCGTGTTTGTCTCCACATATGTAACTGACACTTGACCTTGAATGTGCAGTGTAATTGAAATTTCATTATCGGAAATGGCATCGTCTTACCAATAATTTGAGGTATATCAGCGGCTTGTCCATCTTGTCTTCCAGTATTCTCATCATCCATTGACATAGTTTCATTGACTTCAATTTCCGGAATGTGTAGTTGAAAAATGAGATTTCGTTTTTCGTCTGCATTCAGATCGTTCAATTTAAATCTCAATCGTTCGCATGGTAAATTTTCAGGCGTATGCGAATATATCGAATGAACATGAGTGATTGCGTATGGTTCATTGAATTTGATCTCAACTTGAAGTTGATTTGCAACACAACTGAATAAGCCGCCCAATGTCAGAGCAAAAGCTCGACCAACCGCTGCTTGCTCGTCCTATTCGGAGCGAAAAAGATAATCGTGTGTGCTTACGAAATCAAACCAAAACTTACGATATATGTAAAGCTACCATTATTGCCCTTCTCAGCTATTTGTACCAATAAAGAAGCCAGATGGTCAGGCCCATAGCCGAATGTGTGACATTGCACATCTGTGGGTAATGTTGATAGTAATTGCCCGTAATAATGCAAATGATTATCTTGTCCGTCGGTGAGTAATAGTAAAGCAGCGATGGGATTTTTCGTTCGACGTGTATTTAGCAAATTAATACCCATCTGTAATCCACTTCCGATGTACGTACCACCACCGCCATGCAAATCATCGTTGATTGCTCTCGTTAGGACTTGTTGACTAAAAACTGGTACAACGAGGTCTGGTATTGTCAAAGAAAGTTATTTACTTCTGTCGATTCATTCGTTTCAATCCATGTGAACGATCGAATGCTCGCGTGTCAAACGAAACAAGTGCCAAGCGATCAAGATCATTCAATTGATCAGTTATATAAATGAGAGTTTCTTTTAACAGTTGCATTTTGTCACCAGCCATAGAACCACTCTGATCAACAACACAAATGAGATCAATAGGAACGCGAGATGCAACGGGCGACGTACTGCCAGACGCTACGACTCCTGGTGGTGCTTGAAGTGTCACCATGCCGTAGATATTTGATTCTGGACGAAATGCTTGAGTGCTATATTCAAGTGCTGTTGTTGTCGTAATCATTGGACGATGGCTCACTGAAGTCATAGCAGCAGCAGCAGCCTGTCGAGCAGAAGAAATTTGAGCAGAAAGCGTTCGTAAAGCATTCTTATCAACTGGATCTTCTACTGAAGGAATTTCCTACAGAATGAAATTACAAAAGGAACTGTTTCAACCTTTGTATATGCCCAAATTACTCACATGTACCGGTGGCTGGTGTGTACGAGCTAGTAGTTGTACAACGGTTGCATCGATAGCTGCTCGGCATAAGGGGCACTGTTTGTTTTGCGCTTGAATGTTCGCAGCCAAGCATTGTAAATGAAATTTGTGTTTGCAGGATAGTCTTAATACGGGTGGTCCTGGCACCAGAGCACTCAGACAGATAGCACAACTACGACGTGAATTTGAAGACCCAATAGTCTGAGCGGGAGAATTAGGCAACATAGATAGTTTGCGTTCCTTATGAATGTTTGCGAGAAAGAAAAAAAACGAACTATAAAACAACGTGTTTGTTTTTATACTATCATTTGCACGAGTCATGTGGTTGCACGACACATGATGACTCATTTTCTCATTCAAGGAAATGAGGCATCTAGCGTTATATTGTATTTTTTCATGCACGATTAATTTTATGAGAAAAAAAAATTGTTAATCAAATATTAGCAAAAAGAAAGATGTACTAGCATTGGTAAAACATATGGAATCGCCTGAAAGACGTTTCGATGCGCAGAATTGGGAATGATAATCGTGTTGTTGTCTTTGTATATACGAGGTACGCGACTTGATATTGCGCTAAAGACTTCCGATCGAGGAATCTTCGCGGCGCTAGCAACTTCATCTCCGGTAATTGTCATATTTCCTTGTTGACCAATGAAAGTAACGCGAGTTCCAACAGGATATTCACGGTCAAGACCGACCATCAATTGATCCATTGATATTCGCCCAACGATTTCCATACGTTGTCCTTCGACAAGAACACCTGTTGGTTTGAGATTTTGATGCCATCCGTCACCGTAACCTATTGGTACAGTACCAATCCATTGTTTCTTCGTTGTCGTATACGTATCTGCATAGCCAATCTTTTCGCCGGCTTCGACTTCTTTGACAAGACTGAGAACGGAATGAAGGGAAATAACTGATTGAAGTGTTATTGGCAAGAAGGCTTTTAGAGGTTCATTGGGTGGACCTGTTAACGCTTTGCCACATCGTACCATGTTATAGAAAGGTTTTTCGTCATGGTATAGCGTTGCGCCGGAATTCGAGCAATGAATGAGTTTTTCCGAACGATTGGGAATAATTTCAAGAAACTGTTTGAATCGACTCAGTTGTCTTAAGAAATAAGTTCGATTTGTTAGATCTTCTGAAGTGGCGAAATGTGTAAAGGCACCAGTGAATCGTAACTTGGGATTTCGAGAGACAATATCTATCACCTTTTTCACTTCATCTTCGGTTCTGCAACCAAGTCGGTTCATGCCTGTATCAATTTTCAGATGAAAATCAACCGGCTGTTCAATAGCTTGATCAGCTTCTTGTAACCATTCCAACGAAATGCCAGTGATCGTCACATTTGCTTCACTTGCTCGCGATAAATGTTCGACGGGAACATAGCCGAGAACAAGAATTGGAATATGTTTCGCGATTTCACGTCGTAGAACAAGTGCCTCATCCAATGTCGCCACACCGATCCAAGTTGCACCGGCAGATAAAGAAGTACGAGCGATTTCCATGATGCCGTACCCATACGCATTGGCTTTGACAACAGCCATCAGATGAACATTATCACCGATGTATTTTTTCAGATTTTGAACATTGATTCGAACAAGATCTAGATCGATATCAATCCATGTAGGCCGAAGATATGGAGGGGGAATTCTAGAACACATCGAAATCGATTTCTCGTACTCAAAAGCGCAAAGGGAAAATGCATACTCTTTAGGTTTTGTTTTACTTGGAAATATCGTCGAATTAATAATCGGAGAACTATGTATCGAAGCATACATAACGCTCATTATTAAAATAAGTCTGATTATTCGCGACATGGTTTTCTATCTAAAGAGAACACAACAAGATCGAAACTTAAATGTGTCACAGTTACAATCTCGTTTTTCTTTTCTTCATATGAAAGCGATAATAATCGTAAATTCACTTTGATATATCAATATGTGTATAATCATTAAGTGTCGCTCTCAAGAAATCTATGAGATCGAAAAAAAAACATCAAAATACCAGAGTCTTTTTGAAACTAATCTACATTGTCGAATATATTCGATACTTCGAAAGGAAAGGCAAAAAACGTGGTCTTTTCATTCTTTAAAATTTACCTATAGATAATATACAACGAATTCAGCACTTCAAATAAAGATTAACACCACATATCTAATTTAAATGATAAATTATGCACTTGCATTCATTGCTTTCAATCGTACAGATTTTTTTCTTTATCAGTTAGTACAAAATTCACTATTGTTATTGAGTCTACCATTGTCGATCGGAGAACACGTGTCCGGAAGTTTTCTCATGATTTTTTCTGGCTAAATCACTGATAGTACATATGCGTCGATTTCGAAATCGTAAGAATATACATCAATGTCAAGAGAAAGATAATATATACTTGATTTACTCTGTCAAATCATGAGCGAATCGATGATACAACAGAATAATTCGCCGTTCTACGCAAGTATTGAATTATGTGTAACATTGAGGCTTTGATTAATTATCGAACATCCACGGTCTTTCTTTTCATCACTGATATCTATGCAAATGAAAAAAAGATTATACGCGCATTGAGCATTCATTCGTGAAGGACTCCTATACAAAAAGCGATTTTTTTTTCTCTTTCTCAATTGACATCCTTCTCGTTCAATACTTCATATGTGCATATACACATACCAAGTAGAGGAGACATAGTCGATAACAGAGACGATGCAGCTGCAACATATTGGATATCCTCAAATAACTCCAATTGATCAATTTGCTCCAATAGGAGCAGAACCGATCAAGGAAGCTCCTCCACGGTAGATCATTTGTCATCTCGTCATCCTTGCCATAATGATCTGTGTTGTTTAGTCATCGATGGCCCGCTTTCCTTGCCATTGGTCTTCTCGCCTTAGGTTTATTTCTACTCGCTGCTACCATTGTTCTAGCATTAATTCCTGTCTATATATCCAAACAAACTCAGCCAGCAACAATACGCACATTAACAAGCCCATTTACTCTACCAATAAGCAGTAATACTATACTCACTGCAAGCACTTTCAATGCAGCTCAACTCGCGTACTTACAATCCATTGTTCGTATTTTCGAATCGTATGTTTCATATGTATCCTATGATTCTATTAGTTCCAACAACGACTGGATAGCAATCGAAAGACTAGTGGTAGTAAAATAACTGTGAACAGTGCATCGGCGCTGGTTAAAAGCAAACGCGTAAGTTCCAAACAAAGCAATTGCTTGATTTACAATTATTTCTTTTTACAGCGTAAACGACAAACAGCTGGATCGATTACTGGTACTTATACAATAACTTACCCTAGCACGATTCTAGTAACGTCATTCAATACTTTAAATTCTTTTACTCTTAGTAATGATCAGTGTAAGTGATACGAACCATGAATGATAAGCATTTCACATCTACGTTTTTTAGTAACACAACTGCAAAACTTACAAAGTAGTAAGAGTATTTACCGATGAATAGAAAAACATTCTTTGTATTTTCATTCTAGGTGGCTGAAAGCACGCGAAATTATAAATCATCGATCAATATTGACAATAAACTAAACGTTCTTTTTTTAATCTAATCCAATAAAACATATGCTCTAGATTTCAATCAAATAAATAAATAAATATCTTCTTGGTTCTGTCTCGTTAGAAAACTTCCGTTCACATATAGCACACGCGATACGGCCGATTTAAATCGAAAGAACGCGCAAAGCTGCCGATACTCATCAGATTAAAAGAAAGAAAAACAGCATTTGAAATACATCTTCGCAATCTGAAAGAACAAACATTTTCGACGTTATTTCTTTCCTATGTTTGCATTACTTATCTGGAGACATATTTTGTTACAACTGGCTCTTTTTGATAACAACAGCAAGAGTGCACACTTCAGTACTTAAAGGCAAACTGGTTTGTCTCAACTTCACGAAAACTGTGATGAACTGTAGTTTTTCGCTTAAGAATTATCATGGTATATGGCATTCGATGTTCTATATAGAATTAGAATGGAGCTATCGTTACATATTTTTTTCATTTAGATACTTAAAAAAAACAGATATTACGATGTATAACTCATACATTGATTAGCTTCGATGTAGTTGACTTTCTAACCATATAGTGTATTCATTTTCTGCTCGTGGATCAGCATTACTCCTCAACGGGCAATGAATACTTGCTGGTGATGTTTGTTGCTGTCGAACGGAAAGTTCAATTCTTGCATTGGATGAATTGTGATTCGCATAATGTACAGCATCAAACGATCGACGTTGCCTAGATATTTGTGAAGGTTCGTAGGACCTTTGACCATCGTTTTAATGCCAGTTGCAAAACATAGAGAATGTTGTCAATGTCGGAACAGTACAAACGAAAACAAAGCTTCAGTATTCACAATGCTCCTCTCATGCTATGGAATAGACAATTGCGGTTGTTAGGAGCTTAATGGCAAATACCAGACGAAAACCAGTTCGAAAACTGAGCTCCAATCGTGAAAGCTTCCGAACTACTGTTAGTAAATTGTTTAGTACAAGGATGGGACCGCGACAGCAAAGAAGAAAGCACATCTTGGTGTAAGAACGTGATCACGGACAATGGTGCTATTTTTACAAAAATTACCTTGATGTGACGGTTGGCGAGGACATCTCCATGATCGGAGCTTGTATTCGAAAAGAATCCGTCCGGATACGATGGATTATTGTCTACGATAAACCTCAAAAATAGAATTAAGTCGACGGCAGAAACGACAGAAAGGCAAAGAATAGGATGCTTGCATCGAGTAAGTCTATCATTTGACCTGTTGACCGATGGTTATTTCAGCAGAAATATATGCATACGCTCAGAATCATTTGGAATGTTTCTCCACTAACAAAAACAATATTTGTTATCATACACACACCTACATGGATTTAAGATTAGGTGAAGTTTTTTTTCTTTAATTTACCAGCAGCAAAGAACATTCTATTATTATTCCGATCATGCGATCGTGCGCATATCAGAATGAGAAAGAGGAACATCTGCGCACAACTCTATTTTCTCACTTTGTTGAAACTGGGTTATTATAAAGTAAAAGTACGTTCCGATTTTTTTCATAAGTCGAGTAAAAATGGCACGAATTTCGATTTTATTTTTGTCTTTAGTTGCACTATTTTCGAACAATGCGAATAGTTTCAACTTGACTGAATATGCTTCGATCATCGAATCACTATCACTTGATGGTCAATTCATCGAAGAATATACTAAATGGACATTGGAATTATTGTCTGATCCTGATTACATCGATGGTCCAACTCCGCCACCTTTTCCTTGTTCAACTGAAGGAATGACAAGCACAGAAGTACCAACATCAGTTCATGCTCTTCGACCTGGCGATATTCAATGCGTTGCCGCTCTGGGAGATAGTATTACAGCTGCTATGGGTGCTCGTGCTTTGACACCAGTTGGTGTTCTCTTGGAAAATCGAGGTCGTTCTTGGTCAGTTGGCGGTGATGATTCTTATAAGAAAGTCTTATCTGTGCCAAACATACTTCGTTTGTACAATCCTAATTTGAAAGGCTTTTCAACAAAAACATCCGTTTCGTTTCTCAATGGGCAAAATGCGAAAAATAATGGATTAAATGTTGGTCTGTATAGGTTACAACTCTCGTTCTGAACGAATTTATGTTTGTTTGTATGCTTGCAGCTAAATCTGGTGCTCGTTCATATCACATGGTAGATCAAGCCGACCTTCTTTTAACTCGTTTGAAGAATGAAAAATTATGTGATTGGGATAACGATTGGAAATTAGTCACACTTTTCATTGGAGTAATTCGAAATTTACTTTCTATTGAAATCATTCATTTGTTTTTCTCGTTATTAGGGCAATGATCTCTGTGATTTTTGCTCAGATTTGGTCAAACATGATCCAGCTAAATTCATCGGCTGGATTCGTGACACTCTTGATCGATTATATAATGCCAATTTGCCTCGAACACTGGTTAATGTTGTTCTTGTTCTCGATGTTCGTCCAATCCGTGAACTTAAGGATGGCAATTTTGTTTGTAAACTTCTTCATAAATCATTATGTAAATGCGCTGCTTATCCAAGTGAAGACGATGAACGAACGTTAACCGAATGGATTCCTCAATATCAACAAGGTGTTATTGATTTGATCAATAGCGGTCGGTACGACGGTCGAGAGGACTTCACTGTTGTTGTTCAACCGTTTTTATCGAAAACTGTGCCTCCCCGAAAATCGAACAAAATCGATTTCAGTTATTTTGCTCCAGATTGTTTTCACTTTAGTGCGAAAGGTCATTCCGTAGCAGCTCTATCACTCTGGAATAATATGTTCGAACCCATCGGTGCGAAAAAGACCTCCTGGCATCAAGGTGAACCACTCGAATGTCCAACACAAGATCATCCATATATTTTCACATCAAAAAATTCCGTTTCAGCTAAAAAATAACAATAAAGCTTAATAAAAAAAGACATCTGATTAGAGTGAGAGAACGTCATTTTATGTTCAAACAGGAAAAACTATATGCGTGATGTGTCTAAATAAAATCTGAAAGCGGAATAGATGTAGCTTATCACTATCACCTCATTATTAAACCTACGTGATATTCTGTCGCCTAAGGTATTCATACAAGATAAGCTTCTCCCCTCAGTAAGCTACATCCTTTATAATCTTTTTAAAAAATTTATCCCTTGTTAGTTCCAAATAGATTCATTCAAGAATAGAATAGCGAAGAGCATTAGTTAAGAGAATCGGGTGTGTACTGTAAGTATAAACTCATTAGCCGATATTCGATAACTGTTCTGATATATGTACTCTGATAGTTTTTATAAAGCTTATCAACAGTTCTATTCGATCTCGTGCTACTATACAATCTCTGTTTTGACACGATTCTGATGAGAATGTCGTGTGAAGATTTATCATTAAATGCAACTCTTCGTGTTTCATTGACTAGAAGTAATTAAAAACAACGATCGATAAAGAAAAAAAATCCGTTGTTTTGCTTTTGAGCCATATTTGGATTAATTTTAGCTTCTAGTGGAGAATAGAACCCTTTTCAAATGTATATGGTTTCTTTTCCATTCAATTATATTTACTGACAAAACTCGCAATTTTACTTGTTCATCAGAAAAGGAAACAACTTATTCTGATAGATTCATTAACACAACCAGTTTCACTCACTCTTTAGCACTGATGACGACAAATGCAACAACAAGTTTCTTAGTCACACATCTAGCAAGCATTCAGACGCAAATCACACGTTGCTTAGCTATTCCATTAGTTCTCGGCATATTCGGTAATTCGGCGTCATGTATGGTTTTCGGTCAAAAACAACTTCGTTCAAGTGGTGTATCACGTTTTTTCATAGCCGCGTCAACGTTCAACATTATTGTACTTATCTATGGTGTTGGTACAAGTTTCTATGCGCTTGATCACGTTAGTCCTGATACATATTCACTGACTTTTTGTAAACTACGTTTGTATATACGACATATCCTTTTGATGATTGTCCGAAGTTATATTATTCTCGCTTGTATTGCTTCGTTCGGGATATCCTCTCCTCACACAAGTTTACGCTCTTTATGTCAACCGCGGTATGTCAATTGGGCAATCGTTCTGGTTCCACCGGCTTGGCCATTAATCGCCATACATATGACATTTTTTAACACCATCCAAAAAAGTCAATGTGTTAATATTGAATCATATGTCATACCATTTGGGATCTATTTTTTTCTTGTTGTTGGCCTTTTACCGGTCGTTCTGATGGTTATATTCATTTCATTAACAACCCGAAATTTACGTCGTTTACATCATCGTGTTCGAGCAACAGTTCTTCGCCCAGCAAGATTACAATCACGTGATCGACATTTCATACGCATGCTTCAAGGGCTCGTTCTAATGTATGTCATTACGAATCTGTTCTATCCAGTCAATGTTTTATACTCGGCTGCAACCCATTGGACTGCAAAGAGTGCAGAACGTACTGCTATTGAAGCGATAATTTTCTCCATAACCAGTAATTACATCTTATATATCAACAACGTGTCGCCATTCTTCGTATTTTTCACTACATCTGATTCTTTCCGACATTCATTTTATCGCATCATCTACAAGTTCATGCGTTATTTCATAAGCAAAAGGAATCAAATACAGCCAGCGATGGTCACGATTGAACCATCTGCACGCAACAGAACTTGATTTGAACAAATGCGATGCCCTTATGTTCTGTAGCCCGGAAGCCAAACGATATATCGCCTAACGAGATAGTTTCGGTATTGTACTTTTTATCGCAATAGGTTGTGGTGCTGGCTCACCGACAATCATTTCTGGCTTTCGAGAATTGTACAAATCACATACATTTGTTCCTGGTCTACAGTGCCAAGTGAAAGCCATCGATATCAAAAAGAACGGATTTACATTTGATCTTCATTGGAATGTTACAACATTCTATGGCAATCTAACAAAAGATCGCAGGATCAACTCTATGATATACTTTTCCGAAAAAAGGATAGGATATCAACAGCAGCGAGTACGTTTTCAGTATGATTGACAGAATTTCACTAAGAAAAATCAATTCTATACACTTTTTTTTCTTATTGTCAGATAAATGGAACATACCCGTGTTTTTGTGCACGAGATGATATATCTGTCATTCAATGGAATTGCCAATGGAGACAACTATCGCTATTTTTAGTTGTCTTTGATCTTATTATGGGAACATTATTTTTCATCCCGAGTATGGGTATGAAAATTCTTAGAGAACGTTTTCAAAAAGAATCACAAACTGAACAATCCACAGAATAATTGCACCAGCTGAAAATATAGTTACTGTTCGCGCCTATTTATCAATAAATGATGACTGCGTATGTAGATTTATTTCAAATGAAACGTTTGTAGTATCTAATAACATGTTTATAGATTAACTAAGCGCCAATAAAATGTACCCGATATGAACCTTTTACTATTCAGGTTATAGAGGATGTGAGTTTGTTTCGCAAAAAATTCACTACTATATGTGTATTCCAGATTTGACTTTCCAGACATTGATTAGGGTGAGGGTACAAGTGTTCTGACATTTGCTTCTATTTCAAAGTATCGGGTATTCAGTAGCGAATACACTGAAGCAGGCTCGTGACAGTATTCGATACTTGCTAGTAAGAAAACTATACTTACATCCATTTTCATAGCTGACTGACAACGCGAGATGAGTCCATTGATTGAGAACAAATGGATCGGGATTAGTTGTCTGACGTGCTCCTGATGGCAAGAGACTAAACACTACTAAAGGTTCACCAGTTGATGTCTTGCCCAGTACGGGCTTGTAATAACTACCCCTCCATTTGCAGCTGTTGATGAGTATAGAATGAAGTCACTCAATGAACTCGGCTTTATCCAAATTGAAAAAGGAACTGATTGATTAGTAACACCGAGATGTCGTTAGCTTTTTGGGAAACTTCAGACGTGTTCCAATATGACCAGAAACTGTTAATGATACTGTCGTATCCTATTAAAAAAACTACTTGCGTCAATTAGTGACCCGTTGTTCCATGGCTAGTAGCATCAAGCTTTGTCTCGACAGACCATCCATATAACCTGAAAAAATCGAAGCTGTCGGGCCGCGAGAGTGTTGTATTCAATAGTAGTATTGCCAAACGTTCCCGAATAAGCACTGGCGATTCGATGACGAGCATTTAATTTACCATCGAGTATACGCAAGAGTAGTATTTCCAAGAATGTTATCACACGAAAAATGAAAAAAAACAACGCATTTTTGGTAATAGCCAGATGGAAACATTGGCTCGTTGCTGCGCATTGACTGAATATACTGATCGATGCTCTACTTGAAAATTTGCTCAGGAAAACAAATAATTCAATTGTAAATGACCAATTACGAAAACAATGAAAGGAGCTACTGCATACTGATTGATAACGTTGAGTAATACACATTGACCTTTAGCTGTGTATCCCGGAAAATACATTGGATTGTTGATTACAATGGTATCACTGCGGTTAAACAAATCAAACATATTCGAATCAAATGAGCAGAATGTTGTGAGGTTTAACCATGAGAATGCAGACGATAAAAAAAATACATGATTGGATACTACATGAAATATTATCACCCATGAACACGATCAGAATCTACTTGAGCAAATTTGTCACATACTTGATGTTTTTGTCAAAGAAATAGGGACAGTGGTAGTAGTTATTTCATTCGACGAATCTGTTATTATTTCGGAAAATCAAACAATTAATTGTATGTTCGTTTACGAAATAGATTATTAATTATAGTTCAGACTGGCGACATAAGAGAAAGGAGAAGAACTAGAACAGTGGCTATTATAACTACTATACCGATAACTAATACACTTGTATGTTTGCTACACATTGATCTATAGTTTAAAAGACGTTGCAATAGTAAAGCCATATGTAAAAATCATCCAAATAAACATAAGAAAAGTCTGTGGGCCGTTGAATTAAATTCTAACGAGTTTAATACATTAGTAAACTTAAAGGCAGTTAATCGCTTATTCCCTTTTCTGAAAGAAAGGGTTATACAGCGTTTAAATGGTGTGTTAAAAAGCTTAAAGTTTGTCTGTCTGTCTGTCCTATCCAATCAGAAATCAGCATTTCTAAAATCGTTGAAATTGATCGATAGCTGCTAGAAAATGATTACCGGTAGGATAATCGAGGTCGGGGATCTCGAATCCGAGGTTAGTTTTAACTAATTATTAACTATTAATTAACTAGCTGCCAACTAGACATAGATTATTAATATGCAGGGTAAGAGTCGACCGAAGGGTAATCGGGGTCGAGGATCTCGAATCCGACGTTAGTGTTGCTTAATTAATTACTAGTTTTTCATTAAGTAGTCACGACTTAGGAACATCCATTGTCAGAGTAGACCGAAGGATTTCTGATGTCGGAAAATTCGAAGTTGAGGGTGAATTTCGTTTTATTCGCTGAGCCTGGGCTTGTTCCTTCCTCTCTACAAAGGAGATATTTTTCTTTATCTGTTCTAAAATCTTTTGTAGAAGATGGTGAGCTGAGGGCTATTCACGGACGTCATGTGTACAAAGATACTAGCTCAAGAAGTTACACGAAAAGATCTAATGCATTGTACATAATGATGTTTCTAATTGAAGAAATTCGAAAAAGTGATATGAGCTTAGTATCATCTTTGCTTTGTATGCTACATACATCATGTCCTTTCATGGGAATTTAGTAGAAGTAGTTCGCTAAGTGATATACCCGTCGGTGGAATTCCATCTTAGTATATGATCCTGTAGCTGATAAATGGACTCCGACTGCAAATATGACAGGAGCACGTTCTGATCACACAGCAACTTTACTCAGTTCAGGTAAAGTACTTATCACCAGTGATGCNCCATCCAATCGTTGTTATCAAGTAGATGAATTATTAGATTCATCGATTATGTCGTTATCGTATATCAAACGTATCAAATACTATAATCGTCCTTGTGATATTCTTGATGTTCGATGTTTCTTCGATGAATTTCACGTTTGCCTTTGTGATAATAATGCTTTTCTTGATTGTGTTCGATTTGATCATTCAGAGAGTTCTTGTCCAACTGACGAGATAACTTGTTTGAATGATGGTCGATGTTATCAACCGATGCAAACAACGATCAATTTCGAATTTGCTTGTGTTTGTCCGGGTTGTTACTTCGGAGATCGATGTCAGTTCACAATGACTAAATACACCATTTCTTTAGACGCTCTACTCGATCAACATATTCTTATTGGCAGATCACTCTCGGAACAATTACCACTTATTCATTGGATGGTGGCCATCGTTGTAATTCTTGTTGTTGTCGACTTCCTTACTAATGGACTTTGTATTCTTACATTCGCACAAAGAACGACACGTAAATTAGGATGTGGATGGTATTTGTTGATTATTTCGATTGTGAGTGAGTTGGGAATCGTTATTTGTGGAATAAGATTTGTCTATCTTTTACAAATACGATTGAATTCGTTTGGTACAACGAACAAAACATTCTTGTCACTATCCTGTATTTTATTGGAACTTTTCTTATCGATTTTACCAACGATTAACGATTGGTTAAGCACTTGCGTTACAGTGGAAAGAACAATCATAGCTGCGCATGGTGTAAAATTCAATAGAAGGAAAAGTGTTTATTATGCGAAGATTGTTATTCTATTTGTTGTAGTGATAAATGTTGTGAGTGCGTTGCATAAACCGTTTCATCGCCGTTTAGTCATCGACTCCCAGCATGGAAATGACGTATTCGCGTGTGTTGCTAATCATTCTCAACAACAATGGATGAGTTTATATGAGATTTTTATCAATTTATTTCATTTCAATATTTGTTTTGATAATAATTCTCGTGCGTCGTAAATTGGTATTAAGTGATATGAGAGCAAAACTGAGTCCGTTTGAAATTTTACGAGAGCAAATCTTTTTATATAAAGCATTTCTTCTTAGTCCATTTATTTTAATCCTACTCGAAGCGCCACGTCTCGCTTTTCTGTTTGCTTTTGCTTGTGTTGAAATTCAATGGCAAAAACATCTATTTTTGACATCGTACATCATTTCATCATTACCAATGGTGTTGACGTTGTTTATATTCGTTTTACCAAAAGATTCGTATAGAAATGAGCTTATACGAATATTGCGAAACTTTCTGAAACGGTTCTTTAATAAATAACGCACATCCACTTCTGTCTTTTCTTGTCGTTCAAATCGAAAAATGTATCTTCAAACAGTTTTATATCAGTATGATCATATTAGAAAATACATTCCTAACTTAGACCACTAGAAATCAACAGTTTGAAATGAATTCGAGCTGAATGACAGCAAAGGATAGTCGGTGATTTAACGCTGATCAGAATCATTAAGGGGGATTGAAGTATAACCTTTACAAACAGTCGTGAGGATAAAAATCGCGTAAGAGCTTTCAATTCTTTACTTACCCTTTTTAGGGATATGTTCTCTTATTCTGTAATTTCGGAACACAATTGACTAGTTTTATGTAATTGTTTTCATATCTTTGTCACCAACTTCAGTTAAATATATGTGACAATAGGTCATCTAAAATACGAGTCAATATGAAAACCAAGCGTTTGGTTTAAAAAAAAACTCTTTTTCCACGTCAAGTTGAGTAACTATGTTCATTGTTATTTATTTTCTTCGTAGTGTCTCCTCAAGCCATTTGCTATTGGAAAATCAGTGTACACGCCGATGTATAATGTTTATTTTGATTGATTATATCAGACATGTCACGTTTTCACCTTCAGCGCGATTCTTAACTTTGTTTACAATGAAGAAAAGTTAATAAAGCAGAATGTAAATTTCATGTAGCGTATATGAAATTAAGAGGAACCACGTGCGATCTAAAAGTAAATAATTACACACAGACCAGTCATTCATATTTCGCATCAAACATCATACAGGCGACATATATATCCTATACCATATTTCAAAAAAGCAGCTTTTATTATTTTGAGGTTCTGCAATACCTGTAAGTGGCCTAGACAAAGACACACGAAGGGTAATACAAAAGCCAAACAGATAATAATCCCATCGATCAACCTTTCACTGTGAGAATATTTATGCGCGCGGAGCTTACTTCACTTCCTCATTACATTAGACTAGATTTCTTTTTTCTCATCGATAGAAACCCTACTCAACTGTCAAACAATGGCAAATATTCTTCCATGTATTTAGATCACATATACGACGCTGACCAGATTCGCAAAAAAAACGATTATAATGCACCCGACCAAAAGTCACAAGTGTATTGCACATCTTTCGACGCTTCTTATGTTTTTTACAGCCACAAGTGCGCAAACGACACTAACTCCCACATCCTTATCTAGTCCTTGCCCGGACTCTCTAATTCTATGCGGCAACACTATTTGCTATACTCCAACAACACAAATCTGTACAGACACCAATCAAATAATCCAATGCATTCGTGTTTGCGGAAATCAATGCTACAGTCCTCCATATCAAGCCTGTGTCAACAATGTGACGATGTGTAACATTCCAAACAACTCCCCCTACTATGGATATGGATACCAGGCCTCTTTAGCTCAATCGTGTAACGGAACCTGTTATGACTCGACATCACAAAAGTGCAACAACAGCATCATTCAGTGTATCAGCAACTGTGGAAGCAAGTGCTATAATCCATCCGCACAACAATGTTTCAATGGAACGCTATGTTCAGTACAACAAAGTATTTGTACCGTTAAATACGACAGTTGGGGAATGGTGTATAATCCGTCATCACTTCAGTGTTACGACCCTTCGAATCAAGTGTGCATTAACAGTTCACTTTGCTCGTATCCATCTCGAGTATGTAACGGACAGTGTCTTTTGGATACCCACTGTGCGTCAACAATGCCACTACATGTGCCGTTGCGAATAATTCCATGTACTATACGTACGGGTACGGTGCGTCTTCAGCCGAATCGTGTAACGGAACCTGCTACGATCCGCCGTCACAGACATGTCAGAGCGGCAGTGTCACGTGTATTGATAACTGCTTCGCGAAATGTTACAATGCATCTGTGTAAGGATGCTTCAATGGAACACTGTGCCCTATTCAGGAAAATCCTTGTACCGTAAAATACGACACATCTGGAGTTCAGTTTAATCCGCCCTGGCTGCAGTGCTATAACCCATCGTACCAACAATGCTTTAACAACACACTTTGTGCGCGATTACCGGGATTTTGTAATGGAAAATGTCTTGGATTAAATCAAGTGTGTGTCAAGAATATGACTATATGTAATGTTACTGGGTGGTATGGGAATTACGGTGTGAACCAAATTCAATTGTGCCAAGCTGTTTGTTACAACACGGCGAGTGAGCAATGTGTTGATAGGCACATCACGTCTAGATTTAGTTCCACTCTTTCACCGGAGTCAGTGGTAACGGAAGCTAGTAACTCGTTGGAGTATGGCTCGTCATCGTTAAGGTTGCTTCACTCGACATGGTTGAAGGTGATCGTAATTGTGTGCCTTGTGTTAGTCGTATTGTCTGTTATTATTTATGGCATATTCCCTTTTCTGAAAGAAAGGGTTATACAGCGTTTAAATGCTGTGTTAAAAAGCTTAAAGTTTGTCTGTCTGTCTGTCCTATCCAATCAGAAATCAGCATTTCTAAAATCAATGAAATTGATCGATAGTTGCTAGAAAATGATTACGGGTAGGGTAATCGAGGTCGGGGAACTTGAATCTGAGGTTAGTTTTAACGAATTATTAACTATTAATTAACTATCTGCCAACTAGACATAGATTATTAATATGCAGGGTAAGGATTGACCGAAGGGTAATCGGGGTCGAGGATCTCGAATCCGAGATTAGTTTCTCGAAATTCTAATTAGCTAAGTAGCTAATTAAGTAATGAAAATTTTCTTCGTTGTCAAGTAAGGGTTGACCGAAGGGTAATCGAAGTCGAGGATCACGAATCCGACGTTAGTGTTGCTTAATTAATTACTAGTTTTTCATTAACTAGCCACGACTTATTAACATCCATTTTCAGAGTAGACCGAAGGATTTCTGACGTCGAGAAATTCGAATTTGAGGGCGAATTTCATTTTATTCGCTGAGCCTGGGCTTGTTCCCGCATCTTTACAAAGGAGATATTTTACTTTATCTGTTCTAAAATCTTTTGTAGAAGATGGTGAGCTGAACGCTCTTCACGGACATCATGTGTACAAAGATAGTAGCTCAAGAACTTACACGAAAAGATCTAATGCATTGTACATAATGATGTTTCTAATTGAAGAAATCCGAAAAAGTGATATGAGCTTAGTATCATCTTTGCTTTGTAGGCTACATACATCATGCCTTTTTATGGGAATTTAGTAGAAGTAGTTCGCAAAGCGATATACCCGTCAGTGGAATTCCATCTTAGTAATTACAGACGCGTGGACTGTAGAAGCAGTATTCTGAACATATGCAGCACTATGAAAGATGTTCGCTTCGAAGCAAATCATACAATAAGAATTTCTTATCTAGTTTCTTTTGGTAGTCGAATGAATAGAAGATCATGACTGTCGAAGCGACAATAAAAGAAAACACAATCGTTCAGTTTGAAAGTCGATCGAAGGCGAAAGGAATAACATAGACAGCATGGCAACGGCTAGCCGTGAGTGACGGACCGGAGGGAGGTCGACGAACGACTAGACGTTTGTTTCGAAAATTACTTGAAAGATGAGATTTATCACTGTCTCAACGAAAATCAATGGTTTTCGAACGAACATAATTGATGTGCTTTCGAGCTTCGAGAATAAGGATTATACACTATCAGCGCTTCAAATTGAACAGAGCGATAGAATATGTACTGTAAACTACACAGTTACGAAGGGTGTTGATAGCTTCGATCACAGATCGACTCAGTATCAACGAGCTACTTCTTTATATGGAAAAACTATGAAAACTGATCATGCGCGTCAACGGCTAGCCGTGAGTGACCGACCGTAGGGAGGTCGACGAACGACTAGGTGTTTAAATGCTAGATTAATCCTAAAGTGTACGCTGAGAATAACCTTGCCAGGCTTCAGATAATTTTGAAAGGGATTTGACGAATGGATATTCCTCAATGAAAATATTCGACAAGGTATCATTTTGTTGACAGGAGAGAAAAGAATCGGTTTATTGCTGGAAGACACAGGCGAATGTTCAAACTTTTCACGTAGTCTACTGTATATCGTCCGTCTATGAGTGACTTAGTAAAGCATTTATGAAAATTTCCATGCGCGTGATGTGAAAATAGAAAAACAGATGACAAAGGTCAATGGTTGGCCGTGAGTGGCCGACTGACTAGCCGTTGAGCGATGAATTTTTCAGTCAATATAGTTAGTGCTGGAGAATTATCCACTGACAAATGGCTAATCGGTCTGATTCCTAAAAAGACTTTGCATCCTATTCATTCTAGTGTGTGACAGTGCCATGATTCAGTTGGACACTAGTAGAAATCGCAGTGTGTTTTCTCTCTTTCGAAGTCTCTGAATGTGTTCAGCATTCGGAAAAGTCTTTCAGAAAAGGGTCAGCGAATCCAAAGGATGAGCGCTACTTGTTAGTAATTATGCCTATTATTCAGATGTCTTTTTTGTTTTTAAAATAAATGCATATCGTAGGTAGGAATAGAGAGAAACAGGCTTCTGATTCCCATACCTGCAAAATGCAGATCATTGTGGTTCTCGTCATCTTCATGAGAAACCTACTGAATACATGGTTGTCATGGTTGAAATCGTTTAATTTCTATACGTCTACTTATTCAGCCAACATCCAAGTCTTAGTTGTCTATGCACAAACATCTCACCATCATGTACGTTTTTACCCTCGATTGAGTTTGTGTTTTTATAAAATACGAAGCATCACACACATATGTGTCATTGTGGGTGTGCAATTCAGACTTTGTAAGTAATCCGCAGCTCGCTTTTCTTGATGGTTTACTGAGTGCTGATGCAATACCCATCAACAACTGGCTTCGCAGATACTCTATGTGAATTAGCTGAAATTACTACGGCACATGCTGCAATTGAGTTAGATAATGAAATCCTTTTCATGTCACAGATGTAAATTATCACGAACGTTTTTCAACCGAATATCACAAATTCTTTCGAATGTTCTCTGAATATGAACATGGGACTGAAACAAGGTAATCTACTGGTGTCTGGCTTGGCCAGCAACTGTCAACACTATGCTGAAAATACAAATAACTGGTTAAGCATACCAGTGCATCCTTATTCAGTGTATTTTCAACATGAAAACAATGATTGGTGGGCTTGTCATAGAACGTCAAAGCACACGAACTTTGCTGCTGTGATATTCAGTAATGGCAATAGTCAAGTAGTACCCCGACTAGCGTTATGGGTGCTATGTTGAAGACGCTCTATTTGTTTCGACATTGAGATGTTATTATAATGTAACATGTTTCTCATTGCTACGACTTGCCCATTCACTGCCGTTAGAAGTCCAACTTCTTGAAATGACTACCGATTCTTGATTGCAAGTCACTACCACAATTGGTACGACTTGGTCGTCTGCATCTTTGTCAACGCATTCATCGTGTAAAAACCGGTATAAATCAAAGAAAAATAAAACATTACAGCCCTGACGCAGCAATAATTGACGTTAAGCTGTATGATGCATAAAACGTATCTATGTCATATAATTTTATTCTCAGAAAAACCATAAAACTTCTCTCATTCCCGAGATAAAGAGTATTTTGTAATGTTTTCATCTTACAAGCGACGAAAGAACATAACTCTTATCGAACTACACATCGCTACGTTACTCCTATCTGTTGCTTTCACAACGTTCTTTCTGTGCTATCTGAATATTCATTGCCCAATTCTCAATTACACCTACAGCTTTCGAGAAAAGAATGAGAAAAATGTTCTAGTTTTTTAAACCGTTCTTTTGCATCACATGTTTAACTTCAGCTGAAAACAAGTGAGATTTAGACTTTTTCTTTTCTCTTATTTTATTTGTCTTGATAAGCTTATCATTCTGCTTGCTCATTCAAATATGATGGAAGCACTCACATCGCAGAGAACACAAGTCATTGCTTTCGCCGATAAATACTTTCTTCAGCGGCGTAATAACTGTTACACACGATATGTAAGCCCTTAATTATAAGACATCTATGTATTGTAGATATATAAATATTTTTCACATGATTCGTGGTACTTCCATACGGCTACAGCATCGTCGAAATCCTACAATTTCACGGCGAACTCGTGTGAATAAGCCGTCAAATGGAACTACGACAACCCAACTACGAATAGTGATACTTCCAACACCACCACAAGAACATCTGACTTTATCTGAATTAATTGAATCATTAGAAACATGGAGAGATCCTGACGACAGTGCACAAGATCTGACAGCAAAAGAAAAAATTCAAGATTGTTTCGAGCAACAATCAGACAGCTTGGATTTATCCTCTCTCTCTCTGAGCACACTACCGGATGTGATTGGAAGAATGCAGCATATACAATTCTTATCTCTTGCTGACAATTGCTTCTCTGAATTGCCGGAAATCTTGGCCCAACTGACCGATTTAAAACTATTGAATCTTTCATATAACACACTCGTAGGCATACCCGATAGTATCAAATCATTCGAAAAACTGCAATTTCTCAACGTAAGTTGTAATCAACTTCAAAAGGTTTCTGCTGAACTGGCGCGTTTGCCACACATTGAAACAGTGCTCTTGCCTCATAATCGAATCCTGGAATTTCCCGACAACATTAAAACTATTAAATTTCTCGAGATACATGATCAAGTGCCATTTGCAAGAGTCGATCGCTTTTCTATTGAATTTGCAGAGCACTGGGAGGCCGCGATAAAACATGAAGGGGATTCCGGTTACTTTGAAATATGGATGGCCCGATTCGAAGAAATTCTGGAGTTGAAACACGTAGAAAGGTATGCCGATGCACTCCTAGGGCGGGCTGGTAAAATAATGAATTTGATGGTAAAAAGCTCACAGTTACGTCAACGATGTTTTATCGAAGCAAATAAATTTATTGCTACGTGTTACGACGGTCTTCTATTCTCCTTATTTGTCATGGAAACCATTTATCTGGAGGAAAAGATGATGATTTTAGAACTGTCTGATGACGAAGTTCGACAAGCTATGGAACAAATATATAATTTTCGTCGACTACAAGATCTTGCTATATTGCACGCCCGAAAACAAATCGATGAGACAACGACGACCGAACGTGATGCAGAAATAGCAGAATTAGAAGCAAGTCTACTTTTCTATTCGTCATCGGCGAATACTCTTGACATGCCATTAGACGAAGAGAACTCCCGTTTCGTAAATGATGTTCCAAGAATATCGTTGGATGTTCAAATGGCAGTTCGATTGATCGAACAGGAAAAGCGCGAAGCTGGAGAAGACTATTTGGTGGACTATCTTATCGACAAAGAAGTGTGGGTGCTCTATTTAGAAATTCGTTATGCTGATATAATCGCAGAACATAGAGAAATATTTATGGAACAGTTAGATAAATTGGAAGTGAGAAAAAGCACAATGCTTGATTATGATTATCTTATCGAAGCCAATGCGCTTGTTGAAGAAAAGACAGATTCCGAACAGAGATTGTATCGTCAGTTAACCAAGAATATTGTGAAAGATTAAGTTTTTGACTTATGGATCAAATAAAATTTCATGCTGAGCTTTGTGTGAACGAGCGACTCGCTCGAAATACGTTGTTTTCCATTTGTTCGAAAAGTGTCCATTCAGATGAATGGAAGCAGAATCGATTGTTTGTTAATAAAAGTCGGTATCACCAAAAGAGATGAACGAAACGGATCTGATAATTGATAGAATTGCTGAGTTAATTCTTACATGCGACTCGATTTTATTTACAAGTGGCGCTGGCATGAGCGTGGCCAGTGGGCTTGGTACTTTTCGAGGTAATGCAGCTGACATTTGGTCACCTCTCTTACAGGAACCAAAGTATGATTATACTGAAATTTGTGATCCAGTTTGGTTTTACAAAGAACAGAGCAATAGTATTGAACATAATACGGCTAATTTCGGATATGCATTCTGGATATACCAGCACCACTTATTTACTTCAACTACGCCTCATCACGGTTATCTCATCGCTAAACAGTGGAGCCAATTAGATCATATGAAATATGCGTTCAGTTTTACAAGTAATATCGATGGACACTGGAGAAAATCCGGTTGGTGTGATGCATCTATACTTGAATGCCACGGTTCTATTGATTATATGCAATGTGTTCGTAATTGTTGTGATTCGGTATGGCCAACGAATGACGCATTGAAATTAAATATTGATCCAGAAACCAACTGTGCGATCGGTCCATTGCCGTTATGCTTGCACTGCAGTCATTTAGCAAGACCTAATATATTGATGTTCAATGATCGACAGTACGCCGGTGAACGATATAACGAACAGATTGATCGCTATGAGCAATTCAAGATGGATATCATAGAGACGAAATCAAAATTATTGATTATTGAACTAGGTGCTGGTACAACGGTACCGTCGGTACGAAATGAAAGCGAACTGGCGTTTAAGAACAAGAAATGGGTGGCCAATTTCGTTCGAATTAATTCATCAGTTGAGCATTCAACGATTGAAGATTGTTATAAAAACAAAGCCAATCGATTGACGTTCAAATTAACAATGGATGCGTTGGCAGCAATGACATTGATTGATCAAGCGTTGAATAGGAAACTAAAAACAGCTAAATAGTTATCAGTGAGGAGCGTGTGTAATCGATCAGAAAATTTTCGTCTATCGATGAATGAAACTTTGTGTATCTATTGTTCGTTGTGATGTACGACGCGGAAAGTTTTGATTGTGTTAACAGAGTCAGTTTCTTTTAAAAGTTATCATTTTATCGTCAGCTCATTTCAACTTGTCTAATACATCATGTGACAGCGATACGACGCATTAATCAAAAGTAAATTCAGTGCAACGAAGAACACTATATTTTTCTTTTCAACTCTGCGCAAGAGAAAACATTTTGACGAGAGGTTTCTTTTTCTATTATAAACATTCGGCTGGGCATCAAAGAAAAGAAAAGCATCTCAACCTTATTCTCACTTTCTGTTATTTTCTTCTGCAGCAGAAACTAGGCACGTGCGCAAAGTATTTGATCATCTTATTCTCTAAATTACGCGCAGAACTCGTTTTTAACCGTCTTGAATGTCGCAGCAAAAGAACACTGTCACATCTACTGTGTATGGAAAATGTATTGGATGTCATGCCAATGCGAAACTAAACGTTTGTAGCATCTGCCATAATCTGAAATGTATCTACTGCATCGGAATGCACCAACAAATAGACACGCTTCTTCAAATAAAAGCTAAATGGGAAGCAAAAGATCAACTTTCGAAACAGCAAACATGTAAGTCAAATTCCATTAGAACTCAAAATATCTTGTTTTGTCTTCTCTTTAGCTTTGAAGTGTAAAGAAATTGAGGAAAGTACCGAGAAAACGACAACATCATCTGAACTGCTCACGACTACGTATCATACATATGGACAGCAACTAGAACAATCACAAGCAAATAATCAACAGTATGAATTGCATTCGTCTGAGACGATTTCATTTTTGCTTTGTTCTTGTCTGTTGAAGACATGTGGATGATCTGAAAGAGATGTTGAATGAACCGGAAAAGATTAGTACGACTAATGTTGAAGATTGTACACGAATTGACGAAGCAATCGATCGAGTCGAAAAGAGTTCGAAGAAGGAGGTGAAACGGATAAAGATGATCGTTTGAAATGATGTTAAATAATTATCTTTTTTCCTAGCTGTGCACTGAACCCAATACGACAAGTTCAACTTTGGGATCACTGAATGATGGTACATATAGTGCTTCAATGCTAGACCAGGCTGGTAAGTATGTATGCAGGGCTTCAAATGTGTAGAGAATAGCAAGCGTCGATCGTATAAACCTTTTACAACCAAATATTCATGATATCTCTCGCTGTTGTCCTTTTTTTTAAAGATATTCCAGCACAGCACATTAATATGGATCATCATCATCACTTATCAGCTGAGTCATTGCTTGAATCAAACGCAACTGACACTATTGAAACTGAAAACGATAGTGTAGATAATTTGGAATCGAACGTGGTGGTGGTGGCAATGGACCAAAAGCAGCAGCTCTCGAAAAGTCAGAAACGTCGACTTAATCAGAAGAAGCGAAAGGCTAGTAATGCTAACAAGTTATCGACAGTTCCAGAAGCATCAACAGATACTTCTACAACACAGTTAAATACATATATTAAACCAGTGACGAATACAACTGCGACGTTGTATTTCAGCAACTTGACAAAAAGCTCAACAAGATCTCTAAGAGTATTTCGTGGGCAAAAAACAGCTTCTAACAATGAATACCTGCTCGTGTGTCCCAAGGATGAATTGTGGTTGCTTGACACGCAAGGAAATCAATGTTTGGCTATTCCACGTCGATTTGACGTTTACGATATGTGCTGGTCTACCTATTTGAACAAGTTTCTCGTATTGAGTAGTAAAGGGCTCTATTCATTTGATCACACAGGTCAGAATCCTTTGACAATGGAAGTGTCGGCATTTGCGAACACAATGGATGAATGCACATGTCATGAAAACATATTCATGGTCATTAGCGACGCGGTCGCAGGAGCTGATCTACAAGTATGGAATATGGAGGGGAAATGGAAAATGACTCGACGTTATTCACGGCCGAAAACCTGCAGATTGGGTGAAGCAATCAATAGCATACGTTTTAGCAGTAGTGGAACGTATTTGGGAGTGACATTGACAGCACCTTTCATCGGAAAAGCATTTTTTCAACTACGTAATCCAAAAGATTTAACTGTTTTAGAAATTGTGGAACGCCCATTTTATGAGGGCTATTGCAATCATTATATGTTGGCTCTTCCAAATGATGAATTTCTAGGTTACAAATATTCGGAGAGAGAAATCTTCGTCTACCATGCGAACGGACATCAGAAAGACGTAGTACGATATAGCAAAAGCATATGTTCAATATCGTTCATGATGAATGGTAACATCTGTCGTCTGGCTATCCAAACACATCAACCCGACGAACTTCATTTTCATGATTTATAACTGAGTTCTATCGTTCGTAAACCATCATAGTTAGATAGTCATTTTCTTCTCATAAATTGACGTACTCTAAGCCGTTCGTTTGCTATAAGATGATTAATCTCATATAAATAAAGTCGAAGAAATTTTATGGTTACTGAAAGTGACAAAAAAAAACTTGTGATTTTACGGAAATAAACTGTCACAATCTGCAAAACATTTTAGCCTGAATATTTGATTCAATCTCTCTTGGAAGTCTAGCATTTGCTTTTCAGTACATAACAAAAGGAACGATACTGGATCAATCTCATTGCGACGAAAAGCTTTTCTAGTTATCAGATGTGGTAAACGATCATATAACAGTTCATTTTCGAAACACACACTTTATTTTGATGAGATTATTCACAGAAAGTAGAATATCTACTATCATCGCAAATGTTTGAAAGTTTTACTCCGGCAAATAAAACTAATTTTCCTCCATTCATTCCAAGCGACAGGAAAGATTAACAAAAACACTTTTGAAAACTCTTCATAAACGTTTCTTCAAAAAAAACCGAACGAAATGAAAAGTCAGGTTTCAACCACAGAATCTACATTTTCGCACCAGATATAATTAGCAAAAATGCTTTCATCAACACAAGTGTACACTAATCTCGTCATTTCTGCTTTCAAGTAAAACGTTCGCGCACGAGTTAAATAAATAACAAGAATGTCATCTCAAAAAGAATATTTTCGACATAGTTGATGGCGACAACGTTGAAGAGAATGAAAAGCAGCTTCGCTTTAATACACTTATCACTGGCGTTTATCTTCTAATTCTCATCTATCTGCTAATTACTCTTGTGATTGTGTTATATATTAGTCTGAACACAACTGTTCTTACGATTAATCGACCGACAATCGATCAGATTGGAAAGCGACCATACGATGCTCGATGTCCATGTTCACCCAGATCTCGATCCTGTGCAGTGACTTCACTGTCTTACAGTCGAAATTTCATGAAGTCTGTTCGAGCGATTTTATTTCTGATGGATGGATTCAAACCATCCATATCGGAACGAATGTAAGTTATTGTGAACCGACGGATTTTCGAGTCTTTGGAAGTGCACAGTTCATGGCTCTTTCGGCATTCTGCCGTCTTTCGCAAATGAATGTGCTGGGAAATCTCGCGTCATTCGACATGAGTATTCTGATTAGTCAACAAATTCTCTCGAAAAGAATTTTACGACCCCAAACCCAAGCATTCCTCGATCAATTTTGACTAATAGCTATGGATGCATTCCGCGCACAGATTTATTCAATTCGTTGAATGCCTACGCTGTTTATCTTGAGGGTTTACAAACGAATTTCTATGCGACCGACACCGCCGGATCGTCTTTAGCAATCAGTACAACTCTATATCAAGATCAGCAAGGAAATTGACGATTCCAGGCCTATTTGCTTGCTGTTTACCGGTGAATTCTGTCTTGCCTTTCACAATCGAATGTTTCTACAATCAAACATGTGTTGACAATCTTCTATCATACTTTTCAGACAATGAAACTCTCACAGCAATGAAGATCAATGATCAAAGTCATTTTGTTCCAAATTCATCGATCGGATTGATCGATGATCGAAGATTTAACTATGAATATCTCGTACGAAAAGTACTTTAATCAATGTTCACCTCACATGTGTACTTATACAAACACTCGACGGCATGGAATTGTATTCATTACTGAAAGAATTATCGAGCTTCTAGTTGGATTAACTCTCGTGCTGCGATTGACCGTTCCAATTATTGCGCGACTTATCCGACGCATCATAAATTACAAATCAAGTGGAGGAGTTCCTCGTAAGTGTTGAAACTCGAGCGTTTTGCAGTGCATTTCATTAGATTTTTAGTTTGCATGCGTCTAAGGACAGTCGCACGAATTATTCACAGACTCTTCAAGGAATTGAATCTTTTCAAACAACAACGAAGCAATGATAACCAAATTTCTTATCAACGGATTGTCAGTCGATTGTTTATCTTGCTATTCGTGGGCACTTCAGCTGTCTAAGCACTCTATATAGACTTAAGTACCGATGTTTATTATGGAACAGTTCATAATCCGGATGAAAACCAATTTGATCGATTGCAAAAGAATTACTCAACTAATTCATCATGTCCATGTTCGGCAACATCACTGCAATATTCAACTTTTCTTAGTATTGAACCTCGGTATCATCAGTTATGCTCGAGTGATTTCGTTTCTTTGGTATATCACATCAACGAGTATTATCGTTTGGATTATCGACTTAGTGATGCGAGTTCCTTCTATTTCGTTAATCTGTTTTGTACAGAGGCAAAGGAAACAGTCGATCGTGCTCTGACTGTCTTTTTGCAAACTCAGTTAGTCAATACTCAGGTTCTCGCACGAGAATTCTCTGAATCTCAATCAAACTCATTAATTCAAAATTGGCAATCAACTACCCGATAAGCTCGAATGATCCTGCAAAAATACGGCAACTGTACAAGCGCAGTGTTTCCATGCTTAAAAATGCTCTCCATTTATACTTATAGTTTGACTGAAAATAATTACACTCAAATCTTTCAAGTTTCTCATTTTTATACCGGCTGCTACTCATTTAATTTTACTTTTCAATGCACGCTAGAATGTTTTTATAATCGATCATGTCTGATGGAGCTTGATCAGTATATGAATGAATCTCGACGTGCTCAAGCATTTGATTTTGCCCCATTGAATTCAACTGTTAGTTCACCCGATGAAACATCTGAATCGATTATCAATAATATGATGATCAATTCTTGGTCATCCAACGTGTCTTTCACGTCCTATTATCACGCTTGTGCTCCTTCGGCGTGAACATTCGAGAATAAACATCGGATGAGTATTTTTCTCTTGCTAACAACCATTGTGAGTATTTTTGGCGGGTTATCACTTTGCTTGAAGGTTTGTATGATAATCATCCTTGAAATTTTGGAAAAAATAATGAGTGGTTGCCGCATACCAATTCGACCAGTTCTTGCATTATTCATGAGGAATGCCAGTTAACGAGTCGATTGAATTCCCTCTTACTTGTTATAGCACTCTGTTGTTTACTTGTCAATTCTGCTTTTAAATCCCGTTTAATTATCGTGCAGATACTCAAACCATCGTTGACAACATACGAAGATTTACTGTGAAGTTATGCAGATACAGTCCAATGTTCGTGCTCACAAATTTCGATTCAACACGAGTCATTTGTAATCACTGTGCTTCGGTTTCATCAGATATGTTCCAGTGACTTTGTGTCAAACGAATGGATTAATTATATTCAAAATCGACTGAACTCGACTGAACCATGCGATATAGATGATTTGTATTATTCAGCAGATGCGCAGTTTCAGTTACTTGCTTCGATTTGTGAACTGACACAGGAAACAGTCCGTAGTGCAATCAAACGATTAACAGCAAATAATCTCATTAATATCGAACTTCTATCGAGAGCCTCGTTAACGGAACGAATTCGAATGAGTATTGATCAGCTGCAAATCACCTCACCAAATACATTTCGAACAACATTCTCCTTAATTCGCGAGTTTGTCGGTACAAATATGCTGCTGAGTGGACCTAGCACCAACTGGGTAATTAACACTCCATATGAGATTGTCGAGGGAGGAAAAGTCAATATGAAGCTATTGGCTTATAATGGGTGTAGCTGTGAACAGTCACCACAATGCGTTGAGTCATCGAAAGGAATGTTCGTCGGTTATTATGCATCGGAGGCTTTTTTGAAATCAACACTAGCGTACGTGTTTTTATGATCAACAATGTATTGATATAAGTCAAGTATTTCAAGCAATGGATAGTTCATCTCTGCTATCTAGTCGGTTCGATAGTAATTCTACGATCGAATCACTTGTTGCTCAACTGATGATCGAAGAATATGCACGAAATCTGTCCTATGAAAAGTATTTTGAACAATGTGCAGCATCGTCTTGTACTTATTCATATGTGTTGAAACGTGATATGATTGAAGGGATAACATATTTGCTTGGACTGTATGGAGGTTTATTGATTATCTGTCGAATGATGGCAGTAATCATTGTAAAAGTATTGTTTTGTCGAACTTCAAGAGTCAATTCTAGTTAATGACTATAATACGTAGTTGAATTTCATCCGATCGTTTGATAGATATTTCACTGAAAAAAGAAAATTATTCTTATAAATGCTCAATTACGGTGTATGTACTATTGACTAGCTTTAAGATTAGATTCTAGTGAATATAAAAGAAGTAAAAATATAATTAATCTCGATAAGCATGACTAGCCTATCTATATATACGTTTTAGAAAAAAAAAACATTCTCAGAGAATTTCATTAAATATCAACATATCTTCAAATTGAACTATTTATTCGTGCCCATCCACCATACAGAGCAAATAATGAACTTCTGCAAATAAGAGACATCATGTTGCTCTATCGAGAATTATGATCTCATCACTTATGAAAGTGTGATGAAATATATCTGTGTCACATCAGTTACCATGGCAATTCATTGATCATTGTCTGTCACACCGTCCTTATACATATTCAACCACCCCGGCCCAACAACATCGAATGTTAATTTTTGTAAAATACACTTTTGTGCACTTCAGATGTCCCCAACGGTGTACCGATCGTACTTGACAGCTGCATGTTTTGGTCAATATATGTCAACATCACAATAACGATCGTATCGGAAACCTTGCAACATCAGCAGTCTGTACTACGTATGATGTGATTGCAGTGAATAACACCGTCTGGGTTCTGGTACCCACACGAGTCTTGTTGTTTTTCAATATTCGAGACAACCAATGTGGAATTGTGTATAATGTCAGTGCATTCTTTTTTTTTCAGTTGCTATGTGCTCATCGCTGGTGGTATTTTACCTATTTCAATCATGCTTATCTATGTTCTGGGTGTTCGACGAAGTGTTCGACTGAAATGAGAACGTCGTCGCCGATTTGTATTAAATACATGAAGCGGAGAGGGTAGTTGTGAACGCGAGCGCTGGCGATGCTCCTATTTCCAGTAGCTGCTCACATAGTAACTCAGACATCACGAATGGTGACTTATTTTCACACTGCTGTGATAATTAATGCAACAAACAAATCCGCCAGCCGAACAGCGATCGAGCAGTTTGTTACTTTTACCGCTGGAACAATAAGTATCTTTTTTTCCCACGATATCTTTCTATCTGTACACAATGACATTACAAACATTTCATCTTCTATTAAACCAATGGAAAAACAATATGACTCAGATTCATCTATCGACAAACTACAGAATCATTAACGCAAATGATCATCCTGCACGTGTACCTAATGTGCACTAAGTACAGTTTTTATAAGCGAATATTACACTGGCCTCAATAAAGCGCTTTGATCATTTGCAGGAGTTTTTACTTCCACGAAAAATACGATTAAACATCCAAATTATGTTTGTTCAGAGTTTAGTGTATATGGATCGACTCGAATATTTCTTCTTCGTATACAGTATGCCACTAATCTAACTGCTAATGGTACTGCGGTTCTCAGCGCTGCCACCAAACCACCAGTGAGACTAATAAGTGTTGTAACTATATAAATCGCATCGTTTCGTGCTTCATAACTGTAACTACACTGCGCTGGTTTGCATTCTTGATAATAGTTCTCATACGTGACAGAAACATTCCATTGTTCGATCATCAAGTGCTGT